CTTTGCTTCCAAATTCATCTACCTCTGATCATCTCATGGTCCTCCATTATGGTAGGACTATTTCTTAACTATTATACTCTATTTTATTTATTATTTTTATATAACACCATATTCTCAATAATAATAACTGCCCACCATTTCTTCTTCTTCTTCTTTTTTTTTTTTTTTTTTTTTTTAACTCAACATCCCACCTTCTTCAATTGTTTATCCCCCTCTTCTTGTCTTTTTTTTTTTTTTTTTTGGTGGGTGGTCTTGATTATTTATTTTTCACTTAAGGCCTTTTCTTGGTGCGATTTGTCCAATGAGCAAGAACGAAAGAGTATCTAATTCTGTAGGAGTATATGCATACCCCGATTGATGTCTTTTATTGTTGTATCTTCTGGGGTTGCGAGTAACGTTAACGCATGAAAAACATGTATTAAATATTTATATTCATTATTTTTCATGCTACTACAGTACTACTATTACTATTGCTAGGTGACTTCTTTTGACATATGTTGTATCTGAGAAAATGGGCCTGATTTTGGCCTATCTCCAACCCAACTCAATGTCAAACTGAATTAGATCTGCGGTCTCATATTATAAGCCCAATAACGTTTTTTTTAGACATCAATAAGCCCATTAAGATTATGGATTGATATACTAAAGATGCACATTAGTGGAAGATTTTTGGTAAAGTAATTTCTAACTCGACCTAGAAAAGATGTTTTACATTAAGTTGACAACAACAAATACATTTTTTTTTTTTTTTTTTTTTTTTGATTATTGGAGATTTAGAAAAGATGTTTTACATTTTTGATTATTCGAGATTTATAGTGACGAAATGCATTTTAAAACTATTATCATTGGAGGAGATACACACAAATAAGTAATAACTCGAATTAAATAAAAACCAAAAAATGAAACAACGAATTATTTTGGTGAATATTGTTGTAGATGGAGGAATTGTCGGCAAAGAATGATACACATAAATCATCAAATCATTAATAGATTAGATCAAAATGTAACACTTTTGACACAGAACTTTCAACTATACAACTATATATTCTTTTTGTAAATTAATAGAGTTGTTCTATAGTACTATTTAATTTTTGGTCTTGGTAAAGTAACTAAAGTAGACTAACTCAACTCTCTTCTTGTTCAAACTTTTTTTTCTAAAGAAAAAAAAAAAACACAAAGATGTCTTTTGTCTGACTCCATAATCACACCATCACCAAGAAGAAGAAGATCTAGGTCTTGCATCTCTCTCTCAGCTCTCTCGTCATTACAATGGAGCGAGCACGAACCGAAAGCCCTAGCTACTTCCGTCAATGGAGCGGCGATTCAGGTTCCACCAATGCCGCCGCCGTAGCTCCTTCTTCTCCGGCGCGTCATCACCACGCTCGATCTTCTTCCGTCACTAACATGTCTAACGTCAAACGAGCTCAAAACGTCGCTGCTAAAGCCGCTGCTCAAAGACTTGCTAAAGTCATGGCTTCACAGACCAACAATGATGACGACGATGATGATGATGATGATGAAATCGGTGGTGATGATTTAGGTTTCCGATATGGTGCTCCTCCTCCTCTTTCCTTCACTAGAAATCCTTCTTCCACAATTGCTAAACCTAAACCTGTTGCTTCTGCTGTTGTTCCTCCTCCCAAGATCGCTAGATCTTCCTCTCCTGCGGTAAATTTGAGTCCTTTTTGCTTTAGTAGAAACCAAATCCAGCCGATTTACTAAATTTGTTTACTCTTTAACCATAGAGATTTGGTTTCTAGTTTCTAATTATGGAAATGTGGGATTTTGATTGAAAATTTGGGAATGTAGTAGTAAGGGAAACTAGTATGAATGTTTCTAATCTGAGAATTGATGGTGATTGTGAAAATTCTAGTTATCTCAGAACTCTCCAGCCGTGTCTGTTCGGGCATCGCAGCCGCCTGTTCCGCCGAGTAAACTGTCTCAAAGGAATCAAACTACCAATCCATCACCGGTTGTAACTCCTAAGACTGAAAAGAGGTGAAGAGAACTCCCAAAAATATCTTCGTATTAGAGAAGCTAAGTTGAGTTTGTTATTCATGACTTGGAAATTGTTTGTCATTGCAGGGTTTTAGCTGATATTGGTCATTTTAATGGAAAAGATTCGAAAGATCAGCACGAAGCATCCGCACTTCGTGATGAAGTAAGCTAATTTCTTTGTTTTTCGTATGTATCTGTATTTTTATGGATAATGTCATAGATGGAAACTGAGATTTGTTTTACATCACAGCTTGATATGCTGCAAGAGGAGAATGACAGTATTCTTGAAAAGGTAGAAACTCTTCTCTTTTTTTGGGTTTCATTTATCCTCAGAGTAAAGTTTTTTATACGTTTGAGCTTTATTAACAGCTTAGGCTTGAGGATGAGAGATGCAAGGAAGCAGAAGCCAGGGTGAGAGAGCTTGAAAAACAGGTAACTGGGACCAATATCTGTATGCATTATTTTATTTTTTAATACTGTTCTCACCCTTGAGACAAAATTTAGGTAACTTCTCTGGGAGAAGGTGTATCATTGGAAGCTAAACTTCTGAGCCGGTAGTCAATATCAATACAATTTATTGCCAGTGTTAGTTTTTTCCTGTTGGATTGAAATGCTTACATGAATGTACTTTGTTTCATGTTGCAGAAAAGAAGCTGCTTTGCGTCAAAGAGAGGTATTGCTAAGTCTGAGGCTCCTCAATATTTACTATTATGTTATGGCTTTTAGATTCACCAACACTCACTCTATGACAGGCGGCCCTCAAAGATGCAAGGCAGAATAGAGATGGGACTAATAAAGAGACTACTGTTCTTCGGTCTCAAGTAGAGGTAGGCCCTATTTTCTGTCCATGTGTCACATCTACGATGAGGTGTTAATTAATGAAAATGAAGAAAGCTTATATTTTCTGTAACTCACTCTGAATCAGAATGCAAAACTTGAGACCGCTGCTGTAGTAGCACAACTTCAAGGAGCAGAATCTGAAGTCAATGCTCTACGGACAATGACACATAGAATGATATTGACCCAAAAAGAGATGGTTTGTGTTCATGTTTTTGCCCAGTCTACACATAAGCTTATGGTAGGGTTTAAGTAACATAGTCTTGCATAATTTTCAGGAGGAAGTTGTTCTTAAACGGTGTTGGCTAGCTCGGTATTGGGGTTTAGCTGCCAGATATGGTAAGGAGTAACAAACGTATCTGCTTAACGACAGAACTAGAACTTTTATGCTATCATGTATCTTTGCTTCTTGACATCTGTGCGTATTTGCATTTCAGGCATATGTTCGGATATTGCTACATCCAAGTACGAATACTGGTCATCTCTGGCACCTCTTCCTTTTGAAATTGTGCTGTCAGCTGGGCAGAAGGCTAAAGAAGAAAGTTGGGAAAAAGGCAAGCAATCACTCAGTCATATTTATTTCTGTTTTGATAACATTCTACTAAGTCCGAGTGTCACTTTTCGTTACCGGATATTCATCTGTGGCTATGAAACATCTGACCAGAATCTGAGGAGAACGAGAAGAGGAGCCAGCTCGCTCAAGATATAAATGATCTAACTGGAGAGGGAAATATTGAAAGTATGCTCTCTGTGGAAATGGGTCTAAAGGAGCTAACTTCTTTAAAGGTTTATTCTCATCCTCTCTGGTTCTAGTTCTGGTTCATGCGTCCCTCTTTTATATTACTCATGGACTATACTTGTTCTTTTGAAGGTTGAAGTTGCCATTACTATTACACTAGCCCAGCTAAGGTTAGCCAATACTACTCGACTGTCTGATATTGGTGAGCTTCTTCTGGACGCCAATAAATTTTATGTTGCTCCATGCATCAGCTAAAAAATGGCGACTTTAGCCAGGCTTCTAATTTCACCATTAAGATTGTTAAGATGATAGTGTACATGTTTAGTTTTATTTTTTGCGTCGCATCTTAAATGGCTATGCTTCTTTGCAATTGATGTTTTTTCTGGTTGTTTTATTTCAGAGTTAAAATCACCAGGTGGTCCTAAGATTACGGAGGCACTTGGTAAGTTTATTAGCTTATATTACTGAATATTTTGGTCAACATCTTGGTGTTATGAAATTTAACATATGGAGTAAAGCATATCCACAGTTTTACAACGATAAACTCTTGATACTAATATGACCATGAAAAACATAACTTGAATGTCAGTATTCTATGTTTATGTTTACATTTCAAATAATACTTCAACAAAGAGTGCAAACAGTTCTTGTTATTATTGAGGATAATTCTGACCTTGGCCTGTGGTCCTTTGCAGAATTGAGTCAAGAAGAGTCAGAGGATGTTCTCTTCAAGGAGGTACAGAATTACAAGCCCCTTCTCGCTTTCTCTCATTGTCTTTTCCTTCATCTGATCCCTCCTTTATGTTCCCCTTTGTATCGACTTTTGTTCTTCTATAGTTCTATGTATCTTTTGGAGATATTTTGTTAGCTCAATCTCGGCCTTTCTCCATTCTCAACGCTATGAATCCTTTGAAACTTTTGACAGGCTTGGCTCACGTACTTCTGGAGAAGAGCACAATCCCTTGGCATAGAAGTGGACATTGCGAGAGAACGTCTTAGATTCTGGATCAGCAGGAGCGCACACTCTCCATCTTCACATGACGCCATGGAAGGTACAATCTACCTTACCAAATTCCTTTTAGCCAAGAGTACCCACAAGACAACTCTAAATTGGTTCTTATTTTCAGTTGAGCAAGGTCTAACAGAGCTAAGAAAGCTGCGGATAGAACGTAGATTGTGGGAAGCCTCTAGGTCCAGCCAGTAAGTAGTGACCTTGGGGACCTCAAGATCCCAGAACAGTCATGTTACCACAGCTTTAACAGTACTGTATATCGTACATGCTTTCTTCCTGTGTGGTTCGAGTACTTTTGCAGTCAGAAAAATGTTTAATCCAGTTTTGTGAACCGAAGAATTGTATTACACGCACTACTTTTGACATATAATATATCCACGTTTTTGTTCTTACCATCAATTTGCAGACTCATTCTTGTTGGATAAGTATTTAATGTAAAGTATCTACTGAAACAGACACTAAAGATATCAGTCACCAGTAATCGTTGCAAGAACACTTTCCCTCCTTGAAATGGTGAAACCTTCTAGAATCTCGGATGACGATTTCATGTCCTGTAACCAAAGATACATGCTTTGCAAACTCATGACAATCTGGGCATGCCCGAAGATTCTTGAACACCTTGATAGGTGCACGGGCATTGCCATTCACAGATATCAGCCCAAATGCAATGGCAAGTCTCTCACTATGATCAAGAAGCTGTTCTCTTCTCTCTGTCATACTACACTGAAACATATCACCTTCCATGAAACCATCAAACTCCTTAAGCTTCTCATAGATCTCCTGAGTTTGTGGATGGTGTTTATCACCCACTATAAACCGATGAATCTTACCCTTTTCTTGGATCCAGCTGCAGCTCAGTTCCTTCTTTAACATCCTCTCATTCATTAGTTTCATCACTTCAGCAGCCTCTTCCCATTTTCCAGCCCAGGTATACAGATTAAACGGTAGCACATATCCAGCCGTATCTTCTGGATCGATTTGGCGAAGTTCTTCACCAGCAATGTTTCCCAGTTCAAGATTCTTATGAGTCCAACAGCCACTTAGAAAGCATTTCCAGCTCATTGCATCAGGTTCAAAAGGCATATTCTTCATAAATTTGAGAGCTTCTTCTAATAGTCCTGAACGGGCATAAATGTCGATCATACAATCATAATGATCAATAGTCGGAGCCACGTTATATTTTCGAAGCATCGTGTCCAAGTAATGCTTTCCCTGTTCAACTAGGCCTGCGTGGCTGCAGGCGGTTAAAACCGCAATAAATGTAACTGAGTTTGGCTTCATACCACAACTCACCATTTTCTCAAACAATCTCAAAGCTTCAGAGGCATTTCCATAGTAAGCATGACCTGATATAAAAGCCGTCCATGCAACAATGTCGGGGTTGTCCATTGACTCAAAGACTTCATGTGCATCATCTAAGCATCCGCATTTTGAATACATCGTAATAAGAGCGCTTTCTCCATACTGAGATCCAATCAGACTTCTTTTTATAGCATCTGCATGGACTTGGCCACCAATGTTGCAATCTGCAAGTACCGAACATGCTTGGAATATGCTAGTATATGTGAATGAATTTAGAACCGCTGCTTTTTTGCTTCTCAAAGACTTGAAGGTTTTAACAGCCTCCTCAAATTGACTCATTTGACAGTAACCGGAAATGATTGCGCTCCAGGAAACATCGTTTGGCTCACGGATTTCTTGAAATGCACGACAAGCAGACTCGAAGCTGGAACATTTGATGTAAAAATCAACAAGTGGAGTTCCAACCGAGACTTCAGATTCCAGTCCAAGCTTAGCGACACAGGCATGAATTTGCTTGCCAAGATTAAGCTCCTCAAGAGAAGCACACGCTTTAAGAACAACTGAAAACACAAAACTGTCCCATTCGACACCTTCCGTTATCAAATCCACAAATAGTTTCAAAGCATCTCTTGCTCTACCAGCTTGAGTGTAACCTACCATCAAACCCGTCCAAGCCACTGGTTTCTTCACTGCCATCTGATCGAACACTCGCTTAGCACCCACTAACCAACCACATTTCACGTACATGTTCACGATCCCAGTCTCTATAGATGCGTTGCTACATAACCCAGCACGTATAACATGAGCATGAATCTGTCTACCAATGTCTAAAGCCCTAGGGTTTACCAAAGATTTCAAGAGTGTAGTATACATGGAAGAAGGAGGCTTGTCGCCTGACTCTAGCATCCTCGAGAACAAACCAACAGCTTTATTCAAAAGACCTTGTTCAGCGTAAGCAGATATCATCGTTGTGCGAGAAACTGCATTTAACTCAGACATTTCATCGAACAGCTTATCTGCATCTTCTAAGCTCCCGCACTCACAATACATTTGTAGCACACAATTCTGAAGAAGCACAGAAGGATTCTCGATACCCATGCGCATGCGATCGTGCAAGAGTCTCCCATGAGATAAAGACCTCAATTCTCTGCAAGCCTCAAAGAGACATTGGTAAGAATACGAGCTAACGGAGACACCAGCCTTATCCATTTCTTGGAAAAACTCAAATGCTTCGTTGAGCTTCCCATGCTTCGACAACGAAACCAAATGAAGATTCTCCACTTGTCCTTGCTTAAGCGAGATTTTAACAGACGAAGTGCTCGATTTCAGAGAAACCCACGACGGAATTTGATCGAAATTCGCGTTCTTTATAACCGGAACTCGAGAAGGAGTATACGAGGACTGTACAGTGATAATCGTCATGGTTGATGGAAAAATTCAACAAAAAGTTTATAGCTTTACCCTTTCGAGAACAGACGATAGAGAAGCAAAAACTCAGACTTTTGTTTATTACAGTTATTGCAAGGACCAAACGGGTCAAATCAAATCAATCAATGGTTGGTAATAAACGACAGCGTTTCGGTAACAGAAGCGAAGGAGAGAGGAGGGTTCAAAGTTTCCGTCTTTGGTGTCTCATCAATGACAATGAGCCGAACGATTTCTCTCCTCTTCTTTGTTTTTAAAACCTATCAATAATATTCTTCTTCTTCTTCCTCTTCTCCAATGGCGGCTACTAGGGTTCGGTGTTGTCATACCAATGCACCTTTCACCAGATTGCCGCTTACCCGCCACCGAAACTCGCCGACGCTACCGATTTCTCTGAATCGTATCGATTTCTCTGCGCTGAAGTGTTCGAGGAGATTATCATTACCCATTGGAGATGGCTCCTCCATTAGAAAGGTTTCAGGTTCAGGCTGCAGAAACATTGTGCGAGCTGTGTTGGAAGAGAAGAGGACAGAGGCGTTAACGGAGGTAGATGAGAAGGGATTCACGTGCGTGATGAAGTTTGGTGGATCTTCAGTGGCGTCAGCAGAGAGAATGAAGGAAGTTGCGGATTTGATTTTGACTTTTCCGGAAGAAAGTCCCGTCATTGTCCTCTCTGCAATGGGGAAAACTACCAACAATCTCTTGCTTGTAATGCTGAAATTCTCTCCCTTTTATCTGTTTCAATTCAAAGGTTTGAAATTTTTTTGATTGGAATTATTGGTTTTGTTGCTAGTGAAGGCGGGAGAGAAGGCGGTGAGTTGTGGTGTTTCTAATGCATCTGAGATTGAGGAATTGAGTATTATAAAGGAATTGCATATCAGGTTTTGGTTTCTTGAAAATATGATTAAAATTTGGTACCTTTGAGTATCTTCTCCTTGTTTGATGCTGGTTTGGAGTAAGAATGTGACTTTTGTTGTTTCAGGACGGTGAAAGAGCTCAACATTGATCCTTCTGTTATTTTAAGTGAGCATATTTTTTAACTTGTAGACTTTCCAACATTTGGAGCTTCATTTCTTTCTAATTCTGATAAGGCTCATAAATGTTTGATTTGTGATGAGTTCGGTAATATTCAAGAGTCTACATGCATTGCTTATTTATATCTTGGATACATTTTGCAGCCTATTTGGAAGAACTGGAGCAACTCCTGAAAGGCATTGCCATGATGAAGGAGTTGACACTTCGTACCAGAGACTACTTGGTCTCTTTTGGAGAGTGCTTGTCTACCAGGATTTTCGCTGCTTATCTTAATACAATCGGTGTCAAGGCACGCCAAGTATGTCCATCATCATATTTTAGTATTAGTTTACTTTTCTTAAATATATTATATACTCATTTAGTTGACTATTTAGGCTAGAAATGTCCAATCGAGGTTTATAAAATATGATAAACAAATTCTGTATACTCTGAATTGGTCAGTAAACTTTTGTGTTAGTTTGGTTTCGGTTGTCAAGGAAAACCTATTGGTGTACTTTCTCTTTTGCATGCTAAACTGGCCTTGGTGTGAGCTTTCTTTCACAAAGATCAGGCTCGCAAACAAAGCTAAGTAGATTTATGGACAATTGCTCTGCAGTATGATGCATTTGAAATTGGTTTCATTACAACGGATGATTTCACAAATGGGGATATCCTGGAGGCAACTTATCCAGCCGTTGCCAAGAGATTATATGATGATTGGATGCATGATCCCGCTGTTCCTATTGTAACAGGTTTCCTTGGGAAGGTATTTCAAACAGTTTACAATCTACAGATAATCAAGATTTTCAGTCATGTTATTGTGTCTTGCCTAATTATTTCTTTCAATAATAGGGTTGGAAAACAGGTGCGGTTACTACCTTGGGTAGGGGTGGCAGTGATTTGACGGCAACCACAATTGGTAAAGCATTGGGTTTGAAAGAGATTCAGGTTCTTCTACAACCTCAAAGTATAATATTCCCTATTCAAAGGTTGCGGACCTCTTTGTTCAGTTTGGATGTTTGTTTTTCCATTGCGTAGGTGTGGAAAGATGTCGATGGTGTTTTAACATGTGACCCTACTATATATAAGCGAGCTACACCAGTACCATTTTTGACATTCGACGAAGCAGCCGAGCTAGCTTATTTTGGTGCACAGGTCCCACTCTACTTGTATGCAATAATACTCAAGTGTAGTTATTAGTATTGTTACATGAAAATTTGTACAATGGAAATGCTCGAGTGGTTAAGTAAGGAAATAAAATTGTTGCTGTAGGTCTTGCACCCTCAGTCAATGAGACCAGCAAGAGAGGGTGAGATTCCTGTTAGGGTTAAAAATTCTTATAACCCTAAGGCTCCTGGAACTATCATCACTAAAACAAGAGACATGACCAAGGTATAGAGTCTCCTAATTGTGTTAGTTTTGTGAATCTCATGTGAGAACCTTCATAGCAAACAATTTTTTTTTTTTTTGCTTTTTCATATGACAGAGCATTCTAACGAGCATTGTTCTGAAACGCAATGTGACCATGCTGGATATAGCAAGCACCCGAATGCTTGGTCAAGTTGGTTTTCTTGCAAAGGTAATAATATACATTTCCAGTGCATTACGTGTCCTAAAGTTTATTCCTTAGAACACTTTTTCATTGGGGCAAGGTCTGAACTGTGGTCTGCTCCAGCCTAAAATCGTTTAGGTACTATTAATAATCAACATTGCCTGCTTGCCTCACTCTTTTTACTAGGTATTCTCGATATTTGAGGAGCTTGGCATTTCCGTAGATGTTGTTGCCACTAGTGAAGTCAGTATATCTCTGACACTGGACCCTTCAAAACTTTGGAGCAGGGAACTGATTCAACAGGCAAATTTCTTGCAGAATCCTCAACACTTTATTTTCCAATTCATATATGCGTGCTTTTCAAAGGCCTTTTCTTTCTTTTTTCCTCGTTACAGGAGCTTGATCATGTAGTTGAAGAACTGGAGAAAATTGCAGTTGTGAATCTTCTAAAAGGAAGAGCAATCATCTCTCTAATTGGGAATGTTCAACATTCCTCCCTGATTTTAGAGAGGGTTAGATCGTGCCTCCTAATAAGATTACTCGAACAAAGAAAGATATATTTCTTTTGCGCTTCTTACTTAATTTGTTTTTAACTTTGGGCAGGCGTTTCATGTTCTTTATACCAAAGGTGTCAATGTCCAGATGATATCACAAGGAGCATCCAAGGTAATAACATTGCTTATCACAACTCTCTTGCCGTTTTCACCTAACAAATTTCTTTCTTGCTTTGAAATCTCGCAGGTAAACATTTCCTTTATAGTAAACGAAGCTGAAGCTGAAGGATGCGTTCAGGCTCTTCACAAATCCTTCTTTGAGAGCGGTGACCTCTCAGAGTTATTAATACAACCCAGACTTGGCAACGGGTCACCTGTCAGGATGCAAGTAGAAAATTGACTCGACAAGCTCATTGCTTGATCTGCGTTTTTCTTTGTATTCCTTCCGAGTGTAGTATGTACGTTCATCATGAACTGCTTGTTGTTACGTTTAGGCACGGGAACTGCTGAGGCTATCTTTTTTTTGTTGTAAGACCAATTTTTTTGTACCATTTGCGCGATCAAAGTTTAACCAGTAACTCGCAAGGATAAAGAAAAAGGAATATAGTGATGTAACTGCAGATGTTTGAATTGTTTTTACATTCAGGTTTTGATACAAGTACATCGGGCTAAAAGCTGTGCAGTTGTGTAAGCATGTGGACAAGCTCATCACTTGAAGGCCGGTCTGCCGGAAAGTCAGAAAGGCAGATAATGGTGATTCTTAAAGCCATTAACATCTCGTCTTCCTCCACTTCCTCTCCTAGAATAGTCTTATCTAATGCTTCTCGTGCTTCCCCGGATTGTTGTAAATGTTTCAGCCACTGTCCTAAGCTGCCTCCGCTTGCAGACTCTTCACAGAACGGGTGGGTCGGGTCTCTTCCGGTTAAAAGAACACCCAATATCATCCCGAAGCTGAATATGTCGCTTTTGTCTGTGTATCTGCCACAAGGATTTGCATTACCGTGTTAGTAAAAGAGACGGAAAAAGGAGTTAACTCACAGGCAATGGTGTTGATATTTGAAGCACCTGTTACTTTGAGAAGACTCAGGAGCAGAGTAGCAAGATACCGCTGTGTGAGAACTAGGCATGATCTTAGCCAATCCGCAATCAGCAAGCCGAGGCTCAAACTCAGAATCCAACATCACATTTGTAGGTTTCAAGTTATAATGAAGAATCTGTGTCTCACAACTGAAATGAAGATACTGAAGCCCTTTCACAATTCCAACTGCAACTCTAAGCCTAATCTCCCATCCAAGCTCTACCTCTTTCGTTCTAACCTTATGCATCACATCCTCAAGGCTACCATTCGGCATATAATCATAGACGAGAGAGAACTCATCGGATTCGCGAACATAAGCTCGTAAACTCATAAGGTTCCTATGCCTTGACCCAGCAAGAAGCTCAAGTTCCTTCTGCAACCTTCTCTTAACCGACTTGCTACTACTACTTTCTGGTGAACCAATTCCTTCAAGTGAGCCTAGTCTCTTGACTGCAACCACTAGACCATTATCAAGTACCATCTTATAGTATTTACCATTAGGGTCTGAGCCAAGCAACTGAATACCATTACCGAGAGCTGCGTGAAGAGATTTAGGAGTGATCTTAGGAGAAAACACCACAGGACCTTTGAGAATTGGCGTCTGTTTCATGTATTTGACAATGCTACGAACCAAGAAAGCTAACACCAAAGCAGAAACCAACCCGGTTAAAATCCCTGAAACGATGCTGATAACAATAACCTTGGAAGTGATTCTTGATTCGAGTGGTGTAGATGATGTTGAAGTTGTGGATAAGTGTTTCACAGTTCTTCGACGACAACTTGTACTTGTACTTGTTCTTGAAAAGAAGACTAAAAAGAAGAATAAGAGCAGAGAGATAGTGTTGCTACATCCATTTTTTCTTCTTCGTCTTTGCTCCATTGCTGCTTCTACGAATAAAAGCATTTGGTTTTTTTTCAAGATTAGACACAAATCTGAGAAAACCCAGAAAGGTGGAAGCTGTTCAAAGCTTACATTAAAAAAAAAACACAGAAAAGTTCAAGACTTTTTAATGCTACAGTGAAGCTCTTAATATCCTCTTCTCCCAAAACCACATATATTCTCGAGAAAACCAATGAGAAACCACCAAGACAAAAGGGGAAAATGGAATTCAACTCAAAATCTTCACAAAGAAGATGAATAGAGAATATCACTGGCTCATAGATTCTTATCTAAAATTCTCACTCTTTTCCTCCAAAATAAAAATCGAAAATTTAAAGAAATCTTAATTAAAAAAAAACACAATTTTCTTGATAAGGGGGGACACGAAGGTATAAAACTTTTGTATTGTATGTCTCAAAATAAACCCCAAAACTCAGTGAGGAACCCCAAAAAAAGAGAGAGCAGAGAACAAACTTCAATGAGGGGTTTTCACAATTTTACTATATCTGTGGTTGAAAGATGAAACAAAACAAACGAAACTATCCAAACTGTTTCGGCTTAATTAATCCCAGTAACCAAACATACACACATAGCACACTCTCTCTCTAGAACTCTCTTTTCAAGACACAGTATCTGCGAGACTGTGACACACTCTCTCTCTCTCTCTATCCCTCCTCACAAAAAGCATGACCGAATCCGTTACTTACAGCCAAAATATATGAGGTTCCCGCCTTACAGTGGGACCCACGATGTCAGGTGGTCGTGGTTAGAGTGGGTCCCACTGCCACGTAGACGGATGCAAAGGGGCAGCTCTTGTTGCTGTCATGAGTGGCCGAAAGCAAGGCATCGAGTACCGAGCTCGAGGGAAGGTAAAGACTAAAGAGAGCTGAAGCCAAAAAAAGATCTTGTCCGTTGATTCAGATGAGGTTAGTGAGACATGTACCGTTGGATGGAGGAGAGGCTCGAGAATTTGTGCACTTTTGTCTTAGCGTGTGAGATTACTACTACACAAAAGTGGTTCCCTTTGTTTGTCTGAGAATAATTGCTTTCTCCTCTTTTTTTTCTTGTAAAAAATTATTATTTTTTTTTTGGTAAAGGAAAAAGCTTTATGCTGTAGTGCTTTTATTCAAAGTTAGGTCTTGTTTTCCGATTTGAACCACATTCCTTTTTTTTATAAAATATCTTTGAGTGAAAAAGATTACCAGAGTTAATTAGCCTAATTGATATGGTAACACTATTATCAAAAGACTCAAAAGTCAAAACTATGAATGCAATGGGAATAAGTGGACCAAAATGAGAGAAAAAAAACAAAGTGGACCAAAATGTACTCTGATCCGAAAAATGACAATCAAATTTCAAACTTGGTTAAAACTTAAAAGTGTTAATAAACTAACATAAAACGACAACTGGTTTAACGCGTAAATTATCTTAGTTTTGTATGAACACATTCAAAACCAAAATCAAGCCACAAATTAAATACTCCCTCCGTATTTTAATAAGTGTCGTTTTAGGATTTTCTTTTTAAAAAAATTAGATGTCGTTTTCAAATTTCTATGCAAAATTTATTACTTTTTAATGTTTTATGATGTCATAAAACATTAAAAAGTAATAAATTTTGCATAGAAATTTGAAAACGACCTCCAATTCAAAAAAATAAAAATTCTAAAACGACAATTATTAAAATACGGAGGGAGTAGCTAATAACGAAGTGAACAAAAAACGAAGTGAACAAAACCTTGAATAATTGCTTACAAGTTACAACGTATGACATGACAAACTTAGGATGCTATAGTCCCACATACACACAACACGACACAACACAATACACTATAAATTTCCCAATATGCAGCCTATATCCATCCATCACAAAAACATCAAATACATTACTTAATTGGGGGCTAAGCTTGCTCGAGACCATTAGAGTAGAGGTCCTTCTTTAGTGTTGATTGGCTCTTCAAACCGTGAAAGCAACGACGAAACATAGCTCCGAAATTTTTTATGTCCGCGAGCCTCTGTATCTTTTTCATCAGCACTGTCTGTGATTGTACCCGTTTGCGTCTGAAAGGAGAGCGAGGACTTCTGGATCAGTAAATTTCGATTCTGCAGCGATATCAAGAGCGGTTTTGCCTTCTCCGTTCATAGCTTCCGGGTCTGCTCCCCTGCAACACACAGCCAATTTGTGTGAAAACATTTAACATTTCCAAAGGATTTAGCCGGAGAAAATGTTTGGGAGATTTTGGGTAAGCGGCTCTCAAAGAAGAACCAACTCACCTAGTGAGTAGCAATCTTGCTATTGTCGCTTTGCCTCTGAGTAGACAACAGTGCAGCGGCGTTTGACCACTTGAATCTGAGGCATTTACATTTGCACCATATTGTAGCAAAAGCTCTACCATCCCAATGTCTGCCTTCTCATAAGCACAGTGAAGCAGAGAGGAACCTCCGCTTCCCTCAGGAGAAATATTTGAAGAAGTACCTGTTCTATCAAGTAACTCATTTCTTAATCTGAGTAGAACATCCTCACGCTTTGGCCTTTCTGGTACTAATATTACTCTGGATAGTGTTAATGAAGAGCTGGAAGATGATTGGTCATACACAGAATTCACATCCGCATCACCATTGACAATAAGCCGGTAAACAGCTTTTTTATCATTGCCACTCACTGCGTCCCACATTTGTTGTGCAACTGATTGTGGGAAATCACAGTCTCTTGATCTCCGAACAAATAGCTTCTCCGCATACTGTGAAATGACAACAAAAATGTTTGAATGAGCTTTCCTGAACATTGCCTATGACCGAGCAAAGAGAGAATGCTTCGAAAGTAAATTTTTTTTAGCACTCCCTTGAGAAGAAAAATAGCTTCAGTTATCTTCAACATAAGGAATCAAATAAAGGGTAGAAGCTTAAAAACCTTAGCTTGTATATACTTCTCCTTGATAGATATCATATCAGCATAGCTGGGTTTTCCAGTGACCATCACCCTGGATTTATCAGACCTGCACATATTTGGCAAAGTAATGTCAAAACTATTATTTCTAGGTGTTCAAAGTTATCATCACTTTGACTAAGAAAGGCAAAATTTCAATCATAAATGGAGTTTTTACCCTGTTAAGCCTGGGTCCACATGGAAGGCGCTCCTTGAATGAAGCAATTCCTCCCAAACTGTGTTTGCGAAAGTATTTCCAAGAGCTTGGAACAAACTTATAACAGATGGCTCCCATACTTTCACGTCGAGAGTGAGTGACCTAACCTGTAGCAACGGCAAACTTCAGATTGCTCTAGACTGATGTCAAATTGAAAGGTCGAGCCATCCAAAATTCAAATTTTATCACATGCTCTAACAATCTGAATTGCTAATGAACATCAAGCCTAGTGTCACTTCAAAATTCTGATGAACTTCTTTACGTCCTTCCATGAGTTGGTGTTGTAGAGCCTACATATATTTTGTAAGTTATTAAGAGTTCTCGCGATTTACCTTAGATATATGCACACCAAGATTACGGTGAACACCAGAACATTCGATACAGACAAGAACCCCCAGATTTAAAGAAGCCCAGTCTGGTTCTGGAGCTCCACAATCCGCACATTTGTCATTCCCACAGACCTTTCGCAGAGCATCAATGGGCTTCTCACCCTTCCTAATGGACCGTTGCGGCTGAAAACTTCTTGATGGCCTTTCATGGTACCCCAAAAAGCTCCTCTCACATACGAATTCTTCAGTAGTAGGATGGTCATATTCAGAACTTTCATATGAGCTACTTTCACTAGCAGATCGATGGTGACCACTTCCCATGGGACTACCAGGAAGACGCTGAAATGTAATCGAAGGACGATCACCAAAATTGCATTGATATTTAATATGAGCCTGGTCAGGCAAAGGAATAATGATAATACTTACCTGTTCAGGGACCTGAGAACTAAGTAGTGATGCAATAACCCCTGTGATCTTTTCTATCCAATCCATTTGATCGAGTGCACTCTCAGCCTGCACTGACAAACATAAGTAAACACTGAGTGAAAACTATTAAAAGTCAGGCAAACATGCAAACAATAAAGGTTTAAGGCAGTAACAAACACTCTGAATCAAACCTGCAACGTGTAGTTTTTTGTAGGTGAAATGATCCTAAAGCAAAACCTCAGATCTGATTGATCAGCGTCGACTTTAATTGTTGAGGTCAGTAAGTTCACTGTATGCCGAGCTACAGACTTCTCATCATGGACACCACCATGTCCATGACTATTCGAAGAAAGCCACCTACTAAGAAGTCCAGACCCAAGCTCGGAGCTATTTCTCTGTCCAGAAAGCTGGCTGCCAGACCCCTAAACATCAAATCATCTAAGTCAGAGTGTGAAAAGAACGGGTCAAAAAGATTTTTAATCTATGAATACCATACCGTTTGCATAGTTCTACTGTTTTCAAATAAAAGATAAATATAAATACAAAACTCACAGATGGTTTGCTACACTGTTTTCGATAATAATACAGCATTCCCCGGCTGTCAAGAACAAAAAACCTTCTTTTCCAGTCTCCTCTCAGGTTTGATGATCGTTTAGAGAGATAACCTTGCCTTATTGTTTGCACCTGAAACCACCACGAAATGTTAATAGTAGTCTCTGGAAGATGTATCATGCATATGTGGAAGAGGTTGATCAACCTTTCCCCTTGCGGCAGATTGCATTACGGCGTCTATCATTTTGTGAGAACTTCTACCGATCGCTTGTATGCCATCTCCATTTGGTGATCCATTAGAACCATTTGAACCCCACCTGCTCTCTCGATCAACCTGTCTTTTGTACTCTTGCATCTTTTCATTAAGTGCTGCTTGTTCATAATTTGATCTTTCTCTGGATTGTTGCGCATAGGTCAAGACCTGCAAAAGAGAGTTGATGTATAAATAGTTTTCTAAATGACACTATCTCAGCGTTCTCAACACATGTGAAGATTCATACATAGTCTTAGAAGAGAATTATATATAAACCCCAAATATTTAGGGATCTATCACTTGAAGAAAAGGTATATAAAATTAAACCGACCTGATTGATATATGGTTCCATCTGATGCAGTAATTCGTAACCCTGAAAGCAACCACGTTCAGATTTGACACAAACCTTTTCAAACTATTTTATGATTCTAAGCAGTGTAACAAACTTACCTGTTTGAAGTACCGAAGATGTGCATCCATCGTTCCGCTGACTGCTTCCAAAAATTCAAACCTTTTTTTAGCTTCAACATTTGAAAGAGCAGTCACCTGAGCATAAATTAGGGAAACCAAATGATTATTTCAACAATACTATGGATGTGACAGCAGGTATATAGATTTGAACACTCAAGCTCAAACGATAGAAAATTACAAGGTTGAACCGAGCTTGCTCAAACATAGACCTCGAAGTGTGAAGTTCCTGTCAGTGTCAATATATGTTAGTTATAACAGAGAAATAAAAATACATGGTATTCAATAATTAGAAACGAGCTTTACTAAAATCATGCACCATACCTGTTCTAAAGCAGCAGCAACATCACTTTTTGTACCTTTCCTCAAAGATAAAAACTTCTCACGGGCCTAAAGCACAATAGGAAGTTAAATTAGTTAATTGTCCAGATAAGCGTGGACTAATTTGCCTCTCTACTTTTATCAGTTTATCTTCCAAGCTACAAAATTGATTCCTAGTAAGCGATGGCGCTCAGAAAAGTAACATGAACAAAAAAACTAGCTAGGTTTCTGTAGATATATACACAGCCTGCGCATAAAATTGCAACACATATATACTCAGCTTTGAAAAGAAACCCTAGCCTTCCTCCATTAACGAGAAATGATTCAGATATATTAATTTTTTGAGCTCGACCCATTTTGTCTGGTTGAAAATTTTCATACAGATTTAAATCTAGTAAGAAAAGAGTCGGGATGAGAACTTTTAATCTTTCCAAACTATCTTTTGTAGTGCAAAGTGCAAACCAAGTCAGCAGAGTGGAGAAACAAAAATTCTTGACAAAGGGATACCTGGTCGTAGGTAAGACTAGCCTTGTCAAAGCGCTTCCGAGCTTCCTGTGGCAAAATGATCTCTCAGGATTCCATATCCAAATATAACCTTGTCATGCTATTGCTAGCCTACTTTAGAAATGGAAAAAGATATATATGGACTAGCCACAATGTATACGCAGGCTCAAGAAACTTAACCATATTTTTCGCAATCATCAGACCTCTACATTAATGACCTCAGAAAATATTTCTAATTATATTTTGTTTGGGGAAGGTTGACTACCTGAGTGATAGTTAGTTAGCTTTTTTTAAAGATTTCTAGTGCTGCAATGCCAAAGTCAAACCAGAAGAATTAGACCTAATCTCCATATTAAATTAAATGCCTCTTGGCAGGTCTTCATAATTTTTTCTACTCACACATGCAGAATGTTTGTCCTCCATTGTTTAATAGATATTCTAGTCGATACTAATACCTTAATGATGCATAAGTTAACTCAAAAAATGTATATCAAGCCAAGAATAAAGGAAGCAGCTTGTACCTTAACTTCATGCAAGTCCATATTGGCAAATTGAAGTAATCTGTCATTCAGTATATGTTCCACCTGACAATGGAACTCATCAAAATCAAAACCTGAACTGAAATGACTTGATCTGCTCTAAACCTATTATACGATGGCTTAGGGTGAAGCAATCTATATAGAGGCCTCTTTGCTGAAGGAAAACAAAGCTATCCAACGTTGATACCACAGAAGAGTTATCAGAGAGAAGGCTGGGAGTGTGGAGAACGGAGAGAGTGTCAATAATAACAAACTAGCATACCTGTGACCGAAGAACTTCCTTATAAGTCCCAATTTCCCGCAACGCAATTGTAAATTTCGTCATTACAGGTCCTGGCGCAGTAAGTTAGAGTTTGTCAGCATTTTTGTTGAGACTAGGTGAATCTAACAACCCTAGCAAAGAGAAAGCGAAGAGCAAGAGCAGGAACAACAACTTCATTACAAATTAAGGCCACCAAAAGTTACTGCTTAAGAAAATTTACGAATTCTAAAATGGAAATGCCTAAAATCTCAGATGACAAGTAGGTGCAAAGAGTATGGGGATAAACAGACAATATGCTACTGCGACTCTGCGAGTTTCCATAGCCTATGTGAAATCGGTCATACCTCCAAAAGCCACACTTATTGGATCATTATGGCCTCCACCAAATGTTTCAAGTGCACTTGCGAAAGCAATGTCCCCATCGTATGCCTCGCCTAGTCCTTCACTGTAAAAAGAAAGGATAATCTATCTCTGTTAAAAGATACATGTTACAGCCAGAAGAAAACTCTAAATGTAGAGCTACAATCCTAATCATTTGTGAAACTTTGAAGCATACGTGTATTTCCGGCATCCTTTGTAAAACTTGAGACTTCTTTCCCGCAATATTTCTGCACTCTCCTCCATGCTTTGTAACTATTTAAGAAAAACAAATCAATATAAGCACACAACTGCGGGAGGAAAATTCAGAACAAAAAGAAAACAGTAAAGACACAATCCTACTTTGGAAGAAACTGCAACTATGGAAAACCCCAAAGATTAAGTGATTTAGGCACTCAGTATAGCGGTAAAAGAATCATCAACTACAGGGAAACAGAGCAGGTTTTGGACAGAATTTGAGCTACACTAGGAACTTCCTTAACATTTAAGTTGAGTAGATATAGCAGAATTCCGACTAAACCAGTGAGCATGAAAGTAGTAGCTAAGTGGACACAAGTGTATCCTAAATCACAGAGCAGCTTTGTCGGAATCAGAGACCCAAACATGTGAATTGGATCATAAGTCATTTCTAATTCCATGGAGCAACAAGGTAAAGCGCAAATAAGCCGTCCAGGCAACTTAATTATTAAACCAATTTCTTAATTCGAACCTTCCAGTGAAGTTCCACTCATATTTTGTGGTATAAATGTCGGTGATACTCAAAAATTAGTATCTGTTCACAACTTTTGAAGAACAAATCTCGCCTAATATGACCCAATTTTAACCTACGACACTAAAAGACTGGACACATCAAGACAAACACACAGAGACAGGAACCAAGATATGTAGTAGAAACAAACCTGTTTGCGGAACATGGGAGAGTCATCAAGCTTAGTGAAATGCATTTTGAGCTAATTCTTACTTCCTCTTCTTCGACACAAACAGCAATTAACATCACACGAACACACACTAACAAAAACCTAAAAGCTAAAACCACCACTATTTTCTCACACAGACAAAAGATGAGATCCTCTCCTCTCGACCCAAAAGCTTTCCCAAAATATCTACAAAAGAAAAACAGAACCCGATGATCTTCAGAGTCTCGAGCCAAGCGTAATTTTGAGCTGGTGTTTTTCTCACGAAATCGAGAGAGAACAAAACAAGAAAACAGTGGGGGGAGTTTTTTTTAGATGAAGTGTCTCGGGAGAAGAGAAGAGACAAACATATCAAAGAAAGAAGAAAAAAAACTTCACCGTCTTTGTGAAAATTTTAACCACAAAAGACGGCGAAACTGTGCCGTTTTAGTTACCGCCGGAGATCGTGAAGGTTGGTAAGATACGACGGCGTTTCAAGTGTAAAATTTTAAAGAGAGGACTGACTGTGCTTTTTCTGTAACAGTGGTCATCTGAGAAAACAAGGACTCGGGCTAAAATCCACTCCCTCCACGCGTCTTTAAAGCGCGTGTAATATTAAAGAAGAGGGAAACTAGGTGGCGCGTGTAGTTAACGCTGTGCCCTCGAGAGGATTAATAGAGGAGAGAGTGTGGGACCCGTTATCTGGTTGCTTCTCCATTACCTTTTGTTCCGGAGAGACAGAGAGGCCAGTGGGGTATAAATGATTCCTTTTAAGACGTTTTTTTTATTTTTTTATGAAAAAATATTCTTAAAAAAATAAATAAATTGAACTCTTAAGGGTGGAAAAAATTGTTAAAGCAAAAAGAAAAGTGGGAGAAATTTGGAAAAAATGGACACGATGATCTTACTTTTTTTTGCAGACTTTACAGTCGCATATGATTATTAAAATAAAAATTTTGGTTTCAAAATCCTAATTGTTTAATAAAATGTATGATCTCTTAGTACAGCACTACAGCTAGTACAATATTGTTTAATCATAACGACAATCGTGTTAAATCTAGTTTAAGATCTTTGTTCAACAGGTAAAACTAAGATATCTGCAAGTAAAAATGTAGTAATAACGAACATTATGTATTAGTACTATTAACCAGAAAAGTTAATATTTTCTAATCTAGTCTTTGTAAATCAGATTTTCTCACATCATGGTTATCTTATGTTTTCTCTCTCAAATGATTTCCGACCTAGTGCTACCAATCTAATGTGACTTAGATCTCTCTTTTCCTTTTTAGCCTGTCGTCTCTTTCATTTCCTTATTGACCTCAAATGGCCTACGGATAGTTTTTTAATTTTTTCTGTTTAAACACCCAAAAAAAAAATTGTATAGAGGTAATAGTGACTAGGCCGATATTGGGCCAAAAAGTAGGAAAATCCATTATGTCAGGCCCATTAAAATTTTATTTTGTAAAAGGTTCACACGCAAGGCGGTCTACTTTATTTTTCGTTCTTCGTTAACTAACTCACACCCATCGATTTGTGAGTTTCAATTTCTAATTGCTTCCCAATGGCGTCGTCTGGATCGGCCGACGATGATTTCCAGTCTCGCGTTGCGAAGATCTTCGGATCTCTCCCCTTCTCTTGTCCTTCGTCTTCCAAGTTTTCTACGTCTTCTGCTCCGGCGTCGCGGCAGCAATCGGGGTCGGTGTGGACTCTCTCCGATACACAAGTAGAGAAGCGGGAATGGAAGCGAGATTCGTACGATAGAGACGAGATTCCTTGTGTTTCATCGTTCGATGAGCTGTTGAGACAACAAAGGATCTCGAGCTCTGCTCGGAAGCCTTTAGAGGATGATCTCAAAGATATCGATTGCGGCGAGGATTTTGATGGTGAGTGGAGTATCAGAGCCTCCATGGGACTTGACCGCACTCTCGATGACGAGGTAAATCAATTTTTTTGTCTCTTAACGATTGTTTCTCATTGCGCAACGAATTACAATTAGGAAGCATTGTTGGTCCTTTTCTCTTGGATTTGGTAGATTCACCTGTGTCTGAATATTGGTGTGTGTTACTTAGCGAGTTTTTGTACGTGAATTTTCAACTTATATAACCAACTTCAAGATTCTTGTATTTGAGTTTTTTCTTGCTAATAATATTATGTTTATATGTAGCACATACCGGTTTATGAATAGGTTGTCACTTTCTTTGATACTGAGTGTTGTTTCCATGAATTATGCTTCTTAACACAGGCAGAGGAAGATGAGTATGATAAAGTCGCACTAGGGAAAGAGAATGACGGTGAAGGCTTGTCTATGAAAGATGCCCTTTCAAAACGGGATCCTCGTGCTAACTATGTTGCTGCAAGAATTAGGCTGAAGGAAGACGGAATCGAGGCCAACAAGTTTAATACTTCTGCCAGTCAACCTGCGAAAAGCAAAGAGCCACGCGCAGAAGAATCATCCGAAGCTGTGCCGCGAAAACCTATACTCAAAAGGAAGGAGAATAGTTCAGAATCAGAAGCAAGGACAAGTAAGCGAGTCAGGTTTGATTTTGTGTCTGAAGAAACATCAAAGAAACCTGAAGATACTTGTTCAGCTTCTGTCTCCTCAACAAGCGTATCTCATCAGGGTAAAAGTGGTGCTCGGGTACCAGATTACTTGCTAAATCCTTCGAGTTACACCCGTTACAGCTTTGATCCATCTTGCGAATTGAATGAGAAGTCCCCAACAGGAGAATACATGGACACTCCCAAGGCTGTTGAAGGATTAAAAACTCCAGAGTCAGAATCATTCTCAAAAGTCTCTTTTATTCCACAGAAGAAGACCAAGGACGTAAGAGAAGACAGTAGTAACTGTAGTGAGACGAAGCCTGTTGTAGCTGGAGAGTTGGCAGAAGAAGAGAGACCAAGTGCAACAGAAGATGGGGATACTGAAGTAGGAGAATCAGAGAGCTGCACCAGTTTCCAAAGGAAAGGTCGTCAATATCGTGCCAAGCGAAGTTTAGATGAAACAGATGTCTGATCTTTCACATACCAGTTGGTTGGAAAACGCTACACAGAGATGAAGTTGGGGTCCATGAGATACAAACATGTAGCATCTTTTAGCAGTACATGTAAGATATTTTTAATTCCTGGACTTCTTTTTTACCTAATTTAGAGACTATATTACAGCGAATGTATGGTAACATAGTAAGAAACAGTTTACCTTTGAGACTGGTTGATAGAACACGCAGAAGAGAATCTAAAGCTACCTCAACTTCCTCGAAGCAACCTTGATAGATCACCAGAGATGTTGCCACAAGTTTAGTTTCAACACTAGTGAATCGCTTATGGGAAGATTCCAAGGTTGAGAGACATTGTTTTGAGCAAGAAGTTTGTAATCTACTTGTGAATGAGAGACTGCTTGATCATGATGGAGATAGCCTCTTGATGACAGAGAGAAAATAAAGATTTGTGAATATAGTCGTGGAATTTATGAGCAGGTGAAGTCTGTTGATTCTGAGAAAGAAGGTAACACCTCTTCTTAGTTTGTTTTGATTCAATTCATCAAGTTATAATATGACTGCAGATTAACCAAATCATGGATTCCATTTATTTGCGTGAAAGGTTTTTGCTTAAAGCAAAGCTGTCGTTAATTGAGCATTGCTTAGTGTTCATTCAGTTAGTGAATCTGTTTTTACGGGTTTTCAGCTTATGGTTTGATCAAAAAACCACTCGTTGTTGGAGTGTTTGTTAGTCCAACATTGAATATGTCTTTCCTGGCAGGAAAAAGTTCTAATCTGAAGACAAGACTGGTCTGAAAGTTTCTGATTTGTTTTAGATGAGATGCATATATATGTTTGTATGAACGAAAACAGAGGAAAAAAATGGGAGGGACGGACACAATAATAATGTTGCTGGGCCTTAATAAACAGCTTCCACAAGCTGTCTTTTCTCCGTAATATGCGAGCATAACTCGAACCATATTTATCATTTTTTGTAACTTTCTTAAAGGTCATTTCAAGGATAGCTGTCTTAACTATGGCCTCTTGTTTCTGCGTACGGATGCATTTATAAAATGTTGTTCATTTAGCTAATTTGACATTTATGAAAGATACGTGTGTTTTTGGAAGAACACTCCAAAATGTCACTAGACACCAAAACCCACTTGGTGTGTATATTAAAGTCAGAGATGGAGACGACTTGGAAGTTCATTTTGATCAAAACTCGTGTTTGACGTTGTAGGCTTGTAGCATATTAAGAAATGACTTTCAACTCTGAATGTTTACTTGGAACATCTTTTTCTTTTTCCATAGAATTTCTGGACAAATATCCCTCCAGGCCCACATTTCATAATCTCCATTAAATTAAAGTTTTAGTTCGAAGGTCAAACAACCCAAACAGTTTTGGTTGTATTGAATCCGTTCAGAAATTTCAGTGCAACCAGAAGCAATCCATAAAATATTTTTTAATTGCGATTATAAAATTTGTTTTAAGAGGTTTAATAAATATTTTGTTTTTGACAAATAAAGAATTTTTATAATTAAATTATATATTTAACCCCCCCCCCACCCCCCCAACCCCCAAACCAAGAAAACAAATAAAATATAAATACAATAAATAATAATATCTCTTCTAAATTTATAACTTCTTTGGAAAGTCCAAAACTCGAAAATGTTCGAAATAATATAAAGATATTTATTCGGAAGATATATTGTCTTATACGGCCCGAGAAGCGGATGCGTTCCGCGTAGCAACTGTTCGGGCTTGCATGGACGCTATTAAGATCGACACGATTCAGACTCTATTGTCTGTCAAATCTATAGCTCGTGTGATGTTTTAGATACACTACGAGGCGATGGATGGTTTGTTTTTTCTCGCTATTTTGAATTTCTCACATAATTTGTCACATTTTCACACATAGTTTGAATTTCTCTTTTGGGCAATAAAATATATTTTTCCGTCCTCTTTAACTAGTGTGATTTTTGAGACATAATTATAAAAGTTTTAGTTTAGCTAATTGGCATTCTAGATGAGTAGTCATCCTTTGTATCGAAGTTAGAAAATTCCAAACTTTTGAAATTCTATTTCCTTTCTTTCTTTTTGATTTATCTTCCACGTTATAACAATGTTTGCCTAGTAAAGAACAAGCACACATAAGATTTTTAACTTTCATGTAAATTCTTCTACTACAAATTGGTTTTTTTATGCGTAAAATCTTTTTACCTGAACTTACATGGATGAATTTGTTTTGATAAAAAAAATTAAATTTTAAATTTTAAATAAAGAAATGGTTCCATATTGCAAAAGAAAAATGTAGTAGGGTTGGTGAAAAGATTATAAAATTAAATGTTAATAGTTAATGGAGAATAGAGAAGATAAAGAAGGGAAGAGTTTAACAAGAAAATAGTTTTGGTTTTTCCTTTTAGGGCATTTGTATTAATTTAAGAAGAATTAACAATGTTTGGTTTGGTTGAAGTAAAAAACATATATAGTACCGTTGGGTAGGATAAGACTAGACTACGATTGGAGCTTAAGCGAGAACCATATAATATCAGTGATACCTTTGGATCGTACTGTCATGTGTTATTGATCTTTATTTTTGTTTTTGTTTTGGTTTAATAATGCAGTTTCACAAATTTCCGAATCCTTTGTAATTGAGTGTATCAAGCTGGAGAGAAGAAACGAGACTATTGCAGGTGAGTTTAAAGTCTCTTGCGTTCAATTTCGTGTTCTTTTCTAATTTCGTTGAATATGATATTGAAACTTCGTTTGTAATTTCTTCTAGTCTCCATCACTTTCATCATGACTCACAACTAAATAAATAGTTTTTGTTGACTCTCATTGTAGAGTCTTTTGTGGTCTTTAATTTGTTGTGTTTGAATTTAATTATATTTTTATTATTTTGTTAATATTTAATTATTTATATTTGACTCTCACCATAGAGTCTTTGTGTGGTCTGGTCTTTGTGTATGAGTTTTATTTTTCTTGCGCGAAAGTTTTAACTTGTTTTGGAAGTACAATTTTGGCCGAAGTTCCTTGTGATTTCCCTGCTTTTTCCTGACTTTATTGATTCTCAGGAAATAGATACCAACAAATATATAAAAAAAACCTAAAATATTTTTTATAAAATATATATGTATTTTCGAGAAACCTAATAAGTCTGGTATGACTAGCAATTCCTCTCACACAGTACACGTGTAATTATAATATTAAGCCTACCAATGTCTTTGGGAATCCATGAATTAGTTAAACTAATTTTCCATGAAACAGTTAGTTACTAAACATTTTCCATGAATCCTTAGATCGATGTCAAAGTTTCCCATCATTAAGATTCTCACTTCTCACACAAGTCTACACAATTACTAAGCATGTCTATGGAAATTTACGAAACCACATTTTCCACGAAACCAAATTTTCCACGAAATTTAAAAAAAAAAAAAAAAATTCCACGAAATTACATTTTCCATGAATATTAGTTAAACAAAACAATTAGATGTCTCTAATGAACCAGACTTGCAATTGGGTGAATTGCAAAATATTTTAGGTTTTTCTAATATTAAATGAATATTAGTTAAACATTTTCTTTTGTGAGCAATTGCTTGAATATTAGTTTAATCATTTTGTGATTGCGTGTTTAACTAATACTAGTTAAATATCCATATCTTTTGTGAGCAATTGCTTGAAGCCAGACTTGTAATTGCGTAAATTGAAAAATATTTAGTTTAATATAATATTCGTTTCATGGTTTCCTTCCATTTAAACGAAATTACTTCTCAGATGTCTAATACCTTTGTAATCAGTTAATTACTCCGCTCGTATAATACACATGTATAAATTAATCTATTCCCAGTTGTTGGAATACAAATAAAAATGAAGCATTATTTCATATTTGTGTGTCACCTTTCACACGCTAAGGTCAGGATTCTATAATCAATTAAAGCATATTATCAAATTGTGTTTACTCGGTCGAGACTTTTTCTACAGTTAAAAAATTGACCTAGACTCACGAACTGCCAAATCCATTTAATTATTTAGGGTTTTTCTTGCTATATATAGAACCCAAGTGTTAACTCTGTTTTCATATCAACTAATAACCAACTATAATCCATTCTCTTTCTTTTTTCATATCAACTAGAGAGAACCAAATATGAAGCCAATCTCCGATATCAACGAAAGTTTTGAGCAGCAGCTGAAGTATTTAACTTCAGATGTGAAGCAAATACAAGACAACTTGTTAGAGGAGATAATCACACCCAACACCAAAACAGAGTACCTCCAACGTTTTCTCATCGATAGGTTCGATAAAGATCTCTTCAAGAAAAACGTACCGATCGTGACATATGAAGATATTAAGCCTTATCTCGATCGTGTCGTTAATGGAGAGTCATCCGATGTTATATCGGCTCGACCTATTACCGGTTTCTTGCTAAGGTACATAAGAAACTCTTTCTACAATTTACATACAGTTTCTTTCTTGTCAAAGATTATATGCTTACGTGAAGTGGTTTTTTTTTTTGGTAGTTCGGGAACTTCTGGAGGAGCACAAAAGATGATGCCATGGAACAACAAGTACTTGGACAATTTGACATTCATCTACGATCTTCGAATGCAAGTTATAACCAAGTAAGTGCTGCAACATTTTTTCTTTATATTTTTGAACTATTATTATTTGGATCAGACCATTGATAAAAACTCTCTTCTTTGTTATGTTTAGGCATGTGAAAGGTGTGGAAGAAGGAAAAGGGATGATGTTTCTCTTTACTAAACAAGAATCCATGACTCCTTCTGGCTTGCCTGCTCGAGTCGCAACCAGCAGCTATTTTAAGAGTGACTATTTCAAGCACCGGCCATCGAACTGGTACTACTCGTACACAAGCCCTGATGAAGTCATCTTATGCCCTAACAACACCCAAAGTCTGTACTGCCATTTGCTCTGTGGCTTAGTCCAAAGAGAAGAGGTTGTGAGAACGGGTTCCATCTTTGCTTCAGTCATGGTCCGAGCTATCGAGGTTCTTAAGAATTCTTGGGAGGAGTTGTGTTCAAACATCCGATCGGGTCATCTCAGCAACTGGGTCACAGACTTGGGTTGTCAAAGCTCTGTTTCTTTGGTCCTTGGAGGGCCACGTCCTGAATTAGCAGACACGATTGAAGAAATATGCAACCAAAAGTCTTGGAAAGGTATAGTCAAAAGATTGTGGCCAAACACCAAATATATCGAAACTGTTGTTACCGGTTCAATGGGACAGTACGTTCCCATGTTGAACTACTATTGTAACGACTTGCCTCTCGTTTCAACAACTTACGGTTCTTCGGAGACTACCTTTGGGATCAATCTAGATCCTCTGTGCAAACCTGAAGATGTTTCTTACACTTTCATGCCCAACATGTCTTACTTTGAGTTCATACCAATGGATGGAGACAAGAACGATGTGGTTGACCTAGAAGATGTGAAACTTGGGTGCACTTATGAACCCGTGGTCACAAATTTCGCCGGTGAGCTTAAAAACATTGATCATGACTTCAATAAAATGGGGTTACTTTTTTTTTTTATATATTTGAACTAATGTTTGTGATTATGTTTTTCTTGTTCAGGCTTGTATAGGATGAGAGTGGGAGATATTGTACTGGTGACTGGTTTCTACAACAACGCGCCTCAGTTTAAGTTTGTAAGAAGAGAAAACGTCGTCTTAAGCATCGATTCCGATAAAACCAACGAAGAAGATCTGTTTAAGGCCGTGAGTCAAGCGAAGCTGGTTCTCGAGTCATCAGGTCTCGATCTGAAAGACTTCACCAGTTATGCTGACACCTCAACATTTCCCGGTCACTACGTGGTTTACTTGGAAGTAGATACCAAAGAGGGAGAAGAGAAGAAGACGGCAGAGTTTGAGCTCGATGAAGAGGCACTCTCCATGTGTTGTTTGGTAATGGAGGAGTCGCTTGATAATGTTTACAAGAGATGTCGATTCAAAGACGGATCGATCGGGCCTCTGGAGATAAGAGTGGTGCGTCAAGGAACGTTTGTTTCTCTCATGGACTTCTTCATCTCACAAGGTGCTTCCACCGGTCAATACAAGACTCCCAGATGCATTAAATCAGGGAAAGCCTTGCAAGTACTGGAGACATGTGTGGTAGCCAAATTCTTCAGTTCTTGATTCTCAAGTGATTTGTTTTTTGTTTGTTTGTTTTTTTTTTTTTGATAAAAGGGTATGGTTCAAGTGATTTGTTGTGATTTGAGTGTGTACCAATTTTTCTGAATGTTTGTTTATATTTTATAATATGTATATTGATTCAGTCTTTGTTTGATTTAATTTCCTCTTTAAAACGGAAAACACCATTGAGAATTTCCGAGTCTTTACTCAGAAACAGAGCATTTTTATTCAATAGAATTGAAGTTGGAAATGGTTTATAATGGACTTGGAAAATGGCCAAACAACATTGAGATGAAACCAAACCCTTCGTTACACTTCACCACCCTGAGCCATGAGTCCATGACTACCAACTACCAAAATAACAATCCGGTTTTGTTTTGTTTCGTTTGTTTCGGTTCGTGTGTTTTCATCTACCTTGAGTAGAGTGTCCAAAACACACAATTTTCTATGCAGAATTGATGCAAAATTCTCTCCAAGCAAAAGAAAAGATTGGACTCATCAATAGAAGCAGACCCAGCCCAAAGGATGGGGCATAGAGGTGACGGCCCAAAGGCCCAATAATAATCCAAAACAATTGTGACAAAAGGCCCATCAAAAACAAACATCAACAAAAAAATAGCCTACAATTTCATTTTTTAGATTTTTTTGTTTGTTAACTAGGCTCAAATATTTTAAACTTCTATATTTAAAAAAAAAATAGGCCCAATCATTTAATTTTTTTAAAATTTACTTTGAATAGCTTTTTAAAAAATCAAAAATTAACTCTAAATAGTAAATATTTAAAAATTTCTTTATTTTTTAAGAGATCCAAATTTAGTCTCACAAAAAAAAAGAGATCCAAATTTATTTATTTTTCCTTAAGCTATCAAATACACTGGGGCGAGGTTAGCATTACCGAATTACCAATGTACCCAAAATTAATTTAAAATGTGGTTAATTGATCATATATGATTTTCAAATGGATACATCCATACATGCTTTGATTCCTAAATTAGATCAATAATGATTTTTCATACTTGATGCATACAGATTCTATTAATTTTTATAATTTATCAATTTGTACATAACAAATAAATATTCGATCGAATTTCAAAATTTTAATAGATAATATACTGGAACAAGATACATATACAAAATTATACCAATAAAAATACCAATTATTTTAATTTTGTTTAAGAAAAAAGAAGAAAGATCATCAGAATGTTGGGTCCGCACTCATTCCTAATTTGTGCATAACACTGCTGCCAAAACATGCGAAGCTGATAAGCTCCCAAAAAATAAAGATTGAGAAAAAGAAAAAGAGAACTATGAACTCAAACAACGGTCCCACCTCGCACCATTCCAAAGATTTTAATTAATATTTTATCATCTTTTTATTTCTTGTAGATCCTTCTCTTTATAAAACCCTTTTGTCACCTCTTCTTTCCTCATCATATCACATCATAGCCTAAACTAAAGACGAAAACCCTTATTTTGCGATCCCAACTTGTTGTTCATCACCAAGCCAAGCTCCATGTCCTAGTCACTCCGCAGATTCCCTTTCATCATCAATTCATTCAAACTTAGTTCCTTTCAAATTCTTGTACATATATACACACTCGTGTTGTTCTCTTGGTGTGTGTGTGTTACATATCCGTGTGAATACATAGTTTGTTGTAAAAGTGGATCGGAGGTATGGAAAGGGACCGGTTCCACAGGAAACATCGGCGGCGGCGGATGATAATCCATCTTGGAGCGAGACTGATGTCAACGCCATGGTCTCCGCTCTCAGCCGTGTCATCGAGAATCCGACAGACCCGCCGGTCAAACAAGAGCTTGATAAATCTGATCAACTTCAACAAGACCAGGGTAATTATTGCAATAATTTATATCTTGATCATATGTCTTAATTGTTTTTAGCTAGTTGATGTATAACTTGTTATAATAAGTTAACTAACTAAAGACTTACTATTAATAACCCTTTGTCGAATTTTTCTTACTTAATAATTATATTTGGGGAAAAAAGGAATTTGTATAGGTTAGGTTCAAGTTCAAGTTCAATGCATCTGTCATTTAATTTACTTTCCGTAAAGAACTTTCCTTCTGATTTTGAATTGAACCACCGATCAGGATACTACGTGTCTATCCTTTTTTTTAATATATACATCTAGATTTGATTTTTTTTGTTTCCAAGTACAAGTTAGATATATTTTATTAACTCCATGTATTAAGTCGTCAAACATATATATAACCTACATATGGCTTCTTACCTAACTGATTAGAGTAATTTTGACCACGCATGTTCCTTTGTTCATTTGAATATTTAGTTGTCTTAGATATCATTCTCTACAACTTTATGGTTGTCCTTTTATCAATATTTTGAAGTATTTCAGCATGATTTACTCGTTTTTTAGGTTCGTTAGTTAGAAGCCAAAATATGTCAAACGACACATACGCAAAGTCTTTATCAAAAATAAAGTCTAATTAGTTTATCCTTTTATTTCATAGTCACAGCATCAAAATTTTATCCTTTGAATGCTAAGTTAGATTTATATATGTCATTCATTATACACAAAAAGACACCCGAAATTACTCATATATATATAGAAACAAAAATCCAGATTTCTTTTCTAGATACGGTAACCTTTATAATATGTACCAATATAAATCCCACGTACAACTAAACTAAATCTTAGAATGAATCTTAAACTGAATAACCAATATGTTTTGTTCAGTGTTATTAGTTTATTTGTGTGAATTTTGAATGTCAATATGTACTTAGCTGTTTGACTTTTTGAATATTTCGCTGGTCTGACAAGAAAAAAGAAGAATATTTCGCTGGTTATAACTGATAATGTAATAAATATAGTATTGAATCAATTATTCAACTGGATTGAGTACTCTATGCCTCTATTCCATAGAGAGGAATAGTATATTGTGTAAAGTTCCACAATCACATAGTTGATGCGTTTTAAGTATTATTGTATGCATCATCATTAGTTAAATCCTTCCTTTTTTCCATTTAAATCAGAAATATTAAACTATTATTATTTTCTTCAATTATTCTCTTGCTATATAATCACTCGTTGAAATTAAATCCCACGTAGCATAATTATTCTCATGCATGTAGAATTGTACATGCAATATGTAATATTTTTTTCCTTCTTGTTTCATGTATTCAAGATCAACCAAGAAGAAGACACTATAGAGGCGTAAGGCAGCGACCATGGGGCAAATGGGCGGCCGAAATCCGTGATCCAAAGAAAGCAGCCCGTGTCTGGCTCGGGACTTTCGAGACAGCAGAGGAAGCTGCTTTAGCCTACGACCGAGCCGCCCTTAAATTCAAAGGCACCAAGGCTAAGCTAAACTTCCTGAACGGGTCCAAGGCCCTACTACCACTACAACCATTGATCATACCCCAAGAGGAGTTAGTGAATCAATGAACTCGCCTCCTATTCGGCCTGGTCCACCTTCTTCTACTACTACTACTACTTCGTGGCCAATGACGTATAACCAGGACATACTTCAATACGCTCAGTTGCTTACGAGTAACAATGAGGTTGATTTATCGTACTACACGTCGAGTCTCTTCAGTCAGCCTTTCTCAACTCCTTCTTCATCTTCTTCCTCCTCCCAACAGACGCAGCAGCAACAGCAACAGCAACAACAACAGCAACAGCGTGAAGAAGAAGAGAAGAGCTATGGTTACCATTATTATAACTACCCAAGAGAATAATCTAATTATTATTGTCAGGTCCAATCAGTTTTATATATCGCTACCATTTTCGTTTCATTTTTGGTTTCCGTAACCTTCGTTGCATGGGAAATATAAATGAACGAGAGACGTGTGTAACAATTTGTTTTTGTTTCGTAATTGTTAGTTAAATTTGGATTTGCTGAAGTTTGATTTTCTGAAATATGTCATTTCTGAGACATAAATCATTTGACGATCATTTTTGAAACCAAAAAAAAATGTTAGAACGATTTTTGGGAGCATGTTTGGAATCAAAACTTGTAAAACTGTACAACAAATATAGATTTGACTCTTTAGAGCTAACCAGCTATGAGTTAAAACTTCATCGAAACCTAGATTTCAACTATTTGAAACCTTCGCAGTTATGCTGGCAACCCAGACACAAACCGTCCGTCTATCATCGGACAACCTCGACCGAACACGAACCACAATACACATCTCAACAGATATCCTGGTCATGATAACTGTTGGTGTTTGAAAGATGAGAGAGATGTGGATTATTGAACTAAAGAGTAGTTCAGCTTTTCGAATCTAAAAAAATGGTAAAAATGTGTAACATAGACCACGAACGTATATGACCATATATAGCTGAGAAATCGATCCACTAGACAAAAATAAGTTAATTCTACATAATATCCAATGCATGCTTTCTAAACATCTCCCGCTATTTCTTACGGTTTTTCTAAAATATAGAGTTTGAGTTAAGGCTTCTCTTTCTTGATCAAGAAAAATTATAGATACTAACATGGTTTTAACAAGAAAATTATAAGGATCTGTAATCATATATGTTCTAAGATATACTAATCATCAATCATACTTTCCAATTGCAAGCAACTATCCTAATTTACTAAAACCAACAAAAAAAAACTATCAAAATAAACGTGCAAATGCATCTAAACAACTTGTTGCATCAAAATAATGTAATAAAACATCAAAAAATAGGGACGTAATTAGAAATGCAGTATCCTTCCCCATGCTTATATCTTGTCTCATCTCTGAGCAAATCATTAACCGAATATGGGTGATACTATAATTCCGTAAACATAAGAATATCAAAAAGAAAATAAGAGAAAGCAAAAATCAAAGTACAAAAAGATAGAGGGGAATGTTACTCGAGCTTTAGTCGTGGTCCCTCTCAGTACGTATAGTTCGCATAGATTAAAATCTTCTTCTTTTTTTCTTTTTTTTTTTCACGTGCAGTTCTTTTCAATTTTAATGAAATATTGCAGGAGCTTGAACGTTCTCTACGAAAATTAAACACCGGTGCACGAGCTATTACTCGAATATTAAGAACTGGGACATTTGTTTCATCTGAATTAGATTAAAAATGTAGTTTCATTTCTTATGTCTTACATCTTCAAACTTGACTACTCCCGGAAAGTTTGTTTGAGCAGATTTAGTCGATGCTTATCCATCTGCTCAAACAAATTTTCTTTGTAGTATAAGTGTGCTAAAAAATAAAAAAGTGTGCTCAAACAAATCACAGATGATCACAACGAATATCGCAATCACTAATCATTTAAAGAACAAAAAAACTTGTTCAGCTAAAAATATAGCAATCCCAAAACCAAAAAGTGTTTCTTACAGAATAGTGAGACTTATCTGTCCACATATTCATGTGATCTTTTTTAGAAACGCATTTGTGTGCATGCATCAAAATCGTACTCGATTATATTTATTTGTGGTTTATGTTTCTTCCTCTTATTATTATAATTAATATTGATACATGTGAACATGCGAGAGTAGGACAAGCAAACTTGGTCTTGAGATTTAGATCGAGCTTACCCCACCAAAGATAGTACTTTAAACACCGTGTATCTTTCATTATTCTATTTCCAGTTTGATTGGCCTTCCCTCGTGATCGTCTCAGAATAGTTTCTGCAATATATTCCACATTACTTACACTATTCTATTAGACTATTTCATGTTTATGGATCTAAATTCAAAAACTTTTTGGTTAATAAAAAAATAATATACATCTATCTATATGTATGTCTAGTTACTTTTTTTTTGGCTTCACATTTTTTGGGTTGGTCGATCTATTCGGAGATTGGGTGGGTTGATAATTGACATCCATAAAATGAGATTAGATGAGATGATGTAGAAAGATAAGTAAAAGAGCTTTCTTCTACAGAGTTACGCATGCGCAAAGGCAAAGGGCAAAGGGAAATTGGGTCCCATCCCACTTGGTTACGTCAAGTGTGTTATTTCGAGGGCCATCTTCCAGATCCCATGACCCAGTCCATTCATCTGTCAATCCTAATATCGATCTTTTACCATTTCTTCTTTTATTTCTAAAACTTAAGTTTCAGCTACACGACACCAACTTAAACTTTCACAGAGACGACATTTCTCAACGCTATTTTCTATGATACTATTTTCATTGCATTATCGTTTAAGATATCTTACACACATGCATTTAAGTTTAGTGTCGTAAATATTTATACATATTCACGGGTCTATTTGTCTAGCCTAAAAACGTTTTTATCAGTTGATCACCTCTAAATAGTCATAAAATTGCCATCTCCTTAATTTCGCCATTTAACAATTTGTCCCTAAATATAACTTTCAGAAAGCGATGTGCCGTTTTCTGAAAACATGAGAACTAGAAAATGATATAACGAGAGAAGTTGAAAAGATATATATGAAGTTCCTAATCTATCTTTTATTTAATGATTTTATGTAAGTTATTTTTCAAGTATAATTAATCCTTTTTGATATTGACTTGGACGTACGGTATCTCTGACAAGAGAGACTTTTACCATGCTTTCGGCTTCGAAGATTCAAATATTGCGGCTGCTTTGCGTTGATTCCGTTGAGAGTGGAACTCCCCCAGATAACAATGATGATCTTCGCATGCACATGAAGATCGCAACTCTTATGTTGTGTGGATAGAGATTTGAATAATATACTCATTTACGTGCATCTTTATCTCATTTTTTCATCTTGTGGGGTATGTTCGTAGCCTCGTACGTAGCAATCAAAACATAAGGGAAAAATGTGATCAGTAGTAATGAGTTTATAATGTGGTCCCAACTCCCAACTCACAGTTGCAGACATTTATAATATATTTTTAGTATTTTTCAGACTTCAATTGCACAATTTATAAAATTAAATGTTACCTCTATCTATTTAGGTGAAATTAACTATTTTTCTATGTTATTTCCTCACATGTTACAAAGAGGCTTTTTATCAGGTCCGGCCAGGCCCAGCCACCAAAATCTGTGCCCACCAAAAGCCCGCCAAACTTATTAGTCTTGTTAATATTTTAAGCATTGCTTCATGCTAACAAAAGCAAATATTATTGGTAGACAAGGATGAAGTTAAAAGTGCAAGGCCGAGTATATTTTTGATCACCATACCAAAGTGAAAGGTGGTACCACATTTAATCCAACGGGAATTTGCATTTTTACAATGATCAACATAGTGAAACAACAAGCTCTTTGAAAGGTCAGCTAGATACAATATGGATCAACTGTATCTTCCTATTCTCTGATACAAAAAGTCAAAAGTTTCTTCAGACTTTGCCTTCATCAATGTTTCCTTAATTATAAACCCATGCCGAAATGCAGCTTGGATCGTGATCTGTTTCCATTTGATAACTTGCTCGAATTTCTAATCTCTTCTTCTTCTTCCAGTTTTTTTCTCCTTGCAGCCTCCTCCTTCTGTCTCTGCAGGAGCTCCAATTCTCGATACCTTTCCTCTTCTTTACGTTGAAGTTCCATTGCTTCTCGCCTCTGAGATTCTTCAACCCTCCTACTATTTTCTTCCAACATCTTATCCAGCTCTTCTCTTTCTCTCCTAGCTTGTTCCTTTAATCATTTTCCCAACTCTTAAGTTTCAGCAAGTATTCCAAAACCAGAAAACCAAACAAACAGAGCAGCAAAATTGAACAAACAACTAGACTTACTTCTTTTCTTCTAGCCTCGTTTAGAGCAGCTTCCTTTTCTTTCTTCAGCTGTATTTCCACATCAAGAAACATCTTTTCATAGGCTTCCTTTGTCCGTCTTTCAATTTCTTCTTTAACTTCTTCGGTTTTCATCCTTTCCTCTACATTTTTCCTTACTGCTTCCTCTATCCGCTGTGCAGTCTCTTCTTCTAGTCGTCTGAGCTCAGCCTCATGCTGCAGTCTTAATTTAGCAGGGAAAAAGAGTTAAAAAGATAAAATTAATAACACTAGCCAATAAAAACTTTTCCAGATCAGATAAAACACACAAATTGATCAGTTATTCTTCCATTCACTGCCTACACAGTATTCAATTTAGATAAGGGAACAAAGAGGTTGACAAACAATCACAAATTTTACTTCTGATAACATTTTTCCACAAATAATATGTCAATGAACAAAAACAGAGCTATAAATTTCCTTCACCTCTGGAAAATTCAAGAAATATATTACCCTTTGGCGCATGTCAACTTGCTCACTAGCAAAATAAATTCTTAGAAATGAATATGTTGGTTTAAGGTTACAAAATTCCACATATATAGTCCATAGAGCTACCACTGTGAATAACAAACTTAATTCAAAACTTGTATAGGCTAATTTATGCAATTTTGTGAGCACCTTTATACAATCCTAAAACTCTGGAAAACTATATTGCCTCAAACAACAAACTAATAAAGTATACTACAATTTGAAAGACAAAGACAACGTTTAATCAAAATTACCTTGCCTTGTCTTCCTGTTCCTTTTTCGCTTCAATCGCAATTTTATGCTCGGAAGGAGACAATGAACTACTTCTATCCCTTTGATGTTGCCTTGGTGTAGGAGATCTGCTCTTCTTGTGCCTAAAAAAATCGGAAACCTACTCTTATGAAGATGTGTTGAACTAGAGCAGCTTCTTCTTCACTAGCAGCTAGATATCAGACATTAATAGCCATAGTGAAGTAACAAAGTAACAAAGTAACAAATTTTCTGGAATAAGTTCTCGGCAAAATCGCTAAACCCTAAACCTAATTCTCTAAGCCATAATCCTAATTCTCTATCCCAAGTCCCTAAACCTAATTCCTCACATCGCTTTATCCACATTTATCACATATTAAGGAAGAAAGATTGTTGCAGACCTTGAAGTGTAGGGTGAGCGGCTGCGGTCACGCCTGCTACGACGGCTGCTACGATGAGTAACAGGCGAGCGAGAGTATCGTCGGCGGTGAGACGGCGACCTAGATCGCGAGTCGTTTCGAGCCATTTTCACCACTGCAATGATTTGATTGGGTCAATTGATTTCTTTCTTTCGGAGCTTTTTTATTAGAAACAATGGCTAGAAAGCCACTTTCTCAGAAAAGTTGGGCTAGAATGCCACTCTCTATTTTTAATTTTATTTATCAATTTCTTTTAAACCAAATTCTGTATAAAAAGGCAAAAAACCCTTAATATCTACTAAAAATTACATATCCAACCATGAGGGACCCAAATCCATACAATTATATTTGTGTTCTCTTCTTCATCGTAGGTTTTTTTTTTTTTTCTGTCATTTTTTCTGTAGGTTTTCTCTTCTTCTTTTTCTTTAACTGAGTTCCAAAAATCCCCAAATCTAATTCTATGAAATTCAATCCAAGACCATTTGAGTTAAGAATCGAAATCAGAGTTTGGAAAATAGTTAATCTCGATTAAAATTCCTTCAATTTCGGCAAGATTTCTCTTGAAATCTGCTTCTTAGATTCATGAAAAGTTTTTAAATTTTGAAATCGTCGTATGAACCTGTTTTACGATCTAAGCTAACTGCGGCGGTTCTAGTTTCACCACCAGCTCCGGAAGAGAGAGAGAGAGACAGGGGTCGAGGCCGATGAGGCGAGGCGGAGGAGAGAGGACAATCTCGTCCAGATTAGAAAAAAACAAGCGTGAGGATAGTCTCCTCACGAAGCGTCGCATGCGTCAGCAGCAGCAGCCTCCCGGAGCTGGCCTCGACGAATGTTGTCGTCGTTGAGAAACGAGTAAGTTCCCGATCTGAATTTCGAGACAATTGTGCGTGACTTTTTGATTTGGATCCCAGGATTTGATTAGTTAGTGATGTATCTATGGAAGGTGATCTGAAAAATGAGATAAGCGTTCTTACTTGGCATTGTGCACTCGTGGTCATGCCAATTAGATAGAATTTAATGTCCGTTGTTTCCCATGTTTTAAGAATCCATGCCGGGCTTGCTTGATGAATGTTGATGAGGATTATGGTTCTCTTGCATTGAGATTTAAGAAAATTGTTTGGCTTTACTTTGCCATTGCTTTGATCTAGAGGATAAAATGAACAAGCTTTGGGTCAATGATTCATAGGTTCTGATTTGTTTAGAAAGTATGAAACTTTTTAGTGTGAATCTATCGGTTATGAAGTTTTGATTTCCGACCTGAGGAAGTCGATTACATTAGTTTCTAGATGAGATTTGATCCGTATGAAAATCTCTTAGGCACTAAGTAGGAATCAAGAAGTCAGGACTAAGTCCCATTCATGCTTGTCTTAAGCTATGATCGCCCTCCATGTCACAAAATTGTTGCATTTTGGGTTTCCAAAGCTACCATTCTGCTCCTTTAAAATTCAGCCTAGCCATTGGCCAACAATGGTTTCACTTTTTCCTTTAGTCTAGGACCTTTGTCTAGGCTTCTTGTTTCATTCATTCATCTGCTTGAATTGGCTGGTTTTGGCGTTGCAGTGTTGCTCTGTCAAAGATAGAGAATAAGTGGAAGGAAGAGCTTGATCAAGAACTGGAAAGAAAGCGCACAAGTCAAGTCTTTTTTTGTGACAATCATGATTGTACACTGCACGTACTTGTGAATTAAGATTGCGCATGACTTATGTTTTTGTATTTCATTTCTGTATTTTGTTGTGTTGTGATTTAAGAATATATGACTTCATGTTTTTGTAAACCAAAAAAATATTTAGATTATATTTACGTAATTGGTTTTGCAGGTACAACTGGTCTATTTAGGTACAACTACGTGTCTGGGTTACTTATAAGAAAGTACAATTAAATCACTTAGGTACAACTGAGACAATTAAAAATAACCTTTCCAAAAAAATTAAAATTGATATTAAAATAAATTTAAACGAAGTAAAAAAAAAAAAAATTAAATATGACCCACGTAAGTATGATTTTTGGCGGCAGTATATTAATTTTAAATCATCACACGTGTGGTAAAGTGGGCCAAAGATAGCATGATATTAATAAAAAATTATTTTGTTTTAAACATAGTTGTACCTAGTTGTCTAGTTGTACGCTCATATTCATAGTTGGACTTTAGCGATTTTTTGTGTATTTCAAGTTGGACTTACATGAAAATTAATAATTTGCAGTTGGACACATGATGTTACACTTTTAATTATCATTTAGGAGGTTTTCATAATACAATATTCATAAAAATTTGATTTTCACCTCTTTTGCTTCATATGTAGTGATCACTTACTAAGTCTTCCTTAAATTTGTTGATTTTTCAGAATTGATAATTTATTTAAACGTAAAATTATATATTAAATTCTCCAAAATATAAACAAACTATTTTGGATCAATACAATAAAAATTTAACAATATATAAGAAATAAATGTTGTTTCACATAAAACACCCCTTCTATTATAAGGAATACTTAGTATATGATCACCTTATATGAAGTAAAAAAGTTGAAAACTTGGTTTTTACCAATGTTCCATTATGAAAACTTTGGAAATGCAAAATAATTTAGAGAAATCATGGGTCCAACTTGTAATTAATTATTTACAGTCTCGTTCAACTTCAGATTATGAAAAATGTGGAAAGTCCAACTATGATTACGATAGTACAACTGGACAACTATGAATATATTTCACCGCAGAAAAAAACAAAAAAAAACTTTTTAGTGGGGCCCACATATTGAGTAAGTACAACATTAAATAAAAATCAAATGCTGAACGTTTTTTTCGGGGACCACATGCTGGAAGTTTTAGTTTTTTTTTTTTTTGCTTTTTAAAAATTAAATAAAGAATAATTCATTAAGGGTAAAATGGATATTACATATATATAGTGGCATAGAGACTCTAAAATGGCATGCCTGATTCATTTTTCTGGTTTAGTGGCACTCTAGCCTGTGTCTCTTTTTATTATGCGACTGCTCTCTTACGATTTATCGGTTCAATGTTTTGTTAACCGGACAGACGCAAATTGAACCGACCTTGTTTGCAACATGGTAACATTGTTGTGTTCTTTTTCTGCTATGTGTTCCACCACCACTATTATGAAATAAATTAATTTTCCATCATATTCTTTTTCTACTATGTGTTCTACCACCATTCATACCCATAGTATCATAGTCCTTGTAAAAATGAACTATCATAATCTTTCTAAAAATGGGATATCAATAGAATTTTCTTTGCTTAGTCTTTGTCAATTAATCCTATTTATGGAAAAAGAGCAAATCTTACGGCAGCTAACATATCGCCACACCACACCACTTGACTGCTTTTTCTAATATCTCCTACAAAGCTTTCAAGCAGAGAAAGAGACAGGCCAGAGCTCATCCATCCACCTCGCCAGAACAAAGGTTTGCTCTTCACTCCTTTGTAAACAATTTCGTGATAAGACTGAGAAAGTTTTTGCTTTTTGTTATTGTTGTTGCAGTGCAGACAATCAAAAGCAGCAAGCAACCATGTTGCCAAAGTTCGATCTAACAGACCCAAAAGCTAGCCTGTCTCTTCTTGAGGATGTGACCACCAACGTAAAGCAGATTCAAGATTCCGTCTTGGAAGCAGTACTTTCACGTAATGCTCATACCGAGTATCTTAAAGGTTTCCTCAACGGTCAAGTTGATAAGCAAAGCTTCAAGAAGAACGTACCCGTTGTGACCTATGAAGATATTAAGCCTTACATCGGCCGTATCGCTAATGGAGAGGCGGCTGATCTCATATGTGATCGACCCATCAGTTTATTTGTGATGAGGTGCCTTCAAAACGATCCACCTTTTTTTTCGAATCTGCGATAACTAAAACAATTTCAAATCTTTGTATATGCAAGATTTGGAGGGATAAAGAAAAATTTATAGATTAGAATTTCCAGAAGAGACATGGAATCTTGGCTCTTATATATCATAAAATGTGATCGACACACATGCACATGCAATTTCATAAGTCCACTTTTTTACAAAAGAATAGGAAATTTGGTTGGAAACTTGTTGATACTTGAGTTGTTAATCTTTAATGCTTTACATTAAAATTGAAGTGAAGAATATATAACGGATTAATTAGGGAAAGCTAATTGCTTTGCAGCTCTGGTACTTCAGGAGGAATTCAAAATTTGATTCCTTTGACAACAGAGGAAGGGGAACAGAGGATTTTTTTTGGATCTCTCTATAGATCTCTACTCTACAAGTAAAGAGTTTTAAACTCCAACTTGTGTCTGTTTTATTGATGATACCAAAAGAAAAAAGAGTAAGTAAAACCCAAAACTCATTGTATCTACGGTTTGCAGGTACGTTGAGGGGATTAGAGAAGGAAAAGCTCTCACGTTCTATTTCGTGAATCCAGAAAGCGAGACTCGATCTGGGATACTGGTCAGGACTATGATAACTTGTATTTTGAAAAGCGTGAACAAAACCAACTCATCTCTTTGGTAAATCAACAAAACCTTTTTCCCCACGTTACATTACACAATTCACTTTTTGGTGAACATGTGCTCATTGGTGCTTACGACTGTTTGTTTATCGTGTTTGTTATATTACTTACAGGGATAGATTACAGATAAGCCCGCATGTAATTTCGACTTGTGAAGACACTACACAAAGCATGTACTGCCAATTGCTTTGTGGGCTTCTACAACGAGATAATGTAGCTCGCCTTGGTGCACCCTTCGCTTCTGTCTTCCTCAGAGTAATCAAGTTCTTGGAAGATCATTGGCAAGAGTTATGCTCAAACATAAGGACTGGCCGTCTCAGTGACTGGATCACAGACGCTCAATGTGTCTCAGGGATTGGTAAGTTCCTCACCGCTCCAAATCCGGACCTAGCGAGCCTTATCGAGCAAGAATGCAGTAAACCTTCATGGGAGGCAATAGTGACGAGAATTTGGCCAAAAGCAAAATGCGTCGAGGCCGTCGTTACAGGCTCCATGGCACAGTACATTCCATTGCTGGAATTCTATGGCGGTGGTCTTCCGTTGATTTCATCGTGGTATGGCAGCTCTGAATGTTTCATCGGTGTCAATGTTAATCCTCTGTGCAAGCCTAGCGATGTGTCGTACACCATCATCCCATCTATGGGGTACTTCGAGTTCTTAGAGGTCAAGAAAGACCAAAAAGAAGCTGGTCGTGATCCCATAGAGAACCATGTGGTCGTCGATCTTGTGGATGTTAAAATTGGACATGATTATGAACCTGTTGTCACAACGTTTTCTGGTAAGTATTTTTCTTGTTTACTCCTCCATTTCAGAACAAGATATGGTTTTAAAATTTGTTGCAGAGTCTTTGCTTAGAGAGAAAATGATAGAAGACAAAATAAACATTTTAATTGTTTTCTTAATGTGTATAAAAAAATTATATGTCTCTCTCAAGATCTCCATATGATTTTACAGGTCTGTATAGGTACCGTGTGGGTGATGTTTTAAGAGTTACTGGTTTCTACAACAATTCACCACATTTCCGTTTCGTGGGAAGACAGAAAGTTGTTCTGAGCCTCCACATGGCCAATACCTACGAAGAAGACCTCCTTAAGGCAGTGGCAAACGCAAAGCTCCTACTCGAGCCACATGACCTGATGCTAATGGAGTTCACTAGCCGTGTGGATTCGTCCTCGTTTGTAGGACACTATGTGCTCTATTGGGAACTCGGGAGCAAAGTCAAGGACGCCAAGCTCGAACCTAACCGCGATGTTATGGAAGAATGTTGCTTCACCATTGAGAAGTATTTGGACCCTCTCTACAGAAAAGAACGAAAGAAAGATAAGAACATTGGACCACTTGAGATTAAGGTTGTTAAGCCTGGCGCCTTCGACGAACTCATGAACTTCTTTCTGTCTCGAGGCTCTTCTGTGAGTCAGTACAAGACGCCGAGGTCGGTGACGAGTGAAGAAGCCGTCAAGATATTGGAGGCCAACGTTGTTTCCGAGTTTCTTAGTCAGAAAACTCCGTCGTGGGGGATTCATCATGAGCTGCACCACAGCCGATAAAACCCCGTCATGTTTTTTTTTTTTTACTTCAGGGCAGCGGATAGTTAAGAATTTTTCTTGTTTTTTTATAAAAAATTAGTCTTCGATATCATAGTCTAAATATTCCTTTTAATGTTTGGACATATATTGGAAGTTCCAATACCCGTAAACCATAAATCTATATCAAAGGTTTGTAGTTGTAATTCGGATTCGGAAAAATCCAGATATCTACTTTTATTGTGCAAAATCCTTATTGTTATATATCATAAAAGATAGGGAGACTCACAAAAATGCCCATTTTTTAATACCCCTTTTCAAAAATGCCCCCTTTGGCTGTCCATTTTTAAAAATACCCCTTTTTATGTACAAAATGACTAAATTACCCTTCTTTTAATAAAAGATATCACAAATATATAAGGAAATATAACAAAATTAGGTCCACAAAATACAAAATATTTTTTGGCGGGAAAAGTGATCCCGCAATTTTTCCCGCCAAAACACTTGTAAAAACTTGTAAAACCTTTAAAATACCTTGTAAAATTTTCCCGTAAAATTTTTTCCCGCCAAAAATTTTTTTTTGCGGGAAAAGTGATTCCGCAATTTTTTTGGCGTTAAATTTTCCCGCCAAAAATTTACAGGGTATTTTAAAGGTTTTTTACAAGGTATTTATAAGGTTTTACAATGTATTTTAAAAGGTTTTACAACGTATTTACAAGGTATTTATAAGATATTATAAGATTTTACAAGCTATTTTATAAGGTTTTTACAAGTTATAAGGTTTTACAAGTTTTTTATAAGGTTTTACAAGTTATATATACCTTATAAAACCTTATAAGTACCTTGTAAAACCTTTTAAAATATATTGTAAAACCTTACAAAACACTTGTAAATACTCTGTAAAACCTTAAAAATACCTTGTAAATTTTTCCCGCCAAAAATTTTCCCGCCAAAAAAATTTCGCAAAAAAAATTGCGGAATCACTTTTCCCGCAAAAAAAAATTTTTGGCGGGAAAATTTTTTGGCGGGAAAATTTTTTACGGGAAAATTTTACAAGGTTTTTTAAAGGTTTTTACAAGTGTTTTGGCGGGAAAATTGCGGGATCAGTTTTCCCGCCAAAAAATATTTTGTATTTTGTGGACCTAATTTTGTTTCAAATAAGGGTAAAATGGTCATTAAAAATTAAAAGAGGGCAAACTTAAAAATGGACTCTCAAAGGGGGCATTTTTGAAAAGGGGTATTGAAAAAGGGGCATTTTTAACAATTTCTCTAAAAGATATTAGGAATTTTGTAGACTACATTTTTATGTGCACTTTTTTTGAAAAATAACATGTGTTGAATTTTCTGGAAATTACCTTTTTCTTTTAATGCGAAAAGATATATGTATCACTAATCTGTTTTACCGTCATTTCCCGTACCCATCCGCATGTCGGTCCAAATTTTAAATTATTTTAAACATTCAACAATTTTGAAGACTATTTTCTTTCATTGTCTTTTCTACGTAGTTGTCTGATAACAAAGTCAAAAACAAATCCACTCATTCATTCTGTTTACATCAAAATACCAAACTCATATGAATTCAAATTATGAATGTTATACTAAATGAATATTTACAAACATTACTCTGCACATACAAGCGAATCCGAATCTAACTATATATGACCAAAACAACAAAATAATTTATATTAAATTAAATTTTATTAGATTAAATTTTTAAAAATATGAAATCTCATACGTATGTGCGGATCAGAATCTAGTTTAAAATTACATTTTCATCCAAAATATATTGTATTTAAGTTGTAATTCAACTAGAATTATTTCAACTACTTTTAAAAAAAATTTACCCAAAAAAAAAAGTTTCTATAAATTTCCAATCATACATTCATACCTATAGAATCTTTCCTGAAAATGGGATAATACCATAATCTTTCCAAAAATGTGATATATATACCATTGTACCATCCAAAATCTAAAACAGTAAAACACTTGTACCACAAGATTGATGACCGTAGTAGTAACCACATTGTTTCTGGTTTTTGTCTGCATTGTTTCTAAAGATTGGGGGAAAGGACAAAAAAAGAAGAAGACAAAAGCACTTATAAATCATACTTTCAAAGTTTCAACGTGTCACGCTGTCAAAAAAAAAAAAAAAAAAGTTTCAACGTGTCACTGATTTCCATTTTAAAAGCTTTTATCTCCTCGTAGTGCTCACCAAAAGGTTAATTAATCCTCTTCCTGAAAAAATATCAAATCTGGCAACTCATCCACAATATTACGCCACCGAACATTTCGCCACACCACACTTTTTGTCTGCTATCTACTTCACCAGAGAAAGTGGCCAGAGCTCATCTACTTCGCAAGAACTAAAAGGTTTGTTCTTTCACTTTCTTGTAAGCAATTTCATTGGAAGGACAGTCAAAAGGCAGCAAGCAATCATGTTGCCAAAGTTCGATCCAACAGACCAAAAAGCTTGTCTGTCTCTTCTTGAAGATGTGACGACCAACGTAAAGCAGATTCAAGATTCCGTCTTGGAAGCAATACTTTCACGTAATGCTCGTACCGAGTATCTTAGTGGTTTCCTCAACGGTCAAGCTGATAAACAGAGCTTCAAAAAGAACCTACCCGTTTTGACCTACGAAGATATTAGGCCTTATATCGATCGTATCGCTAATGGAGAGCCGTCTGATCTCATCTGTGATCGACCCATCAGTGTACTCTTGACCAGGTATCTTCCAAAAAAATTCATAGCTTTGTACTTATAAGTTGAATGCAAGATTTGAAAGAATTTAGACCAGCCTAGAATATGAGAAGAGACTTTAAATCTAGGCTCCAAATAAGAGTTACCCACTTGGATTTAGTTCCTCTGTTTTACAAAGGGAAATTTGGTTCAAAACTTGTTGATGCATGAGTTTGTTAATCTTCAAAAAAGTACATCAAGGAAGATTGTATTTGCAGCTCTGGTACTTCAGGAGGAGTTCCAAAGTTGATTCCTTTGACAACAGAGGAATTAGAACAGAGGATTTCGTTTGCTTCTCTCTATAGACCTCTACTCTACAAGTAAAGAGTTTTCCAAACTTCAACTCGTGTCTGTTATATTGATGATACCAGAAGAAGAGTAAGTAAAACCCAAAACTCATTGTATCTACGATTTGCAGGTACGTCGAGGGGATTAGAGAAAGAAAATCTTTCATGTTATATTTCGTGACCCGAGAAAGCGAGACTGCTTCTGGGATACTGGTCAGGACTATGATAACTTGTGTTTTGAAAAGCTTGAAGCCATCTAACTCTTTTATCTGGTAAATAAACAAAACCTTCGCTCCCACGTTACATTAAACAATTCATTCTTTCTGTTAGACTAATTCCGGGGGTAAACATGCTGCTACTGTGTCTTTACTTTGTTTGTTATATGTGATTTACAGGGATCAATCACAGATAAGCCCACATGCAATTGCGACTTGTTCAGATACTACTCAGAGTATGTATTGCCAACTGCTTTGTGGGCTTCTACAACGAGATAATGTAGGTCGCCTTGGTGCACCCTTTGCTTCTTCCTTCCTCAAAGTAATCAAGTTCTTGGAAGATCACTGGCCTGAGTTTTGCTCAAACATAAGGACTGGTCGTCTCAGTGACTGGATTACAGACCCCCAATGTGTTTCAGGGATCGGTAAGTTCCTCACTGCTCCTGATCCGGAACTAGCGAGCCTGATTGAGCAAGAATGCAGTAAAACTTCATGGGAGGCAATAGTGAAGAGACTTTGGCCAAACGCAAAATGCATCGAAGCCATTGTTACCGGTACCATGGCACAGTACATTCCATTACTGGAATTCTATAGCGGTGGTCTTCCTGTTATTTCAACTTTTTATGGCAGCTCTGAATGTTTCATCGGTCTCAATCTCAATCCTCTGAGTAAGCCTAGTGATGTGTCGTACACCATCATTCCATGTATGGCGTATTTCGAGTTCTTAGAGGTCGGGAAAGACTATCAAGAAACTGGTCAAGATCCTGCCGAGAAACCTGTTGTAGTCGATCTTGTCGATGTTAAAATCGGCCATGATTATGAACCTGTTGTCACAACGTTTGCTGGTAAGTATTTTTTTTCTTGTTTACTCTCTCAATTTCAAATTAAATGACATGTGAATTCTTTTCTTAATTTGTATCAAAATTCTTTTTGTTTCTCACAAGATCTATATATAATTTACAGGTTTGTATAGGTACCGTTTAGGGGACGTTTTAAGAGTGACTGGTTTCTACAACAATGCACCACAATTTCATTTCGCGGGAAGACAGAAAGTTGTTCTGAGCATCGACATGGACAAGACCTACGAAGAAGACCTCCTCAAGGCAGTGACAAACGCGAAGCTGCTGCTCGAGCCACATGACCTAATGCTCATGGATTTCACTAGCCGTGTGGATTCCTCCTCGTTTCCAGGACACTACGTGCTCTACTGGGAACTCGGGAGCAAAGTCAAGGACGCAAAGCTTGAGCTCGACCCGAATGTTTTGGAGGAATGCTGCTTCACCATTGAGGAGTCACTTGACGCTGTGTACAGAAAAGGACGAAAGAATGATAAGAACATTGGACCACTTGAGATTAAGGTTGTTAAATCTGGCGCTTTCGACGAGCTAATGAATTTATTTCTGTCTCGAGGCTCTTCTGTGAGTCAGTACAAGACGCCGAGGTCGTTGACGAATGAAGAAGCCGTGAAGATATTGGAGTCGAACGTTGTTTCCGAGTTTCGTAGCCGGAAAACTCCATCGTGGGAGCTACATGAGCTGTACTCCAGCCGATAAGACCGCGATCACAATTTTTTTTTTTTTTTTTTTCAGCATAGGATACTTGAGAAGGGTGAAACATTGTAGAACCTAAAATAAAAGTTAGCAATGATGAGAAAATTACTCTCACTTGTTCAACTAGTCAAAGCTAAATAGTGTAACAATCTTTTATAAAGTGGGATATCAAATAGGAGTATATCATTAAGTTTGTAAGTTGTAACCATTTGGAAAAAAAGGTTGTAACCATCCAAACCCTCTACTACCGCCAGATTTTTGACCGACCTTCTCACATGGTTTTTGTCTGTGTTATTTCAAAAGCTGAGAGGTACATGTCGCTTAAAAACTTAAGGACCGGTCAAAAACGTTACACGAGGACAAAAATATGGAAAAATTACAAAATCATATTTTATTCATGAAAATATCATTTTGGCATGTTTTACATATATTAAAAAAACTATGTAAAATTTTACTATACTTCTTAAACTTTTTCTAATTAAAACTTAAATATTAGAAATAAAAAGGTATTTGTTTTAAAACTGTATTAAAAATATAAAATGACATTTTGTATCAAATAAAATAAAATCTTAAAACAATATTTTTTGTGAAAAAAAAAAAAAGTAGAGTACTACTACGTTTTGGACATGCACTAAAAATCTAATGTCAAAATTTTTTAAATAAAACAAAACACATGTGTCAATACCCAATGAAAGCTTTTATCTCCTCGTAGTACACAAGTTGGATTCGATTTCTCATCCTTTGTTAAATCCTCTTTATGAGAAAGAAACAAAATCAACTCATCCACAATTGCCGACACCATAACAGTTCGCCACATCACACCTTTGGTCTGTTTTATCCAATCTCTCCTCCAAAGTTTTGAAGCTTAGAGAGAGCGACAGAGAGAGGGGCCAGAGCTAATCCAGAACAGAGGTTTTGCTTTTTGTTTTTGCAGACAATAAAGAGCAGTAAGCAATCATGTTGCCAAAGTTCGATCCAACAGACCAAAAAGCTTGTCTGTCTCTTCTTGAGGATTTGACCACCAACGTAAAGCAGATTCAAGATTCCATATTGGAAGCAATACTGTCACGTAATGCTCGTACGGAGTATCTTAGTGGTTTCCTCAACGGTCAAGTCGATAAGCAGAGCTTCAAGAACAACGTACCTGTTGTGACCTACGAAGATATTAGGCCTTATATCGATCGTATCGCTAATGGAGAGTTGTCTGATCTAATCTGTGATCGATCTATCAGTGTACTCTTGACAAGGTACCTTCAAAACAATTTCAAAGCTTGCATGTTAAAGTTAAATGCAAGATCTTGACTTGAAGTTCAGAGGAAACTTGAAATCTAGGTTCTTACAGAACCTAAATAAGATTTGCCCCATTTGGTTCAATACTCGTTGAGACATGAGTTATGTTTGATAATGTAGATTAAATTAAAGTATAGTTTATTATAAAATATGTAAAGACTTAAGGAAGTGATTGCGTTTGCAGCTCCGGTACTTCAGGAGGAGTTCCAAAGTTAATTCCTTTGACAACAGAGGATTTGGAACAGAGGATTTCGTTTTCTTCTCTTTATGCACCTCTACTCAACAAGTAAAGAGCTCCAAACTCCGAGGTGTGTCTCTTTTGTTGATACCACAAAGAGTAAGTAGTAAAACCCAAGTCCGTTGTTGTTACTGTTTGCAGGCACATCGATGGGCTTAGCGAAGGAAAATCTCTCATATTTTATTTTGTGACCCGAGAAAGCAAGACTGCCAATGGGTTGATGGTCAGGACTATGGTAACTAGTTTTTTGAAAAGCGTTAAACCAACCAGTTCATTTCTTTGGTAAGTCAATAAAACCCTTACTTGCACGTTACATTACATAATTCAGTCTTTCCACAAGTACTTAACCGAAGTGCCTGACCAATCCCGGGGGTAAACAAGCTCTTTGGTACTGCTAGTGTTTCTTTAATGTGTGTGTTATATGATGTACAGGGATCGATTACAGATAAGCCCGCACGCGATTACGACTTGTGCAGACACTACTCAGAGCATGTACTGCCAACTGCTTTGTGGGCTTCTTGAAAGAGATAATGTTGCTCGCCTCGGTGCACCCTTTGCTTCATCCTTCCTCAAAGTAATCAAGTTCTTGGAAGATCACTGGCCTGAGTTTTGCTCAAACATAAGGACTGGCCATCTCAGCGACTGGATTACAGACCCCCAATGTATTTCAGGGATCGGTAAGTTCCTCACTGCTCCTGATCCGGAACTAGCGAGCCTGATCGAGCAAGAATGCAGTCAAACATCATGGGAGGCAATAGTGAGGAGACTATGGCCAAAAGCAAAATGCATTGAAGCCGTCGTTACAGGCACCATGGCACAGTACATTCCATTGCTGGAATTCTATAGCGGCGGTCTTCCTTTGACTTCATCGTTTTACGGCAGCTCTGAATGTTTCCTAGGTGTCAATCTCAATCCTCTGTCTAAGCCTAGTGATGTGTCGTACACCATCATCCCATCTATGGGGTACTTCGAGTTCTTAGAGGTCAATAAAGACCATCAAGAAGTTGGTCACGATCCCACAACGAAACCTGTGGTTGTCGATCTAGTCGATGTTAAAACCGGCCATGATTATGAACCTGTTGTCACAACGTTTTCGGGTAAGTCTTTGTTTCAAAACTAATGTCGTTTTAAATTTTAGTTCAGTCTTCGTTTTTTAATGTGTATCAAAAATCTATATGTTTTTATAAGATCTATATGATTTTACAGGTCTGTATAGGTACCGTGTGGGGGATGTTTTAAGAGTGACTGGTTTCTACAACAATGCGCCACATTTTCGTTTCGTGGGAAGACAGAAAGTTGTTCTGAGCATCGACATGGACAAGACCTACGAAGAAGACCTCCTCAAGGCAGTGACAAACGCAAAGTTCCTGCTGGAGCCACATGACCTGATGCTCATGGATTTCACTAGCCGTGTAGATTCGTCCTCGTTTCCAGGACACTATGTGCTCTATTGGGAACTCGGGAGAAAAGTCAAGGACGCCATGGTTGAACCTAACCGCGATGTTATGGAAGAATGCTGCTTCATTGTTGAGGAGTCTCTCGATGCTGTGTATAGAAAAGGACGAAAGAATGATAAGAACATTGGACCACTGGAGATTAAGGTTGTTAAGCCAGGTGCTTTCGACAAGCTCATGAACTTCTTTCTGTCTCGAGGCTCTTCGGTGAGTCAGTACAAGACACCGAGGTCGGTGACGAATGAAGAAGCCTGGAAGATATTGGAGGCCAACGTTGTTTCCGAGTTTGTTAGCCGGAAAATTCCGTCTTGGGAGCTACACGAGTTGCATTCCGGCCGATAAAACCGCAGTCACATTATCTGTGAGAATTGAGGGCAGGGGAACAATATTTAAAAAATTTCTCTTTAAAAATATTTCCAATTTTGCCATAGTTGTATTACAAACTTATTACTCTGTTGAAAAAAAAGAGTTTATTCTTTAAAGTCGTAGTGTAAAAATATCCTTTTAACAATGGAAAATCATAGTTTCTAGGCTCTCTGTTTTTTCCAGCCAACAAATGCTCTGCTCATTAATTTTTTTTCTTAGTTTACCACATGCTGGTTTTTGAATTTTGTTAAATTTAGAGGAAAAAAAAAGGAAACCGTCCATAATCATGTTGTTCACAGTTACAACTGGGCTAGGTCAAATTTCTGGTTCCCCCCTTCTTTTCATATAAAAAATCACAATTAGCCTGGGATCAAACTCATATTGAAATTAACTGGGATATATAATTATATACAAATTCGAAAGAATTTCAAAACTTTGTTGGTGTCAACAGTCAACTGAATCCATAATGCTTAACTTGCCTCGGCGCCCCTGTAGGAAACTCATCCTCAATTTCCGGCACACGAACATTTTGCCATATCACACCTTTTATTTGCAGCGAGAGAGAGGCCAGGAGCTCATCCACTGCGTCAGAACAGAGGTTTCTTCTTTCCCTCTTTTGTAAGCAATTTCGTGATCCACAAGTGATTTAGACTCTACTTTAACCGTTAGACTTTTGCTTGTTGTTGCAGACAATAAAAAAGCAGCAAACATGTTGCCAAAGTTTGATCCAACAAATCCATTAGCTGCCATGTCTCTTCTTGAGGATATGACGACCAACGTAAAGAAAATTCAAGATTCCGTGTTGGAAGCAATACTTTCACGTAATTCTCAGACCGAGTACCTTAGAGGTTTCCTCAACGGTCAAGTCGATAAGCAGAGCTTCAAGAAGAACCTACCCATTGTGACCTATGAAGATATTAAGCCTCATATCGATCGTATCGCTGATGGAGAGCCGTCTGATCTCATTTGTGATCGACCCATCAGTCTGCTGTTGGCCACGTACCTTCGAAACAATACTCTTAATTCCTCTTTTTTTACCAAAATACTATCAGATGAAATTTTGTCAAAACTTGTTGATACATGAGTTTGTCAATTTTCAATAATGTACATTACATTGAGGTATTGAATATGTAAAGAGCTAAAGAAGCGATTGTTTTTGCAGCACGGGTACTTCAGGAGGAGTTCCAAAGTTGATTCCTCTGACAGCAGAGGAATTGGAACAGAGGATATTGTTTGGATTTCTCTATGCACCTCTAGTTTTCAAGTAAAGAGTTGACTCCAAGTTGTGTATCTTTTGTTAATACCAGAAAAAAGTAACTAAAACCCAAGCCTGTTGTTGTTAATGTTGGCAGGCACATTGAAGGACTTACCCAAGGCAAATCTCTCATGTTTTATTTTGTGACCCGAGAAAGCGAGACTGCCTCTGGATTGATGGTCAGGTTTATGATAACTTGTGTTTTGAAAAGCGTGAATCCAACCAACTCATTTCTTTGGTAAATCAAGAAAACCTTTGCTCTCACATTACATTACATTACATTACATAGTCAACTTTTTCTGTTAGTGTTGTTTCTTCATTGTGTTTGTTACATGATTTACAGGGATCGAGTACAAATAAGCCCGCATGGGATTGCGATTTGTGAAGACACTAATCAAGGCATGTACTGCCAATTGCTTTGTGGGCTTCTACAACGCGAAAATGTAGCTCGCCTAGGTGCTCCCTATGCTTCTTCCTTTCTCAAAGTAATCAAGTTTTTCGAAGATCATTGGCATGAGTTATGCTCAAACATAAGGACTGGCCGTCTCAGCAACTGGATCACAGACGCCCAATGTGTTTCAGGGATCGGTAAGTTCCTCACCGCTCCAAATCCGGACCTAGCGAACCTGATCGAACAAGAATGCAGTAAAACCTCATGGGAGGCAATATTGAGGAGACTATGGCCAAAAGCAAAATGTATAGAAGCCGTCATTACCGGCACCATGGCACAGTACATTCCGTTGCTTGAATTTTATGGTGGTGGTCTTCCTTTGGTTTCATCTTGGTATGGCAGCTCCGAATGTTTCATCGGTATCAATCTCAATCCTCTGTCTAAGCCTAGTGATGTGTCGTACACCATCATTCCAAGTATGGGGTATTTTGAGTTCATAGAGGTTGTGAAAGACCGTCAAGAAGCTGGCCATGTTCCCGCAGACCCTGTGGTGGTCGATCTCGTCGATGTTAAAATTGGCCATGATTATGAACTTCTTGTCACAACGTTTTCTGGTAAGTTTCTTTTACCCTCCGTTTCAAATTAAATGTCGTTTTTTATTTATTTATGATCAAGCCTTTGGTTGAGAAAACAATAAATGATATAAATATTTTTCACTCCTTTGTTCTCTAAATTTATAGTATTAAAAATCTATGTTATTTTTCTCACAAGATATATGTATGATTGACAGGTCTATATAGGTACCGTTTAGGAGATGTTTTACGGGTGACTGGTTTTCACAACAATGCGCCACAGTTTTATTTCGTGGGAAGGCAGAAAGTTGTTCTGAGCATCGACTTGAGCAAGACCTACGAAGAAGACCTCCTCAAGGCCGTGAAAAACGCGAGTCTCCTGCTCGAGCCACATGACCTCATGCTCATGGATTTCACTAGCCGTGTGGATCTTTCCTCGTTGCCAGGACACTACGTGCTCTATTGGGAACTCGGGAGCAAATTCAAGAACGCCAAGCTCTACCCAAACTCCAATATCTTGGAGGAATGTTGCTTAACCGTTGAGGAGTCTCTAGACTCTGTCTACAGAAAAGGACGAAAACATGATAAGATCATTGGACCACTTGAGATTAAGGTTGTTAAACCTGGCGCTTTCGACGAGCTCATGGATTTCTTCTTGTCTAGAGGCTCTTCTGTGAGTCAGTATAAGACTCCAAGGTCAGTGACGTATGAAGAAGCCTTGAAGATATTGGAGTCCAACGTTGTTTCCAAGTTTCTTAGCCGGAAAAATCCGTCGTGGGAGCTACATGAGCTACATTCCAGCCGTTAAAACGGCCGTTACATAATGTGTGAGACTTGAAGAAAGGGTAATTAATAATTAAAGAATAACATAAATCCCGTAACAAATAACTTACAAATGACACGTTAACATACACAATGTATTTCCTGATTTATCATACAAGTTATCGAATATTATAATTGTCGAGTTTTTTTTCTTATTTGGTTCGACAATGTTCTATAAATGGTTAAGATTTAAGAACTTAACAGTAGACACGAAAAGTCGCGTTTTCACTCCTCAGTCCACTCGTCACTCTATGAATACGACAGCGTTTTAGCTTAGCTTGTGGCTTGTGTGAGAGCCACTATTCAGTGGACGCGGACCTATGAGAGCTAATAAGATTAGCGGGCCCCACTAGCAAGATCCAAGGGCTATCGCTCATCCGGACACGTCACCGTTTCCGCGAAATCAACACACAGATCCTTTCTTCATCAGTAAACGGCGAGATTCGCCATCTATCTGCATTCCAAAAAAAAAATTCCGGCGACGATGATGCCACCGGAGCTGCAGCCGCGGCTGTTCCGGCCGCATATAACCTCTCCCACCAGTGAACCTACTCAGTCTTCATCCTCTTACTCCCCTCACATGAGCCCTGCCTCAACCAGAAACTTCATCGATCGAGCTACTCCTACTTCGAGATCCAACAACTCTCGATTCTCTCCGTCTTCCTTCGCCTACAATGGACGGATCGCAATTGCTCTTGTCCCTTGCGCCGCCTTTCTCCTCGACCTCGGCGGCGCTCCGGTTGTCGCTACACTCACAATCGGCCTCCTCATATCCTATATCGTCGATTCTCTCAATGTCAAATTCGGAGGCTTCCTCGGTATATGGATGTCGCTGATTGCTGCTCAGATCTCTTTCTTCTTCTCCTCTTCTCTCCTTTCCTCCTTCAATTCCGTCCCTCTCGGCTTGCTCGCGGCTTTTCTCTGCGCTAAGACTACTTTCCTCATCGGTTGCTGGACTTCGCTCCAATTCAAATGGCTTCAGCTGGAAAATCCTTCCATTGTTGTCGCTCTGGAGCGTCTCTTGTTCGCCTGTGTCCCTTTCACCGCCTCTTCGTTATTCGCATGGGCTACTATCTCTGCCGTTGGGATGAACAACTCTTCTTACTATTTCCTCTTGTTCGCCTGCGTCTTCTACTGGATCTTCGCTATTCCTAGAGTTTCTTCGTTCAAGACCAAGCAGGAAGTTAAGTACCATGGAGGAGAGATCCCTGATGATAGCTTTATCCTTGGACAGCTCGAGAGCTGTTTCCTTTCACTGAATTTGATGTTTATGCCGCTTCTCTTTCACGTGGCGTCACATTACTCTGTGATATTCTCATCAGCTGCTTCAGTTTGCGATTTACTGCTTCTGTTCTTTATCCCTTTCCTGTTCCAGCTCTATGCTTCGACAAGAGGTGGTCTTTGGTGGGTTACCAAGGATTCTCATCAGCTGCAGAGTATTCGGATTGTGAATGGGGCCATCGCCATGGTCATTATTGTGATCTGTTTGGAGATTAGAGTTGTTTTCCGCTCTTTTGGGAAGTATATTCAAGTGCCCCCTCCATTGAACTACCTTCTGGTGACTATAACAATGCTTGGAGGTGCTGCTGGCGCTGGTGCTTCTGTTCTTGGAATGATCTCGAGTGCTCTTAGCTCAGCCTTTTTCACAGCTTTGTCTGTGATTGTGAGTTCTGCAGGAGCTATCGTTGTAGGGTTTCCAGTTCTGGTAAGTATTTTACTCCCCGTTGCACACAGCTTCTATTACTATTTCTTGAGCTTTCCTGTAGTCAAATTTTGATTGCAATAAGACGAGTAGGTATCCCATGGATTTCATTCCAGCATATTGCAACCTATCAGAGTAGTATGTTATTTAAGAGCTGGTCGTAGGAATGAACAAGTTATTGTATTTTTTTTTATGTATGACTGGCTCGGCGGTATAAAGCTTTTGAAGGCTGTAATTCCAAATTTGCACAGCAAACTGTTTACAAAAATTTATAACTTCGCATATATTTGTTTAAAATTTGAAATGTTACATGGTCCTATAAGTTGTCATTCTAACTACATGTGTGACATATAGACGGAGGCATATGTTGTTGTGCCTCCTCGGGCGGTGATTCTTTTCAATCCGCCCAGTATTTGTTAGTTGAAGAAAGTTGACTTGTATGTGTCAGATGTCATCTTCAAATAGTCTTGTAGAATTTTCTGCTTGCTTAACTGTTTGCCACTTTCAAGTAAACCATGTGTCAATCTATGAAGGTTTCCTTTCTAAAAGTTGACACATTGTAATCCATAAATTGCCTCATTCTGATGACCTGTCTTTGATTTATGATCACCTCAATAGTAACAATGGAAATTCACATTCTCTGTTTATCTTGCAGTTTACTCCGCTTCCTGCAGTTGCTGGCCTTTATTTTGCTCGGTTTTTTACAAAGAAAAGTGTGCCCTCTTACTTTGCATTTGTTGCTCTTGGAAGCTTAATGGTTATATGGTTCGTAATGCATAATTACTGGGATTTAAACATATGGTTAGCCGGCATGTTCCTCAAATCATTCTGTAAGCTTATAGTGGCCAACATTATCATAGCCATGGTGATCCCGGGTCTTGTTCTTCTCCCTTCAAAATTTCACTTCCTGACTGAAGCTGGTATGGTGACCCACGCATTATTGCTGTGTTACATCGAGGACCGCTTTTTCAATTACTCAAGCATATACTATTATGGAATGGAAGACGATGTGATGTACCCTAGCTACATGGTTATCTTGACGACGCTAATAGGATTGGCTGTAGTGAGAAGACTGTTTGCTGACCACCGAATTGGACAAAAGGCAGTCTGGATCTTGACCTGTCTGTATTCAGCAAAGTTGGCTATGCTCTTCCTATCATCGAAATCAATTGTATGGGTGTCTGCAGCTCTATTACTGGCGGTTTCCCCTCCCTTACTGCTATACAAGTATGCTCTGGGCAATAACTTCTTCAAGCATTGTCTCATCTTGAATTGAAAACTGATTTTAATTAATTTCATTGGTGGAATGTGCAGGGAGAAGTCGAAATCTGCCTCTAAAATGAAGCCATGGCAAGGTTATGCTCATGCCGTAGTGGTTGCTGTCTCTGTTTGGTTTTGCCGGGAAACAATATTTGATGCTCTACAGTGGTGGAATGGAAGACCTCCGTCTGATGGTTTGCTTCTTGGTTCCTGCATCGTTTTAATTGGTCTGGCCTGTATACCAATTGTTGCCCTCCACTTTTCGCATGTCCTGGTATGTCTTCTACACTATTTTCTTATGTCTCGTTTGATGTATTTCTGTCTGATTTGTGCGTCAAGCCAGTTATCATTGCTACCTAAGAAAGTGTTCTCTGACAAGACTCTTAGGTGGACCTAAAGTCAGCAACATTTCTTAGCAAGCCGGTCATTTAACATGTTATGAATTTGTCAAACTACCATAGGTTGCATCATGGATCTAAAGCATGATAAAAAGATTTATTGACGTTTTAAAGGAAAATTGCTCTATTTACCTGTATTCTTGAAAATATTCATGTTATAAACCTCCACGTAAACTCCATGGAGTAGTAAGACTGTCTCTAGTTGTAGTCTTGCTGTAACTAAAGTCTTGTTTTAAAGGGTTTAAATACTAAAAAGAGAGTTCTCTTTTTTTTTTGATCAACTACTAAAAAGAGAGTTCAATTGTTGCTTTATACTGACCATGATAATTTTATTATTTTTTCAGTCAGCTAAGAGAAGCTTGGTATTAGTAGTGGCAACTGGATGCATGTTTATTCTGATGCAGCCACCGATGCCTATGACGTGGAGTTACCATTCAGACATGATCAAGGCCGCTCGCCAGTCAGCTGATGACATCTCCATCTATGGATTCATGGCATCCAAACCGACTTGGCCGTCTTGGTTGCTCATTGTGTCACTCCTGTTGATTCTTGCTGCTGCCACATCTCTTATCCCAATCAAATATGTAGTAGAACTGAGAGCATTTTACTCCATTGCCATGGGTTTAGCTCTCGGTGTTTATATATCTGCAGAGTTCTTTCTACAAGCTGCTGTTCTACATGCCCTGATCGTTGTAACAATGGTGTGTGCATCAGTTTTTGTCATCTTCACCCATTTTCCATCTGCCTCAAGCACGAAGCTGCTTCCCTGGGTGTTTGCTCTTCTCGTGGCTCTATTTCCTGTGACATATTTGTTAGAAGGGCAAGTCAGAATAAAAAACGATCTCAACGAAAATGTTGCCTGGGGGTGGGATGCAAGGGAGGAGGATAAGAAAGTCACAACCATGTTGGCCATTGAAGGTGCAAGAACATCTCTTCTAGGTCTCTATGCAGCGATATTTATGCTTATAGCTCTCCTGATTAAATTTGAGCTCACTTCGCTTTTGCGTGAGAAATTCTCTGAGAGGACTGGTCAGTCAAAAAACCAAGGCGGCACAAGAGGGATTTTCCCGACACGAATGAGGTTGATGCAGCAACGCCGAGCCACCTCGATCCAAAGCTTTGCAGTAGAGAAAATGTCAGAAGAGGGAGCGGCATGGATGCCCTCTGTTGGTAATGTCGCTACCATCATGTGCTTTGCCATATGCTTAATCCTCAACATCCACCTCTCCGGCGGCTCAAGCCAAGCGATATTCTTCCTGGCTCCGATCTTACTTCTCCTGAACCAAGACTCTGATCTCTTATCCGGGTTTGGTGATAAACAGAGATACTTCCCGGTTACAGTAGCAATATCAACATATTTGGCATTGTCCTCTCTCTACACTGTATGGGAAGAAGTTTGGTTTGGTGGAAACACAGGTTGGGGAGTAGAAATTGGAGGCCGTGAATGGTTTTTTGCGGTGAAGAACCTGGCTCTCCTAATACTCACAGCACCAGGTCACATTATATTCAACAGGTACGTTTGGACTTACACCACCAAACACACAGACGCGTCACCGATGCTGACAGTGCCACTTAGCTTTGCAGCCGTAATAATAACGGACGTGTTTCAAGTTCGGGTTCTGGGAGTTTTAGGCATTGTTTACTCTGCGGCTCAGTATGTGATATCTAGGCAACAATATATGAAAGGGCTGAGGTATATTTAGACAGTCGTAGGATTAGTATATTTCGACCCTTTTTGTAACAGAATTTGTGGAACAGTGTTTTCATTTCCCAGCTTTGTTTCTCAGTGGATGCATTGGAAATTGGCAAAGATACGACGTTTGAAGGACTTAATTTTATGGTCTTCTTACAAACGAACAATCCCGTTAAGCGGATTGTACACGCTTAAACATTAGCTATAGGAAAACAAAACAGGAAGATACAATTAGTTACTGCTGTTTTTTCAAAAAGAATAATATGAGAACGGAACACAGAAGTGGTGTCTTTAAAGAACAGCTATACTCTTGTCTTCCTCAGACTCAATAGCCCTGTACTTGTACCTGTGAGCTGACCAAAGGAACACACAGAAATTCAAAAAGCTCAGAAGTGTGAGCAACCAGTACAAACAGTCGAATCTCCCCGTGTTTATGTTCTGCGACAACCACGATTTCCCATCTGAGTCCCGAGTCGCAGCCTTGACAATATTGTTCAAAATGGTGGCAGCAAAACATCCTAACCCGCCTGCTAAAGCAGCGTAAGCCGAACCAATACTCTTCATAGCATCAGGAGCTTCCTCGTAAAGGAATTCCAATAGCCCTACGATGCAGAAAACCTCTGCGATTCCGATGAGACAGTACTGGATTAACAACCAGTACGCGGTTAGATCAGGCATTTGGGTCAAGAAGTTGAACTCGAATCCATGTTGTATCGCGTAATGTCTCCTGTAGTTCTCGAATAGTCCAGCCCAAGCTACTGATATGATTGAAACAGCTAACCCTATGCCCACTCTTTGAAGCTGGGAAGCACCATGGGGATTGCCAGTGATTCTTCTGGTGATAGGGACGAAGACTGAGTAATAAAGGGAGAGAATGAGGAAAATGCTGAGGCCTGGGAAGACTGGCATGCACGTCACTGGAAGCTTGAGGTGTTGAATGTGTGTGTTGAGTGTGTAAGCTTGTTGCACTGAGAGTGTAAGATACTCTGTCAGGACCAGACTCAGCATTATAGTGCATGCTGGGATTGGAATCAGTCTGATCAGAATCTTCACTTCCTCTACTTGTGTTACCGTGCATAGCTTCCATGGAGATGGCTCCAATCCATCTTCTTTCAGCTGAAGTGCCGCCTTGTCTAGCCATCTGCATATGAATCCATACAAACTGATCAGTACTAGATTAAGTTTTATTTGGGTTACTACATAAACAAAAAATCCGAAAACAGAAGGCCGGGATGCAGAGGTATAAAGCATACATGAAATCATCGGAATGAGGGATTTTACGACTGCCATTAATAGCAGATTTCAAGCCCGGAACTTCGTAAAGACCGATGAATTCGCTACTTGTAAAAGCTGCATTTCGTTTGCGGAAAGCGGCAACTAAGACCTGAGCTACCCTAGTTAAGGGACTACCACCAGGCAACCTATGCCGATAAAGCGGAGTACCAGCAAAGAACAAAGCATTAGAAATCCCCATAGCTACGGCCAATGTGCCAAAAGCCATACCCCAACCAAGTTCCATTTGAACATATACCACCAAAGTGAAGGCAATGATTGCGCCTAAAGTGACCGATAGATAGAAGAAGTTGAAGAAACGGTCTAAATGTGTCTTATAGTCTTTGCTCTTCTCATCAAACTGGTCAGCACCAAATGAGGAAACACATGGCCTTATACCAGCAGCTCCAAATCCGGTTATGTAGAGAACCGTGTAGAGATAAAGCATTTGCCAAGATTTGGCTTCTTCACAATTTCCTAAGAGCAATGATAACTGGCCACAGTTGCTCTGGTCTGGTACGAACATCTTCAAACTTGCCCCCAGTGTTATTCCTATCAAACCCTTCACACATGCCAAAAAAGATAAGAAAAGTTTTCAAAATATTCATCACATAACATATGTTTCAGTCTTGCGTATTTTGCACAAGACCTTGACCATAAATCATAAATAAAAAACCCCCAAAATAGAACAAAACTGAACTACTTACGACAAGATACATAGTAGTGAAGATGGCAATAGTCCAGTATCGACCCAAGTAAGCGTCGGCTAAGAAGCCACCAAGAACAGAGGAGGCTTGAGAGATGCCAAGGAAGTTGTTGACTGCGTTTGATGAACTCTCAAAAGGCCTATGCATTACATAGAACATGAACGCCACCATGTTCACCGATAGTCCGAAATACGCCATTCTCTCTGCCATTTCATTTCCTAAACATTGCAACCATACAACAAAAACTAAGCTGCACTGCAAGTAAGAACTACTGATAATCTAGACGTAAGTGAAATAAATGTTACCAAAAATGAAAAGAGCTGCGATCCAACCACCGGTTTTGGAAAGATTGGCGATGGGTTTGCCATGGATGTTAACCGGAGTGGTTCCTCCGGTATAGCCACGGCCAAGAGCAAGACGTCTGTTATCTGACTCTATGAAGAACACACTCAACTGCTTCCTATGATGCACAGAGGAGCTTCCCGGCGTCTCGGGGACACTCACCGGGGATTTAATCTCCGAAGCAACCATAATCTTGATATTATCTCATAAAACCATGGAAATCGAAAGCTTTACAGTGACCAAAAAAATAGTAAAGAAAGCTTAACTTAATAAAGGAAATAATTGTGATTCAACCAAACAAAATTTGTAAGCAGAAAATGATGTGTGAGGATTGGTTAGAGAAATGTATAAATGCAGTAGCTTAAAATGGGAAGGTGGAATTAAATAGACGGAGCTTAGCTGGTAAGTGGTAGATATAGGACTTGCATTTATTGCACGTGGAGTCCCATGATGTCCACAGTTTCAACGTTCAAGAGAGACGAATTATGTCCTTGATTTGTGCATACATATCTAGAGAGAAATGTGGATTCATTTTATGTGTTTTGTCCTTGGAAGACATAAATCTCATTGAAGGACTTTTACAATGCGTCACTGCAACTTGTTTTGTTTTTTTGGAAATCTTTATTAATGATGACTCTGACACTGAACCAACATTGGCTACTCAACAAATTCAAAACAACATAAGCTTACACTGGTTTTTGTGTTCACATTTATTTTTTTTGGAAAAAAAATCTATGAAATGTAATAAAAACTTATCTCACGAGGAAACACAATTAACATGATGAACAATTGGTGGTGCATGGCTAATGTTTTTTTTTGTTTTCTTCACACTCGAAAAAATGCTAACATTATAATATGATATATAACCTGAGCTCAATTTACACAAATGTGCTGATGAAGTATTCACATCATAAATATATTTTTTATATGTACGTGAGAGTAGACTGTCGATGTTACATCAGTTGGGTACAATTTTGAGGAGTTCAACATCAAAGAGAAGTGTCTTGTCTATGAGCCCTTGGTTCCTCAGCACAAAATCTAATGCACGTTGTCCCTGCTCAACATAAAAAGACAACATTCAAAACTTATGTCTTTCTCATACATGTATACATAAAACAAACACAAGGCTTACAGAGAAAGTCATCGGCCTCGGCCCACTCTTGTTGTAGTCATTATCCGGGTAACCCAGTTCTGGCGGTACAATTATCCTGCAATACCAAGCTAATAATTTACACTTGTGTGAGACTGACATCTCTTCTTCTACAATTTATGGTTATGAATGTGCATTAAGATCCAAGGAGGTAAGTTTATGTTTAGTGTTTACTATATGAACTCCCAATGAAAAACACATGGAAGATGTGTAGAGTGAGAGATATTAGAAAGAAGTTGAACCTTCTGATACCACCTAGAGCCATCCCAGAGACCGCCTCCTCGAAAGCAGGTATCACCTGGAACACCAAAGTCATGCAACATCCAAAAAGAAACAATTCATACCCTCAGCAGTAGAGTCCATGCTTTAAACCGGTAAAACCGACATAGTAACTAGAAGAACTTAATATTGCACCCACCTCATTGGATCCCAAGGTAAATTTGAAAAATTCTTTATCGTCCCCCTACAGATTCACAAAAAAGTACGCAGAGGTTAAGGACCGTATCCTTGTTGCTAATGAAATAAACAAGAGCCAAAACGTGTTCATACCTCAAAAGAACCCCCTTTTGTTTTATTGCGAGCTTCAAATATGCGGCCATAGTAACCTATTGTGTAGCCGTCCCAGTCAACCTGAGATAGCTCAATTTTTAACAACTACAAACAAATTCGGACCTTTGAAACATTATAAGCGCACTCCAAATTCTGTAACCATGGGAAACTTCAAGTTGAACTTGAGACAACTTGAAACCAAAGATACAAATCCATAGATATGCAGAAATTTCCTTACCACAACTTTGTCTCCCTTCTTTGCTATAGGCCCAGTTCCTACTCGCAAATCCTGCATCATCTCAAATATCCAAGTTAAAGATCACCGCATAGTCTAAAGTATAGAAGGTATAATAAGATATGGGACTAATGAGGCGTGACCTTATACTGAAGACCAGATTGTGTTTCTGTATAATCTGGATACTTCATTTTTGTTTTGCCATAATCCTTCCCTTTAAGCGCTGGCACTGTGAATGCAGGTGATATACCGAAAAGAAAGTGGATTCAGAAAAAAGCTATAACGATGATTTCAACAATCTAAATTAACTTCACCTAAAGAAGACATCTTTCTCTCACAACCAAACTCTTAACAGTGAACAAAGTCAGAGCAATCAAACAATGTTCCAAATTACAAATGCCAAAAACTTTACTTGCACAAAGCAACAACTTAATCGAAATGTAACCCTGAGAAAGATTCTCTGCCCTCAAAAAAAGATATTGAGATTCTTACTGTCAGCGAATTGAGAAGCTGATGCAAAGTCTCCATCTTTAGCATCGTATACCAAGCCTCCAATCAATAAACCAACAGAAGAAACCAACAACTTTCTCCGATCAAACTCTCCAGAATTATGACCACATCCACAATTCCCACCTGTTTTCAATACACAATTATTCTTCAAATTCACTGTTGAGGCAATAAAACTATCGAACAGAAAAGGAAAACTAGAATTGCAGAAACCAACCAGAAGAACGAAGAGGAGAGAATTCATCTGATTGGTCAGCTAACCGAGCAGCCACAGTCGTCCGGCATCTCTGAGAATCAAAATAAGATATTTAAGTGAGTAAAGGAAGAAGAAGGAAGAAGAAACAGAGAGATGGTGCGGCGTCGTACGGTGGTGGAGGAAGTTCCGGTGAGCGCTGTGGATTGAGGGAAGCAGCCAAAGGACGAAATTGACGCCATTAGAGTGAAACTTAAAAACGGAATTTTGGTACGTCGAGAGATAAAAAGTCGCAGCTTTTTCCTAGAGACTTCTAGTCTTCTCACTATAATCCCAAATTAAGTGCACAGTTTGAATACCAAACAAGACTGAATTAGATTACTACATTATCTTAATTGAAAACCAAAAAAAAAAACCAAGACAAGGACAGTTTTACTCGCCAATTGTTTTTAGTGAAAATGTAAATTACAAATACGGTAAAAAGTAATAAACTCCTCTGAAGCATCTTGCAAGAACAAAGAAGATAGAACCCATCATAATGTGGAACATCAAGCAAAAGCCATTATAACAACTTTAGAAAGCATAATAAGGGTTGAAGAACAAAAGCCAAAGAAGGTTCTTCTTTTTATTTTAGGGTTTACCCACCAAAAACATAATGATCCTCAATGGCTGGCTAGTTTGAGAGTGTTGGCCTTGTCTTGCAGTGTACCTAGCAGACTCTCGAAACTCTTCTTGAACGAATCTACTCCTTCGTCTTCCAACTGTTCTCCTACCTTGTTCCAGTCTATTCCCAGCTTCTCTAGTGCACTGTAAATCCCTTCTGCTTCTGACACATTCGCATCTATTGTCCTCTTCACGATTCCATGATCTGCGAATGCTTCCAGGGCTTGATCCGGCATGGTTGAAACCTAAAATCACACCCAAAAAAAAACGAATACGCTTGTTTACAAAATCCAGAGCCTATGAATATACTTCCAAACCGTTACTACAGAACATAGACTTAATATTTGGCAGTGAAACATGAGGTCATCGAACGAAAAGATGACTTACAGTGTCAGGTCCGATGAGAGGAGCGACATATAAGGTGTCAGAGTAAGCTGGGTTTTTAACACTTGTCGATGCCCAGAGAAGCCTCTGCTTCTTGGCACCTTTCTTAACCAGAGCTTCCCATCTTGGGCCTGAGAATTTCTGCTGGTACAGCTTGTATGCTAATGCAGCTTGAGCCACAGCCGCCTGCAAGAGTAAACATATACTGTGTCACAAGCTCATACTCGATTCACAGTGGCTGGTGTAAGATTCTCAGCGACGATTAGAGCTTTACCTTGCCACGGAGATCTAGGGCTTCTGGGGTACCAATTTGCTCAAGCATCTTGTCCATTAGAGTATCCACCCGACTGACAAAGAAGGAAGCAACACTGGTAACTCTTGAGAGGTCATCAAGTCCAGACGCCTCGAGGCCATCCAAATATGCATCGATCACTGCTTCATATCTGGCAATTGAGAATATAAGCTGAAACAGAACAGAAAAAGTGAGAAAAGATTTAGAAAAGCCACATCAGTGCATCCATATAACGAAATTCATTCAACAACCTTGAACCAAGCTAGTTTCAGGTTTTAAACCGCCCAGGAAATCCAGCGATCTAGTACATCATCACACTCTACATGACTATGAACTATTATGACTCATTTTACTTTGAAGTTCTTTAACACTTGCAATAAGAACATGAATAATGATACACACTAGGATAACTTACCGTGACATTGACACTTATTCCAGATGCAATGACATCCCTGATGGAAGGAATGCATGGAGCAGTAGCAGGAATCTTAATGTAGACATTACGACGGTTGACAACCTTGCTAAGATATTTAGCAGCTTCAACAGTCCCTTGGGTATCATCAGCAAGCCTAGGTGAAACTTCAACAGAGACATAGCCATCCGCACCTTCTGTCTGGTCATAGATTGGCTCAAAAAGTTTGCACGCATCCTGAATATCCTTCACCACAAGTTCCCAATACGCACTTTCAATGTCCTTTCCTGATTCCACAAGTGTCCTAATAGTAATCCATCCAAAATCAAAACAAAACAAAACAAGTTTATGTCAAATAAACCATTAACAGATCAGCCAACTTTTCACATAAACATGAATACTAAAGTTTTATAAGCAAGTTGTTAATAACCACAGGTCTAGACAATCACAAAAAATATGCATACATATACAAAAAGGAGTACCTGAACTGATCATTATAAGCATTAGAAGTGGAAATGGCTTTCTGGAAGATCTGCAAAGGTTTAAAACAGTAAAGGAGTAAAGACAAATGAACAACCAGAGAGTAAAAGCAAAACCAAACACACAAAGAGAGATGATAAAAGTACCGCAGGGTTGCTAGTAACGCCTCTAACACCACGAGCAATCAAGGGGAGAAGATCTGTGACTGGACGGCATAGATTATCATACCAAGGACTCTGACCTTCCTTCTCATATAGATCATGAAGAGTCGTTCTTTTTCCAGCAGTTCCATTTCCACCAGACACTGAACACCTCACACTGCAAATTGAACAAAGGAAACAGGACACAATCATTGAAAAGTTCAGATTTTTACCATCCAAAAAGAGGAAATACAGTTGCTTTTCCTAATCCATCCTATAAAAAATGTTACTTTGAGATTCGAGGTACGTTTCCAGCTAAAAAAATCAATTTTTGTTGAAACTCCAAAGCGAGAAACAGACACAAAGACATGCATAAATGGATATATAGACTTACGAGAGGGAAGGTCTTGATCGTTGGTTATAACGAAGAGAAAGCTGAGAAGAGGAAAGCTTTGCATTCAAACCGCGGAAATTGACGAAGGATCTGGGTAAGACGGAAGAAGAAGAAGATTTGGAGTCGACGAAGGTGGCGCGGGGAAGATTAGCGAGATTCGAAATGGTTGCCATTTCTTTCGTCGAGGGAAATATGAAAGTGTTTTCTTGGTTTGATCGATCGGAGGATAAAAACAAGAAAAGGGGCTAAAAATGGGGTTGGTGAGAGTTTTGAGTTAGGTCGGGAACGCAAACGACGAACTTAATCATCCTATTTCATGATGGCGATAGATGCTCATAGTTGACCATTTTTTCATATTTTATTTTCTTGCAAATTAATCCAAATATGTCGATTTGCTATAAAAAAAAAGAGAGACTATAAATAAATAGTTATATACTAGATAACAAATCTAAGTAAACCAAAGCATTTTAGTATGTTTAAATATAGCACTTCTTTTTTTATCTCTAATGAATGATTAATCACTAATCAGTTTGAATTTAGAAAACAATGAATAAAATAACAAGAGATAGAGCGGTGTCTTATGATAAGCACGAGAGGTTGCTTAGTAGTCAGGCAGGACCTTTGGCTTGTAATTAGTAAGTTTGTAATGGCCGTTGTTAGTTCGCAAGGGTCGGGAGAAGTCACTTCCCATATCCTAAAAGGAAAACATTATTTGGTAACCCAAAAACAAACAAGATATTTTAACATTTCATCCTCCACAATTGTTTTTAGTTTTTTACCCAAATCAAACTTTGGCTTTTGTGTGTGAAACTATAAGATCCAATAATTAAAAAGGTCAAACATTTTTCTTTACCCAAATCTCGAAAATATCTAGCTACTATGTCACTTTTGCATGATTGAATATTCATTCATTCACGGGATGGTCTTCCGAATACAGTTTCCATTTATCCTTTTGTAAATTATCAATCAAACTAAAGCTCATATCTTTAGTTTTGCTCTGCAATTTTGAGATTTGTATTCTTTGTTTTATGAATTTTTGTGAACGTTGAGATAGTGAGATACCATTGGAACTCAAATGTAAATTTCATTGGTCACGACGCCTATAATCTTGAAATGCGAAAGAAATTTATCTCATACATAGGACAAATAGGCATGTTAAACAATAACCACAGACTATGAACAGAGTCTTTCACCATCGAAAACGAAGATCAAGTATACGTTCAACAAAAATCACAAGTTTGTATTATTCAGCAAAAACAAGACAATCTTGCTCTTACATGCCCGAAAATATTAATTAAAAACAAAAGAAGAACAAGTCAAGATCATCATTGAGACCCAGACTCTGACTGTTGTGCTTTTTATTAATCAACCAATGAGTAACTTATTCTCTTCCAGGAAGCTGTAGGTTGGTACTTCCAGGTTGTATGGTGCAGGACCCTTCCTAATTCTTCCAGAGATATCGTAATGTGATCCGTGACACGGACAAAACCAACCGCCATAATCACCAGCATTAGGCAAGGGGATGCACCCCAGATGAGTGCAGACTCCAACCACCACTAACCATTCTGGATTCTTGACCCTAACCGAGTCTTCTTGTGGGTCCCTGAGGGATCCGATATCCACACTATTGGCCAGCTTGATGTCATCTTCTGTTCTTCGCCTGATGAAGACTGGCTTTCCACGCCACTTGACTGTAACGGTAGTTCCTGGTTCTATGCTCCCTAGGTCAACCTCGAGGGATGCAAGAGCAAGGACATCTTTACTTGCGGACATACTCACAATAAGCTTCAAAACAAGCAGGCGGAGGACAGAGGCATAAACAAACCTCCCACCCGACAAGACAAAATAGGCGAATGCACGCTTGCTGGGGTCACCAGGCGGGTAACGCTCATGGTTATGGTCGTCATAGACAATCTTTGAGTTAGGTGTTTTGACAGCTTCAACTGTGGCTGGGACTTCCGAACCAAAACCTATCTCATTTCCTTGAGTAAGGACTTGAGAAGAGAAACCTGAAAATAGCATGAAAAATTAATATTTTCACATCAAGGCAAACTCTATAATTTGGTCAAGTGTTCTACGAGAATAAGATTAAGCAACAGAAGGACTACCACTATCAAGATGTGACCAATAATGTATAAGCTTCTAAGGAAAAACAAAAGTACATAAAAACAGAACCCATGAGGTATGAGAAGCAGGATTATAAGAGATCCATCCAAACAATTCTACCATCGTATCAAACACAGGGAAAGTGAAAACTTAACTACTCTAATCACCATAGAAACCAAAAAAAAAACAAATTCAATGATCAACATGGAAACACAAGAACAAAAAATTGGAATCAAGAAGCCAGTGTGAATCACACCCCAAGGGATTTAAAAACAAGAAGCTTTCCTCATCAACCAAAATCTCTAAACAGGTCAATTTATATTCCATCAATAAACTCAAATGTTATTCCTTCTGGACGAAAGAAGTAATCAGAGAAGGCAAGTATAGCAAATTCATCCAAACAATTGAATCATATCAAATTCAGTGAAAACTAAAATACTATAATCAATGTAATAAACCAAGAAAAAAAACTCAATGATCAGATGTGTGTATAACAGAATACTTAAGACACAACAAAACTCCCATGCTAAGAACGCAAACCTCTCGTTGGTTAAGAGAACATAAATTTCAGAATGCAAATTTCTCATCATGCCTTTAAACAGCTATAAATCCTACAAACATAGTATATAGTTAAAACATCCATGTCCCTAACAATAATGAAGAAATACAGATATATGGATACACAAGATCAAATTTTTAAAAATCAAGAAGCCAGTGTGAGTCATACTATGCTTAACGCACCCAAAACAGGAAACTTTCATCGCAAAACGAAGGAATATCTCAGAACTGAACAATCCACACGAAAGAAGTAGTCATAGAAAGCAAAAACAATTCGAGCAAGGAGAAGAAAGTAACGAAATGGTACATCAAGCTCATGGAATTCAATCAGATGACACGATTTTTCCCACAGATACGATACTATGAATCTCAATCATCCCCGTGATTCATACAAGCAAAAAAAATAGACTTTTTTTTTTAAAAGTCATTCAATCAATAAAACAGCAAACAACACCAGAAATGAAAAATCAATGCAGAGAGAGAGAGAGAGAGAAAGAGTTGTTATAGATCGGCAAACCTCTAATAAGGCTCCGGTGGTAAGATGAGAGATCTGCAGAGGGGACGGATCTGGGAGCTGAAGAGGAGTCGCCGGCATCGGAAAGGGAATGGTCACGGGAGACGACGAAGGAGGTCGCAGACGAAGATCTCTGCGAAACAGAGAAAAGCCTCCTCCCTGCTACACGCAGCATCTCTGCTCAATGTGAATCTAGGGTTTCGCTCTAGCTCAACAGAGAAATCCTCAGGTTTGGGACGGCTGATGCAAAACACAAGACTTGTCCCTTAAAATTTGTCTTTGAGAAAAGGTCAATTTCTTTTTACGTATTAATTCATATTTTGTATATTAAAATTTTAAAATTATACCTAAGGATTTTATGGCATTTTTAATCTTTTGGTTTTACAATAATAATTTACTTTAGTTTTTTATTTTTTAAAAGTAGAGTTAAGATAAAATTAATATTTTACCTGACATAAATAATTTTATCTTGAGTATAATAAAAAAGGTGATAAATTAGAAAGACTTGATACATTAGTAAATTTTAATAATAATATTAGATGGTGTATATACATTTTGATTGTTGTAATGTTTTTTTTTTTTAATGTTAAAAACTAGATTTCCAACAAAAAAAAAACTGATTTGCATCTCAGTGAACTTTTGCGATACTTGGAAGAAAGAGCTAAGAAGGACATCATCAAGAAGTAGTCTTCGATGGAAAACCAACTAAACAAGAAAGTGAGGCTAAGACACAATCAGAATGTGACAGCTTTCATCAAAGAAGTAGTCTCGAATCGATGTTCACAAATTTGATGGCTAACCATGGAAGAGAAAGTTTATGGCTTTGTTGAGATTTGAAGTGGTCTTCCAAATGTTGTCCCCAGAGAGAACATGAAAGGTTGAAAACAAACGTTGAACCTTACGAAGTTTTTGGCTCAATTATGATAATGGCTACAAACTCAAGGAAAGGAAACGCTCTTACAAACGATATGTTACATAATAAAATAGGCATGATACTATTCAAAACTCTTTTTCAAATAATAAACAGAGGCTATGAACAGTGTATTTCACCAGATGAGACAGATACTAAGTCATACAATGACAAGTTTGTATTATTCAGCAAAACAAGACAATCTTGCTGAGAGTCCAAAGTGTGAGGGAAGCGACCTTGCACGCTAAAATGCCGGAAAATATTAAAACAAAAACAGATTTAAGATCATTCAGACCAAGACCAAGACACTGACTTTTGCGATTTACTCATCAACCAATGAGTAACTTATTCTCTTCCAAGAAGCTGTAGGTTGGTACTTCCAGGTTGTATGGTGCAGGACCTTTCCTAATTCTTCCAGAGATATCATAATGCGAACCGTGACACGGACAAAACCAACCGCCATAATCACCAGCATTAGGCAAGGGGATGCACCCCAAATGAGTGCATACTCCAACCACGATTAACCATTCTGGATTCTTCACTCTAACCGAGTCTTCTTGTGGGTCCCTCAAGGATCCAACATCCACACTATTGGCCAGCTTGATGTCATCTTCGGTTCTTCGCCTGATGAAGACTGGCTTTCCACGCCACTTGACTGTCACGGTAGTTCCTGGTTCGATGCTCCCAAGGTCAACTTCAAGGGATGCAAGGGCAAGGACATCTTTACTTGCAGACATGCTCACAACAAGCTTCAGAACAAGCAGGCGGATAACAGAGGCATAAACAAACCTTCCACCTGACAAGACAAAATAGGCGAATGCACGCTTGCTAGGGTCACCAGGTGGGTAACGCTCATGGTTATGGTCGTCATAGACAATCTTTGAGTTAGGTGTTTTGACAGCTTCGACAGTGGCTGGGACTTCGGAAGCAAAACCTATCTCATTTCCTTGAGTAAGGACTTGAGAAGCGAAACCTGTAAATAGCATGACACATTAATATAGTCACATCAAGGCAAACTTTTTTTTCGGTCAACTGTTCAACAACAATAAGTATTAAGCAAAAATATGTTCAAGAAATAACACTGAAGAAAGGACAACCACTATCAAGATTTGACATTAATGTATATGCTCCTATACGAAAACATAAACACAAAACGGATACCAAGAGGTAACAGAATTCTACCATGATATTCAAATAAAGTGCAAACTAAAGTAATCTATTTAACGCAATATCCAAGGAAACAAATTGAATGATCAGAAATGCTTAAAACACAACAAAACTCCTAAGATAAGATTGCAAACATAGCTCTTTTGGTTAGCAAAATTTAAATTCCAGAGTCCTTTGCTGATGCAAGTTACTCAGAGAAAACTAAAATACTCTATCCAACGCAAAATCCAGTGATCAGAAATGCTTAAAACACAACAAAACTCCTAAGATAAGATAACAAACATAGCTCTTTTGGATAACAAAAATGGAATTCGAGATTCTCTGATGCAAGTTACTCAGCATGCCTTTTTAGCTGCTATAAATCCTCCAAACCAGGTATCTAGTTATATGATGTGCGCAAAGACGATAAAACATCCATTTCCCTAATAATGAATAAACTACATGGATACGCAAGATCAAAATCGATTTTCTCATCAAATAAAGAATTATCTCAAAACTGGTCAATTCATATCCGATCAATCACTATTCCAGTAAAGAGAAGAATGAAACGAAATGGTACATGAAGTTCTAATACACATACTGGGAATTCAAAACAGATGACAGATTTAATCCCACGGATCATCTCGCAGCTACGATACTAGAAATCTCAATCATTTCCGGGACTCATACAAGCCCAAAAAAAATCACTTTTTTTTTTAAATTTCTGAATCATTCAATCAATACCACTAGAAAGAAAATTAATCAAGAGTTGTAGATCGGCAGACCTCTTATAAGGCTCCGGTGGTAAGAATTGAAAGATGAGAGATCTGCAGAGGGGACAGATCTAGAGGCGGAAGAGGAGTTTCCGCCATCGGAAAGGGTATGGTCACGGGAAAGGACGAAGGAGGTCGCCGTCGAAGATCTCTGCGACACAGAAAAAAGCCTCCTTCCTGCTACTCGCAGCATCTCTGCTCAATGGGTTATGGCCGAATCTAGGGTTTCGCTCAGACCAAGAACACAATCGTAAGGTTAGGGATGGATAGGCCGATGCAAACAAAAAGATTAGTCCTTTACCAAAAAAATTGTTTTTTTTCGTTGCGGATATTCCTTTTAATAGTCTTCGAGAAATCGTCAATTTGGTTTTTACTAATAATACTCAAGAGACACAATGACGGTGTTTCAAACATGATAATTATGAAGCTTCGTGGCACCTTAATGTTCATTCGTGAGTATGAATAAGCTACTTCGGTATAATTGGTAGATTTATTTCCCGAATTGCCCATCTCTCCAAATCGAAATAGGAGAAAACAATCTCATTGAAATTTGATGTCTCGAAAAGATTTATTTCGAAGCAAACAACAAAATGTAAAATTGCAAATGACAAAATTCAAAACGAGATAAGTGGCCAGCTATATATTGTTTCCCAGGAGGGTCCATATTTATTTGTCAATTGGTGGCATCATCACAAGCATGTTTTCTTGGGGAAATTTCTCTCAAGATTTTCAGAGGTTGTTGAAGTCAACAGGTTCACGGAGGAGCCTCTCCATCTGTTGTGCCCTTGTCCTGATTGACATGTCCAACACCTTTTGTTGGAACTCTACAATTAGTCCACCGTAGATACTTGGATCAATCTGCAAAACACATTACCACCATTGACATAGATGCTTAGATTCCAGTTTATGGGTTGATTGATAATCACAAGCCTGTGATGCGTCTGATTGCATACCTTTTGTTCCACAGTGATTTTTTTCCCTGCTCCAATGATCTCCTGAAGCGTCTCCGTCAGTTCTTTCTCCTCAGCAGGGGGAAGCGGCTGTTGGTCAAAACCATAAGTTTAAATCCACAATGCTGAGTTTATGGTTATTTAAGAGATAACAAGTATTGAAACTATAGCTTACCATGACTGTGGTAACCAAAACTTTGACATCTCCTCTATGTGCGTTTGTCAGCTGCATAAATTTCTTCACAATGGCATCTAGGTTCTTCAGCTTTCCATTCTCAGCTAACAAAGCTGTTACAGAAAGCAAATAACTTTTTTTTATCAAAACAACATGGTCAATCAAAATCATAAAAACAAGGCAGTTTCAACGTTACATACAGAGGAAGTTCTTGGTGGGTTCTGCAAACTTTGCTTGATCACAAGCATCCCTAATAGCAGCCAATCTTGTCCCTCTAGGAACAGAGGGATCTTTTGTAAACTGAGCAAAAATAGGAGCTGTCTTCATTGCCTCAATCATCTCAGAAAGATCCGACTCAATCTTTTCCAAGGAATTCATTTTCACAGCTGCAATGTATAGCCACGAAGCAAAGTTGCCATTTTCACCAACTAAAGCAATAGGCACCTGAAACAACAATAACAACACAACAAGTATAAATCTAGATACACTTCCATTACATATTATATAAAATCCAGTTATCCACATCATTTCATGCCTATCCAACAATTCAAGCCATTGTAGCTATTCACGCATCTATGAAATAATACGATGATGATAAGGGTGTGTACCTTAACATTAGCGGTTGTTTGAGCCGAAGCAGTTGCATAATTTCTCAACTGCGATAGAAAAATACAAACTTTATTGACAACATTCTCTAGAAAATCTCAGGACAATAACAGAGATAGAGTTAACAGACTTCAAAAACATCTAAAGCCGAGCAATGTAAGCGAGAAAACACGATAATCTCATTCTCTACAGTTATCAATCCAATTAGGCGATTGGATCGACTGATCTCGTAAGAATCGACTCCGAACCAAAAATTGGACTTAAAGATTCGATTTTTAAGAAAACGATTACCGCTGGGAAAAGCGACCCTCCATGGGGATTGGATCTAACGGAGGAGACAGAATCTGATACGGCGATGTTCTTGAAGAAGGAGATTCCCGATCTGAAACGATTAGCCAAAGCCATTTTTGTTGCAGATAGATTTTGATTGGAACCCTAGAAATGAGAAGAAGTCGAATCAGCTGCTTTGTTCGAGCAAAGAGATGAAACTGGTCAGAGGAAGAAAATAACTTAGAGAATTTGGGCTTCACTGGGCTCATACTTCTTTTATTGGGCTTATTACTACCAGCGTAGGTTATTAATGTAAATAGTGGCAAACTTATGATTGTTAATTTGTTTTACTCAGCTTTTAGTGTTTTACCAAGTTTCAAATGTTATAGTGAGATTATGTTATACAAGTATACAACTAAATGTTATAAGGTTCCAATCAAAATATTTTTTATTACAAATTACGTGTTGTTCTCACTTTTCTATGCAACATTTTTTTTTAATGATTTGTAACCATCTGCATAATGTTTTTGTCATTAGTTGAATAATTAATTTTTAGAAAAAACTTTGTTTTAATATAAAAGATCTTTTTTAAAAAACACAATTTATGTAGTTTATTAATCTATGTGTGAAAACTTTAAACATCAATTAAAGTGAAACATATGGAACACTTGTTTTTTTCCAAGTGAAACATATGGAACACTTGTTTTCTTTGGGATCGTCTAATATTTTTTTTCATTTCTTTGATTTTGTCAGTGCACTTTGAATAATTTGTTTTTGGATTTACATTAATATTATAAAAAAGAAAAGAAAAGAAGAACAATATAGAAGGATCAAGGAGGCAAATGGATTTGTACTGAAGGCTATTGAGAGTGATACAACTTGGAGAATGTGTTTTTTTCCATCTGAACAATATGCAATGCGTTGTCATTGTCGTTTGACCAATTTTTTAAAAAGTTTCATTATCATATAGTACATAATTATCATCTCTTGCAAATAAGTCTTCAAATGTGAAATATGACTTTTATAGCATTGTCGAAAGATACAAAAAAGCACAATTAGTTGTTAATTACGGAAACATGTTGGTCTTGATTTTTTTTTTCTTTTGTGCACCGGTCTTGATTTTGTTAATATAGATTATTCACTTCTTAAAAGGCTATTTCATCAGAACATAGTGTAATGCATTTATGAGTTTGGGATCTGTCTGAGGGTATTTATGAAGAACTTCCACATGGTGAGCATTTGTTTACTACATTTTGATATATGACTATTCTTGAAACTTAACTTGTACACAAAACTTAAAAAGTAAACAAAATCAACAACAATTTGTGGTTAGCAAGATCTACCAGAAGTTAAGGGATTAAGGAGGAGTGAGGGGTAAAAGTATAATTTCGAGTGGCAATGAAGTGGCACGTTCACCTGTCGGCACAGTGGAGAAGAGAACAACAAACCTTCTTCTCTCTTGTTCACATTCATAATTTGATGAACAGTCTTCTTCTCTGATGCACAAACCCTCTCCCTGAATCTTGATCCTCTCGATTTTCACACAATCAAGATTTGAAGCTAACGTTTTGAGATAAATCTTTGACACCGCCATGTAAGTTTTGTTTCAAATCTTGGAGGCAGACTTCAGTTCTGTGGTGTACCTGCATTGTGTCGTGTTTTATTTTCATTTGGTACTTTCTTATGGTTTTGGTGTCTTGTCTGTGATCTAATCTTCTAGGGAAATCTTTTTGTTTTTGTTTTTCCTAAGAAGCAACTATTTTGGAATCTAGAGTGTTGATCTGGAGTATGATTGGTCAAATCTAGGATTTTTAAGAAAATGGTACTGAGAGATGTGTATTATTTGCACATTTCAGGCAATATGTATCGGTAGTGATTTGATTTGATTTGGTCATTGTTTGATTAAAAGTTGGATTCTTGTTCAGATTTGGTTGGCTGATTGTGGGAGGAATTCCAGAGAAATATAGCAGGTGATGGTTGTGCAACAATGGCAAAGAAGAAGGGCTTGTTTACTGTATTGAAAAGGATTTTTATTTCAGAAGCTAATTCAGAAAAGGTGAAGACAAAGACATTAAATCTCACTCTAATGCACTGATTGTTTCTGCATCTTGTTTGATTCCTCTTATGTATTTTTGTAGAAAGAGAAGAGAAGAAAATGGACATTTTGGAAGCTTAGGATTAAAAAAAGATTACCTTCCATTACAGCACCTCCAGAGCAAAGGACAAGTCATGAATCGCACGAGGAACAGAAGGAGGAAAGTGTGTCAGATGTGGGTGAGATCAGCCAAGTATCTTGTAGTCGACAGTTAGATTCCATAGACGAGTCAAAAGGTTCAACATCCCCGGAAACTGCTGATTTGGTAGTCCAATATCAAATGTTTCTAAATAGACAGGAAGAAGTTCTTGCTGCTACTCGCATTCAGACAGCTTTTCGGGGTCATCTTGTAAGCTTGTGTACCCTTTTCTTATGAAGTTCCTGAAAGAATGACTCATTTTCATGAAAGCCTTGTGTTAGTCTGGTACTGGAGTTATGAAGTTACCTTGTAGCTGTGTTGACTATACTTGTAGCTGTGTAGACTTTAGTTGAGTAGGTTAGGTAGAGAGCTAAGATGTTAAAAGGAAGTTTAGGCAGAAGGAGTTGTGGATTCTGAATGGGTCTATGATCTTGGTTTGGGCAGTAGTTGAAAGTTTGAGACTTCTCATTGATCATTGGTGTAGTTCTTTGGTGAATTGAATAAAGGAGCGTTTACAGGTTTCAATCGTGTCAGTATCTTTGTGTGATGTTTACCATCATTGTGATGCATTTATGTCCTGTGTCAGTCACCTATTTAGTCTTTTGAGAACCAGATGTGAATCTTTTAAAGCGATTTGTCTTCTTCTTTTTTTGCTGGATTTTGGGTTGGGTTTTCAGGTGACATGCTGATAATGTTTTTGAACTTCATTGCAGGCAAGGAAAGCTCTACGTGCCTTGAAGGGAATAGTGAAGCTCCAAGCATATATCAGAGGTCGTGCTGTGAGACGTCAAGCAATGACTACACTAAAATGCTTGCAATCTGTTGTGAACATTCAGTCACAAGTCTGTGGTAAGAGAACACAAATTCCGGGAGGTGCTCACAGAGATTATGTAGAGAGCAATATATTCAATGAGAACATTCTCAAGGTACGTCTTCTGATCCCCTAAAAAGGTTAACTCTTTGGAAACAGTGTAGTAGTTTATTAGTATGTAAGAAAGTATAATGTTTTCAGGTGGACACAAACGGTCAAAAGAGATGGGACGATAGTCTTTTAACAAAGGAAGAAGCGGAAGCTGTGGTCATGAGCAAGAAAGAAGCTTCACTAAGAAGAGAAAGGATAAAGGAATATGCAGTCACTCACCGGGTACATATACGCTTGTTTGATTAGGCTTTTGAATTGTTTCCAAGTTTCATATTATTGACCTGAAACTGATTCTTTGTGAACATCAGAAATCCGCGGAGTCATACCAGAAACGAAGTAACACGAAATGGAAGTACTGGTTAGACGAATGGGTAGATACACAACTAACCAAGAGCAAGGAGCTTGAAGATCTCGACTTCTCTTCAAAAACAAAACCAAAAGACGAAACTTTGAATGAGAAACAGCTTAAAACTCCAAGGAACTCATCACCAAGAAGATTGATGAATAATCATAGAAGACAAGTTTCAATGGGTGAAGAGGAACAAAGCCCTGCCGCGGTGGCTGTCACTACACCAACTTATATGGTTGCAACAGAGTCAGCAAAGGCAAAGTCAAGATCATTGAGCTCCCCAAGGATAAGACCGAGAAGTTTTGACACACAGTCAGAGAGTTACTCGCCGTATAAGAACAAGCTATGCCTGACGACCTCGATGATGAGTGAAGCACCAAGCAAAGTGAGGATAGCCAACAATGGCAGTAATACAAGGCCAAGTGCATACCAGCAACGGTCTCCAGGGTTAAGGGGATTTAACATAGGCCCTTTGAAATCATGCAATAATAATACTCTATTGAACGATCTCAGCATTAATTCGGAAAGATCTCTACCAAGCTGGAACAAGCAGAGCAGCTTGAGATGAGTGGATTTTGAACCCTGTATATATACATACATACGTTCCAATGAGGGTCACACTCACATATTGTGTATCAAGATCTTGTTTTGTTTTTCTTTATCTCAACTTCAATCGGCTAATTTCACAAGGACAAGAAACATAAGTTATTGTCATTTGGGTTAAGTATACAAAGACAATAAACATATGTTTTGTAACCAAAATTTGGTAATCTATTGGTTTCTTCTATTAAGGACCTTTTCTAAGATATAGGACCAGGGTGACTCGAGCGACACCGTTTTGGTAAGGAAGAAAGAGCAAAAGGTTGGAGAAGATATGTCACTGGTCGACTACGACGATTCTTCATCCGACGACGAGAAACCTCTCCCACAACCGCACCCGCAACAGCGTCGGGTTTCTCCAGCTCAATCTTGTCCTCCAATTAGGCAGTGAGTGATTTTTAGGGTTTCCCAATCTTGGATTCGTGTTTCTGGAACCAAGCTTAAACAGCTATGACTAATTTTGATTCATATAGCTTAGTTTTCTCATTGTTCGTCTTTGTGTAATTGTGCTGAAGCAGAGCTTTTTGATTCATATGTAGCTATAAATCTAGCTTCAGGCTTCAAGTACTGTTCTTTCCCTTAGTATAGATGCATGTGTACAAATCTTAGTTTCTTAGGTTGCGAAAGTGAGTTCCTTTTGTTGATTCCGATCTCGCTCAATTCTCTGATACTCTATGTGTCGAGATTAAGTTTTGAAGCTGTGTTGTGTCAAGTTTGGGTATTGAATACAATTTCCTTTGTGGGTTTGTAGGAGATGTGAGCAGGAAGAGATTGTTGAGAAGCTACCAGATGCTTTGCTTCTTCTGGAGTCACCCACACTTGCACAGGTGACTGGCGGAGACCATGCTTCCGTTGTTGCAGCTGCAATGGCCCAGAGTGCATTACGGAAGAGAGACTTGAATGGGAATGCTTCTTCTCTTCCTCGTCGTTCCAAGCTACCAAGAGGAAATTTACCTCATTCCAAGAATTACCCTGAAACTTTGGGTAATGTGCTTGTGCCTCCTCAGCTCAAGGGAAGGTTAGTTGATAATATATCATATGTGCTTGTTCCATCTCTTTTTCTCTATATTTCCTAAACATTAAAAACTATGGAGAAAGGCTGTGAGTGTTGTTAACAATCATTCAAAGAGTTATTTAGTGGATTTTGTGCTTGACATGTGTTTTAGGAGATTATCAATTGTTGACATTCTGAGCATCTTCATGAGAACTAGCTCCTGAATTAGGTGCATTATCTTGTTTAGAACAATTATAATCGAATAACTTGAGATTGTATCTGCAGGAGCAATGTTGCTACAGAGGATATGAGCAAGCTTTTTGTGAAAAAACGGCAAGACTCCTCCTCCAAGGCACGATCTCCAGATCAGGAATAGTTTGGTCTAATTTTAATGGTTTTGTATCTCTGACTAATTGCGCAACATAATAGATTAATAGTGTTATCTTAGTAGAAAAAAAACAGAGTATGTAACCTTTTTTGTTTTCTCATTTATTTGGTACTATTTATACAAAAGAAAAAATAAGTTCTGAAATTACCATTATGCTAATTGCTTAGTAGTGAGTAGTAATGGTCAAGATCTAGTTTGGGTTATGATAGATGTTTAAATCTTGGAAGTGCGACTTGGTTGATCATTTAGGGTGACATTCGTTTGATTCTTAGAGTTATTTGGCTTGATCACTTATAATCCTTAGTTTTAACATGAGCAAATTTCAAACAAAACAAAAAAATTGCAGAAAAATAGAGACATCAATCTTCATTTAAAAAATAAAAGTCTCCAAAACGAAAGTATTGTTCTTAGAAGTTTGTCGGGTTAACGAAACCAAACTCGAGTATTTGACATGTGAAGCCACTAAAAACTTCTCTAAAGGGAACTTGTTCACATAAAGTATCAAAACATTAGTAAAACCATTGCACAGCGTTGAATCATCTTAAAACCAACTCCTTACAAGAAGTGGTCAAGTCTACAAACACGATATGTATGTACTAATACAAGGGTTGCCTACTGATGTTGCTGATTGGTGTTTGGTGGAGGGCCGGGAGGTAAAGGCGGCTGCGGCTGCTGCTGCTGCACGAAATAAAATACAGAGAACGGATTAGTCAACGAATTTTCTGTTATTTTAAGCTCAGCAATAGCATATTCAACATCTAATCATACCAAAGAACCTACCTAGTAAGTTTCAAACGAGCTGCAAAAGTTATATTGTGGTTCAATCGTATCAGGATGTTTTGCATTGTTGTACAGTAGACATCTTTGCCTATTTGTACATATATGTATGCGAAACCTTTACGGGTATACTAAATAACAAAAGACTAGCGTTTAAATGGGACCTGTTGGAAAGGGTTGTTGTAGCCTGGAATCATTTGTGGACGGTTGAAACCACCACGTCCCTGGGGATACATTTGGGGTCCACCATTGCTTGGTGGTCCTTGAAATACTCCTGAAGGAGCACCCATAAAATGACTTTGCGACATCTGAGGATTCATGCCACCTTGCATTCCCTATTCCAACAAGTGAGGATTAATATCTCTTTCTACACGGTAAAAATGATTTTTTACCTCCCTAAAATATCACTAAAAAAATAAAACAAAGAGGAATCCAACTCATGGGGTACCCATAAAAGACAGGCTTAAGACGGGAAAAAAAAAAAAAAAAAAGACAGGCTTAAGTTGTGGTTGAATTACAAGAGATCTGAGAGCCATACCATTGATCCAGGCATCTGATGAGACATAGGCATTGAGGAAGGTGGCATGTGACCGTGAGGAGGCATTTGCATAGGCCGGGGAAGATGATGAGGGTGCAATGGCATATGAGATGATGGTGGTAGCTGATGGTGAGGCATATTGGGCATTGGAGGCATTTGCTGGGGATGACCTTGGTGGTGTTGTTGTTGCTGATACCCTTGCTGCTGGCCACTTCCAAGAAGCGATGGGTGGGGACCAGGTGGCAGAGGAGGAGCTCCCAGTGCCATGGAACCTGGAAGAGGCTGTTTATGTTCCCCTTGAGAGGATGCATCAAATGGCATTGCTATTCCAATTCCTGGGATGGTCCCCTCGTTCCGTGTCAGCCCAGGCACAAAGGCTCCAGGAAATGGCGATGCCTCAGATGGTTGGAAATTATCAGTCTCGCGATTACCAAAACCTTGTTCATTATAGCCTGACACAAATTACAGTAATTAGTACACAAATTACAGCTTCAATTCGGTAATAAACAATAAATAAAAAACACTAATTTCTGACAAATGCAACTTGAAATTACATGCTTTAAAACAGTAAGTGAGATACTAATGACCAAAGATGTTCTCGAGAGCCAAAAGTACTTGGGTCTGATTTTTAAAGCCTGTAGAAATCTGCACCCATATCAGACCAGCTCAGCTTGACCAGTCAAGTCTGTTCTTTTCTACAAAAAATTGCAGTTAATCATGGTGCCATATGGCTGTTCGAGCCTGAACCTTAAAAAGTCAAGGTTCATTTCGAACAAGCCATTATAGGAATTGACTGACCCCTGCCAAGGCCTGACCAGTTAAGCCTATCACAACATCCTTCCTACTCAGACGGATAAGGACATAGTATTATGCACTACCCACACCTTATCCATCGCAATGCCTACTAAAAAAATCAGATACTAATAGCCTAAAAACAAACCTTGGTTCTGCATAAGGACATCTCGGGGATTATCTGCAGGCCTGTTTCTGCACCAAAACTTGGTTGTGTGATCGTTGCTACCACTGCAGATAATAGGGGAAAAAATCAATATCTGAAGCATTTCACAAGGAACCACAACACATCATAGAATAAAACTGTAAGGAACTCATAGCACCAGACTATTGAAATTGCTACCTGCAAAGAAGATATCCAATAGGATGCCATGCAAGATCCCAAACACTGTTATCATGAGCATTTGGGATTTCAATCTGCGGGTTTTCATGCCTGGGAATTAAGAAAAGTTTTTCATAATTAGATACACCTCAAACAAAAACCACAAAGTATAAGGTAAAGTAAGATGCTACTAGTATATGTAGATACATCATGACTGAATATACAATGTAGACAAGAAACAAGAGTTGACAAATGATTAAAGCAATAGCAGCACGAACGAATAAATAAAACAGCATATTGCTGCAAAACAGTACCTACCCCACAATCCAATGACAAATGGAGCCGTCAGAGCTCCCACTGACAAAATATTCTTCATGGAAGGGATGCCACGCCAAAGCTTTAACAGAGTTCGACAACTTTTAATTAGAAATAGTTGCAAATTAGAAATATCGAAGAAACAAAATGAAAACTCGCATCCATGGGATAATGTCTCATATGTCGACCTCCATTAAGTAAAGCATGGGTACAATGATAATCTTTCAAAGGCATATACTTTAGAGTCCTAGTCAATGTACAGAAAAGTCATTTTGTGTTTGAAGACATGATCATTAAGAATTTGACAGCTTACAAGTTACATCTTTCGTGTGCCCACGAAAGGATTGAAGCTCCTTCATAGTCCTTATATCGTACAGCTGCAGATTACATGCATAAATGTCATACAAATGTTTCCATAATGCACGGACAAAATCTAATTTACAAATCAATACACCCCCAAGAAAGTGAGCCTTACCTTAATTATCTGATCTTTCGAGGCCGTTAAAAGCCAATTGCCATTTTGGTTCCACTTCACGCTAAGCACTATGTTTTTGTGACCATGACTGCAGAAGTGAGAATAGGCCATCAATTTTGTCAAAGCTTTGAACGTAAAACTGTAATAAAATACATAATACATTACGCACTACTTACAGTGAGCAAAGCTCTCTCTCAGTTCTAGTATCCCAGAGTTTGACAAGTTGGTCTTTTCCACCTGTTAGCACAGATTAAAATAGCGAATAATCAGTCATAGAGAGAAGCTCTGAAATATACAACTGTTTCTTTCTAATTAAATTATCAAAATAGAAGTCTATACAATAATGTACCAGAAACTAGTAGGGACTTTGTGGGGTGCCAGTCAACGCTCTTGACATCCCAACCATGGCCTGCCTGAGTTCAAAATATAAAGAACCCTTTGGTCACGTAAAAAAAAGAGCAGAAAATACAAATATGAAGAAAACTGTGAAAACATGCCTTCAAAAGGATAGGAAGAAAAGCACCAATTTGGAGCCTTCAAAACTAACTAATATTTCCATGGCATGACACCAAACCGAATCTCAATAATACTTTTTCTGTGTAGCCTAAAGGTCCAATTATAATAACATACATCACATTCCAAATGGCCTTCTGAATTCAAACTAGAAGAGAAAGCAACTAAGAAATTCACTATCTGCCGATAATCTGTTCAGATCACATTACCGGTCAATGAGCATTCTTCTTGGCACTTGGCAAAATCCCAGACTTTAACAGTCGTATCATCAGAACACGAGCAGAACTTCAAATCTGTTTTACAGAAACTGTTTGATACACACTGTTAAAATCTAAAGAGATTCATTTGATATAATAACATATCAAACCTTTTTACCTTAAATCGCGAATTGATTCCTTGTGAGCAGTTTTATTGGCTTTCACATTGTTCATATTGTTCTGCCAATACCTGATACATAAGAAACAATTGATCCTTACCGTCACAGCAAAAACTAAATCTGAAATATAGAATTCTGAGCTTATCATTTACATTATCACAAGTTAGAGATTGAAAGAAAAAAAAAATTACTTTATTGTGCCTCCATCATCACCAGAAACCATATAATTGTCATTGTGGCTCCATACCATCGACCTTATAGGTTGATCATGTGCCTAATTTTGACAGCAGATTTTAACAGTCAGCACCAGGAGCAACAGCTATAGAGGAATTAAAACAGAAGTTCCCAAAGATTAGTAAACACAATATGAGAAACGAACCTGAAGAATCATTTCAAAATTAAAAGATTGCCCATTCCAAAGGGTAAACTCCCCACTTTGGGAGCCAGTGATAAGACGTCGTCCTGAAGGTGTCCACTAAATACAAGAAACCCAATCAGCAATGATCGCATTAAGTTGGCATAACAGAGTTAAGAAAGAAAAAGAAAAGAAAGATGTTAGCTTTCTTGAATAGACAAACATGGCAAATAGGGAATAATACAAAACACCCAGCTGTTAGAGGGAAATACCAATACACGGTTGATTGAACAACGGTTCTTGTTTAGAGATGTGTGAACAAACTTTGCAGCAAAGCTTGTTGAAGGATTATCTGAATAGGCAACTGTGGGAAGCATCTGAAACATTGATATAAAAGTTAGAGCAGTAAATCATTCAAATACTGGAAAGAATGATCCTCAGATCAAAAAACCCAGAAAAGCAAAGAAATCTAACATCCACTGCTGCAGCTGGGGTTGGTTGTAAAGAGGTCCTATCCCTTGAGTCTCGCTGCCATGTTCGAGCCTGAACAAAAACATAAACTCTATTCCTTTAGTTCCACATAATCAATCAATTCAAAAAAATAAATACTGTGACAGCAATGGGAATACATTACCTGAATGTATTTGACAACGGTGCTGGTGTAATCAACAGCTCTTCTCTGTGTATGTTTTCTCATTCGTTTCGCCCCAAAACTGTCTACATTTGCTGCAACATCAGACAGAGACATCAGATCTCACAGTCATCACTAATTCAAAAAAAAAGAAGCTCAAGTCTACAAAACTACTTACGGTCGAAGGGGCCAGAGGGGTGGTGGTAGTCCGGATTGATGTTAGAGGAAGCGGCTGACGACTGCCGCATCATCGGTGGTGGTGGCATCTGTGAACCTCTATGCAAATCGCCGCCGGCGTACATTGTTGCCCACGAAGAATGAAGAGTGATTTATGCTAATCGAATGAGAACTGCGAAAGTGTTCGAATTTAGGTTATCTTGAAACGAGCGTGGGTCTCGTTAGGGGTTGGCGTGTATCAAATTCGCGAATTGATGACAACCCAAGAGCAGAGAAGAACAATGGGTAGAGAAAAGATGACAAGTCGATAATGGCGTCAAGAGAAGAAAGAGAGATTAGGGTTTTTTTTTTTCCTCTCGGCAAAGCTAAACCCTCGCAGCCTTGAAGAAAGAATCGGATCGCCGGTCGGTTTTAAGTTTAACCGAAAAGATTAGCCTTTAATCTCTACGAATTTATGTTTTTTTTTTTTTTAAAGATGTATAGGTATTTAAATAAAATGAATTTAGTTGTTATTTTATAGTATTGTAATTAATTTGGTTGTAATTAAACATAATTTTGAAACTGTTTTTTTTTATTTTTTTGGCTAAGAAGAAAACTTTTGTCTTTTTAGTTTGTAAAACTATAACCTAAATAGCTTTGTAATTAATTTGGTAAAATAAAATCAACCACTAAACTTTACATGTACATGTATGATTCAAACTTGGTTTCTTCAAATATTGTTGTTTTCTTTCACAAAAAAAAAAATATTGTTGTTTTGTTGTGTCAATGGCTCAATGCTTATTTCAAACATGATAATCATGGCAGAGTGTGTGTGTTTGAATTGTAGATGAAAACACACATAATTCTCAGCTTGACTTCGCAAATTAGTATTTTTATTTCAAAACCACTAAATAATAAAAAAAATTAAAAGAGTTAAACGTAACAGAAAAGAAAATAAAAATTGAAGACTAGTAAAACGAATTACAAAAATTCAGAGTGCTCGAATGTTACAATCTTGTCTTATAACACAACTTAAAATCTTCCAAATAAAAAACCATCCATATACTTCTTATTCCAAACATTGAGGATAGCTCGGTCATATAACAACTATTTATCAAGCAAGATTCACTACATCCCAATGCTATATGAAACACAATCCAGTCCGATTGCATGCATGATATATTGTCTTCTAATAGCATTCTATTATCATCCACTACGATCGAATAACTCGATCATGTCAAAACCAGTTATGGCTTATAGACTATAATGTTAATTTATAGGTTTCAACATCTGTAGGCCTTGACTGATCCTGTACCTTTCCATTTTAACCATGCCTTATGTGACATATCATACTTTAGAGCTAGATAGAAGACTTAGGATTTAAAGCCAAAATACATTTGGATGAGGCAGCATCACAAGCCTTCCTCCAACCATTACTGTATCACTTGGACATTCGAAATTCTGAGTCAAAAGATATGACACCCTGAAGATGACCATTATAGCGATCCACTACAATTTCGTACAATTCATCGACCCTAGCCGACGGAGGAGGAGGCGAGAAGCCACTGGTGGACTGAGACCATTTCCAGTGGCAGTTTTGAGAGAGTGTCTGAAGATTAAAAAAATAAAAAGTAATAAAAAGATGGAGAGAGAACCAGTTCTCATATGAGAAACTCTGAGACACCCACTTTAACAGTTAGATTTATATGATTGGTCAGATTTTCTTTCATATAATTAAAAATTTAAATAAATAATTTATTTATTATTAAATGAATAAAATAATATAATTGAGAAACTCTCATCAGTTTCTTTGGTTGGAAATGCCATGAGAGATTGTATGTTTTTTTATTTATAAATATATTGTTGGTCAAAATAAAATATTAAAGAAGGTTGACCAAAAGAATTAAACTAAAGAAATTGCTTAAACGTCACCGTGTAGACATTTGACTAACAAAAATCCGTGAATGGCCAATAACATTCCAGATTCCCGGCGCCAAATAGGTGGCAAGATCTACGGCCAATAACGCAGTCGTATATTTCCATATTACTATTATTTTCTTTTAGTAATCATAATCAACGGTTAATAATCCATCCATAATCCAATCTCGATGATCTAACGGTTCTACAGCTTCCGGGCGCATATGATAGAGCGTTACATCTGATTCTTCTAGTATGACCCTATTTCTCGAGCCAATAAAAGGCTCGTCTCAAAAACTCGCCTCTACGCCACAATTCTCTCATTTCTTCTTCGTTCAGCTCCGACGAGAAAGGGCGAAGAATCTCGCTCCCTCAATTTCGCTTCGCCATCGATTTTCTTAGGTAATTTTGGTTACTCTGAGGTCTCTCTCGCTTTAAATCTCGTCGTTTCTCTCTGTTCTTCATTTGATTCTATTGATCTGCTACACAGTCTTATATATTCTAAGGTATAATGATATAAGTTTCGTTTCGTGTCAATGATCTCATGTTTTCTCTGCGTAATTCTGGATTGAATTGAGTCTAGATCGTGTGTTGAGTGTCAATGTATCTATACAATAGATCTGCTTGTGTAATCCTTGGAAATGATTCGGCTCTGTTACTTATATTTTCCGCCATTTAGTTAGTGATGTATGGATCTATTGTGAGGACGTCGTTAACCTAAATTTTCTGCTTCTGTATATGATCATGGTTTAGTTTTTGATTTTACTAGGTTTTTGATCAAGTTTTTCATTGATTGTGTGTTTTCACATTATTTCTTACACTACGTGTTGTTTACTTTTGTAGAGGTTAAAATGGTTGAACAGACTCAGCACCCCACGATTCTGCAGAAGGCTTCTGGCCAACTTGTGCGTTCGAGTGTTTCTCAGGACATTCATGGTTATGTTTCGGCTTTCCAGAGACCTGCTACATACCAGAGGCATGCAGCTTACGGAAACTACTCGAATGCTGCGTTTCAATATCCTCTTGTGGCTGCATCTCGGATTGCAACGACTACGTCTCCTGTGTTTGTCCAAGCTCCAGGAGAGAAAGGATTTACTAACTTTGCGATTGATTTCCTGATGGGTGGTGTTTCTGCTGCTGTGTCAAAGACTGCTGCTGCTCCCATTGAGCGTGTCAAGCTTTTGATTCAAAACCAGGATGAGATGCTTAAGGCTGGAAGGCTCTCTGAGCCCTACAAGGGTATTGGTGACTGTTTTGGCAGGACAATTAAGGATGAAGGGTTTGGTTCTCTGTGGAGAGGAAACACCGCTAATGTTATCCGTTACTTCCCCACTCAGGTTGGATAAGTTTCGCTTCTTTGCTCGTTAAAAATTTCTGGTGATATATGATGTTTTGGTTACTGATCTATCTCTCTCACTTGCTAGGCCTTGAACTTTGCATTCAAAGATTACTTCAAGAGGCTTTTCAACTTCAAGAAAGACAAGGATGGATACTGGAAGTGGTTTGCTGGTAACTTGGCATCTGGAGGTGCTGCTGGTGCCTCTTCCCTTCTCTTTGTGTACTCTCTTGACTATGCACGTACCCGTCTTGCCAATGACTCCAAGTCTGCCAAGAAGGGAGGTGAAAGGCAGTTCAATGGTCTAGTTGATGTCTACAAGAAGACCCTCAAGTCAGATGGTATTGCTGGACTTTACCGTGGGTTCAACATCTCCTGTGCTGGTATCATTGTCTACCGTGGTCTCTACTTTGGACTGTACGACTCTGTGAAGCCTGTCCTCCTGACTGGTGACTTGCAGGTTTGTTTGACATCCATAAAGTGACAGCTTAAGAAATCAGGGATTCTGCCTTGTTTGATTCTAATATTTACTTGCTGGATATTTCAGGACAGCTTCTTCGCTAGTTTTGCTCTTGGATGGCTCATCACCAATGGTGCGGGTCTTGCGTCCTACCCGATTGACACGGTTCGTAGAAGAATGATGATGACATCAGGTGAAGCGGTGAAGTACAAGAGTTCGTTTGATGCATTCTCACAGATCCTGAAGAAGGAAGGAGCCAAGTCTCTGTTCAAGGGTGCTGGTGCCAACATCCTGCGTGCTGTTGCAGGTGCTGGTGTGCTTGCTGGCTACGACAAGCTGCAGTTAATCGTCTTCGGCAAGAAGTATGGATCTGGAGGTGCCTAAGTACTAAAATCCCGCAGTGACTATTAAGCTTTGGCTTTCTTTATTTTTTTCTCGATTTACAGTTTCAGGCTTTAAAAAAAAAGATGTTGATGAAATCAATTTCCCGTAAAATTAGAGAGGAGCAAGGGGAAATTTATATGTTGGAGGATAAGTTTTTTTTTATGGAATAAATTTTGTATGGCAAGGAGATTTGACTCCTTGGAAGCAAGCTACGAATTTTTGTTTTATACGATGATGATGTTTTTCTAATTAACATGTATGATATGTATTGCTACCGTTGTTGCAGTAGGAAACGTTAGTGTTACACATGAATACATAGTTCAAATTGTTGTTAGTTGTTACTATATAGTATATATATTTGAAGCTTCTGTAGTTTACTAACACGTATTGAGAGAAAACGCCGAAGCAAGAGAAATCGAAATCTCAAATATTCAAAGAACCGAAGAGGTGCAAGACAAATATATCCGTAACGTTAATACTTTTTAGTGGGTTAGCTGACAGCACGTTTAGGAGCACGTTTCCACTTTCCAAAGACACAAGAAATACGAAGAAGACAAGTCGAAATAGTTCATAAAAATCAAAGATCAAATCAAATTGAACGTCGAAAACCAAACCACAAGTTGTATTATTGCCCATCTTTAAGCCATATTGCAATCTTAAAACATGTGGTAATTTTGATTCACGTATTATTTCTTTTTTTTTGTTTAAATAGTTTTTTTCTTTTTCTTTCTAAAACGTGGTCTGCCACACACTTGCACTTTCAAAACTTTAATTAATAATGTTTGTTTTTTTCCTAAAATTATATTCAAAGCCATCGGTTGAATTCTTGGTTTTGATTGGCACGATCCAAAGACACCATTTGTCAAATTATTTTCGACGACTGTTATTAATAATTCGTTAATGACGCACCGTTAGTCAACACCGCTTCGCATCTGTTACTCCTTCGATCTTTTTTATTCTTCTCCGGCGACACTTCTTCCCTTGATTCTTCTCCCTCTTAGGTCTCTCTACGAATCTCTAAGCTTCTCAAAAAATTCTTGCGCCCTTTCTTACGTCACACTCCGAGAATCCGCTTCTGATTATTGTATGTTTCTTCTGCTTCTTCTTCAGATCTTTTAGCTTTCTGGAATTCCACACTCTAATTGATCTATTCATTCTGTCAACAATTATGCATCTCTGGAGTTTTAGCCGATTTTAATCGTTTAATTCTCATAGAGTCGACACATTTTTGATGGTTGGGTTCTCAATTTACAAAATTGCATCAGCTTAGCTGGTCACGATTCATTTTTTCTAAAACCATCACCTTTTGGTTGCAGGAATGAATTTCTGAGCTTGAAGGATCCACTGCTAAGCTTGGAGGCAGTAGTGGAATCACCAATAAGTTTGCTTTTGTAATTTAGCTTGATTTGAGAATAGACAATGGGAAAAGCATCAGGCTTGCTTCTGTTTCTCTTGGGTTTTGGGTTCTTTGTTGTCACATATAATCTTCTGACACTTATAGTCCACAATAGATCTGGTGTGAGTAATTCAGATGGAAGTCTACTTCTAGATCCTGTTGTTCAGATGCCTCTAAATATTAGGAAGGCTAAGAGTTCTCCAGCACCTTTCCATGTTGCCTTAACAGCTACAGATGCACCTTATAATAAGTGGCAGTGTCGTATAATGTATTATTGGTATAAGCAGAAGAAATCTCTTCCTGGTTCTGATATGGGTGGCTTCACTCGCATTTTGCATTCGGGTAATCCCGATAACTTGATGGATGAAATACCCACATTTGTGGTTGATCCTCTTCCCCCAGGTCTTGATCGGGTAACAATTTTATTTTATCTGTTCCCTTTTCTCCACTTGGTCTCAGTTTTGTTGATGGTTTATCACTGAATCACTCTTTTTGTAATCCTGTATTTAGGGGTATGTTGTCTTGAATAGACCATGGGCATTCGTGCAATGGCTTGAAAGAGCTACCATCAAGGAAGAGTATGTCCTGTCTCTCTTCCTTCCAACAAACATTTCACTGTTTGCTAAATCTCCTTCATTTTAATGTTGGTGCAGCTATGTGCTCATGGCAGAGCCTGATCATGTATTTGTTAACCCCCTTCCCAATTTGGCTGTTGGAGGATTTCCAGCCGCTTTTCCGTTTTTCTATATTACACCTGAAAAGTACGAAAACATAGTCAGAAAGTATTATCCAGTGGAGATGGGGCCAGTAACAAATATCGATCCCATTGGCAACTCTCCTGTTATCATAAGCAAGGTGAGATTATCTGTGCTATAATGTTTGTTTTTGTGTTATCTCTGTCTCACACATTTGACTTGTGCCCCAAAGATTTCCAGAGGCGTTTAGCTAGATGTGTTGTTGGTGTCCAGGAATATTTTTTTCTGATCTGTTTATGCATTAAACTTGATGTTGACATGCATTTACTTTCTTATGCAGGAATCACTTGAAAAGATTGCTCCTACATGGATGAATGTCTCGCTGACGATGAAAAACGATCCAGAAACTGATAAGGCATTTGGATGGGTGTTGGAAATGTTAGCACTGGAAACAAAATGTTTATTCATAAATTGGCTTTCCACCTTTTGAATCCCATCATTGTTGACTGACTACTTTATTCTTTCTCTTTTCTGTTTGATAAGGTATGGTTACGCAATTGCATCTGCTATACATGGGGTGCGTCACATACTTCGGAAGGATTTCATGCTTCAGGTAGAAATCGACCTTGTGCTGATTACTTTAGTGATAACCTATTCTATGTCGAAGTTATTTTTGTTAATTTTTTGTCAAAGTTATAAAAGTCGTTTCCCTGCTCTGTATTCCTAAGTGCTCTCGCCATATCTTTCAGCCTCCATGGGATTTGTCTACCAAGGGGAAGTTTATCATCCATTACACTTATGGATGCGATTACAACATGAAGGTGATTTCTGTTTGATATTTCCTGGCAGATAAATTTGAGACCTTACATTTTGAGTTGTTTGTTTCAAGTATTCTCTCATTATTTTATGCAACCTTTTGGTCATTTTATTTTTGCTCAGTATAATTAAGTTTTCTTTGCTAGATTGTCGTGAAATTACTAAGTTTTTATGAAATCCTTATGCAGTGTCTTTAAATTAGGACGTTTCATTTATCCACCATCAGAACTCCGCGTTAGCTCACTTATATCAGTTTCATATGTATTCTAAACTAACAACATTACCAACTGTTAAATATAGGGTGAGCTGACATATGGCAAAATTGGAGAGTGGCGATTTGATAAGAGATCACATTTGCGGGGTCCTCCTCCGAGGAACATGTCCTTGCCGCCTCCCGGTGTTCCGGAAAGTGTGGTATGTTATATATTTACCTCTTTAATCTGATCATACTTGCAATAAGATACTGCAGTAAGGTCATCCGTTTCTCACAGGGAACTTATTCGCATCATGTCCATTGGTTTAGTGGAATCCGATACTAAATAGCAACGTCATACACAAATGGTTGTCCTTAGTTTGATGTAGTTTGTCAATTTGCAATGGTTTTACTTTCCGGGAAGATATGCATAAACCTGTTAACGGTAATTCCAATGTCTTTAAAGAGTTACATTGTCGTCGCTTGTGGTCAATCATTGACAAGAAGTGTGAGAGTGAGAACCATAATAGTGAATGACTGTCCTTAATACATATGTGTGATGTGTTTTGTGGTGGTGCAGGTGACTCTTGTGAAGATGGTGAATGAAGCTACTTCCAATATCCCTAATTGGGACACTCTCTAACTCGCATCCACGAAACACAAACCATAGGGACGAATCCATACAGCAATATTTTGCCTAAAGAATTTTTCTTTCTCCCTTCACTTCCTTTTTTTCTGTTCTCTTTTTTTTTTAAATTATGAACTCGAGTAGTAAATTATGAAATTATTTGTTTGAGACGACACATCTTCCATAATTCCTAGAAAGAGAATAGAACAATTTTTTTTGGTTCTAGTTATTATTGATTAGTCTAACAATTAATATTGTGACAACTTAAATTAAGACAAAATTGTATGTTTGCATACATACACTTCAGAACAAGACTAAAGAACAAATACGCGCAACTAGACGGAGTTAATAGTTCCGTCTATTTCCGTCTATTAATAACCCTTTTAATTATCCATGAATTTTTCATTAATAAATTATATTTAAAAAAAAAAAAAACCCAATTGTCTTGAAGATTGTGTTGTTGTTGATCTATCTCCTTCCTTCCTCCACACAGCTAGAAACACAGTCTCCTCATCTTCTGAGCAAAAATGGAAGTGGCTCTTCTCTCCTTCTCTTCTTCGTGGTCTCCTCTCTGTCACCAGCGAATCTCAACTCTAACACCCAAAACCTCGAATTCCCCTAACTACCCTCGCCTCCCGGTCATCAGATCCGCCGTGTCTCGTAACAAGAAGGAAGAGACAGTCGAAGCCGTCAAGTCCCACCTGGAGAACTGCCACCTCCTCGCCGCCATCAACTACAAAGGCCTCACCGTGAAACAGTTTCAAGACCTCCGTAGAACTCTCCCCAACACCACAAAGCTCATCGTCGCCAAGAACACTTTGGTCTTCAAAGCTATTGAAGGCACCAAATGGGAAGCTCTCAAGCCTTGTATGAAAGGCATGAACGCTTGGCTTTTCGTCCAAACCGATGAAATCCCTTCCGCCCTCAAACCCTACCGGAGTTTCCAGAAGGAACGCAAGCTTGAAGACAATGACTTTGCCGGCGCTGTCTTCGAAGGTAAGTTCTACGCTCCCGACAATTTTAAAGTTCTCGAGACCATGCCAACTCGTGCTGAGGTCTACGCTAAGATGCTCGGTGCTCTGCAATCTCCGGCCATTAATCTCGTCACTACTTTACAAGCACCAGCAAGAGAGGTTATAATGGTGCTTATGGCTTATATCAAGAAGTTGGAGGATGAGAGTAATGCATAGTTAATTAAGCTGTACTAATCTTTTGGAGAATGTAATGTACGCAACAAAAGGCAATTCCAATTTTTTGTTTATGACTCTCAAGCACCAATTGTTATTACAGTCACTGGGTTTTATTAAAATGTTGTTTTTTCTGGAGTGCTCTCAAGCTATAAGAAAGGGTCTCGTTCAGATGTACTTAGAGAGGATAGACTCAACCACTCCCTGGGCTATGGGGTGGTAAGTTTCTCGAGCTTCTGCAAACACCTGTTTTGCCAGCTGCTTCTCTTCGGTTCCACCAGCTTGTGCAAGAGCAGTGAAGAGTGGACGCAGGTACTTCATCCTTCCTACCTCTTTTAGAGTTTTCTTCACTTCCCCATGGTACTCTCTGCACTTGGATGTGACTGCAAGTTGCAGAAACGAGACCTTCACTTCATAGTCCTTCGATTCTGCTAGTCTGTACCGCTTGTCCAAGGCCATGACCTGATTCACCAATGAGCAAAGTGGGTGTTAGCCATATGTTTGGAACCTGATTCCCATTCTTTCCTTTGTTGATCTTGCATTATCGTTTACAGACAAGAAAACAAGATAAAATCCTAACTCTGGCAAAGCCAATACGCTTTCCACAACCTTTCAGTAGCCCCACATTAATCCAAGAGTAACTATTGAGCTAACCTAACTGACTGTTAGTTAGGCCTTTTTCTCCTCCTTATGAAAGCTTATCGATTAGTTCAACCTAAGTCTAATGCACCTAGCAATTTCCCATCATCTTAGAGGAAGAAAGGAAGTGTAAAGAGTACCTGAGAAGGTTCACATGATTTAGGAAGATTCTCCAAGTACAGCTCCCATTCCTGTCCGTTCCACTCAGCAACATCATCCTCACTTGGCATCCTTCCTTCCTTAAACTCTTTTGCCAGGGATATGATCTTTGTGTAAATGGTTGAGACTGGTTCATATGCATCCTCTGGTATACCAACGCCCTCAGTCCACAGCTGTAGGTTGATCTCTTTCTCTATGCCGGGGATGTTTGCTTTCAGGAATTCAAGAAATGTGCTTGTATCGATTGACTTGAACTTGAAAGTAGCAATGTATTTCTTGAGGAATTCGTCAAACGCAGTCCTTCCAATCTGAAAGTTTTTCAAAGTAAATAGATGACCATTATTGTAAACATTACATGACAAAACACCCAAGTTGAGACAGCAATTCAACTAACCTGGCGTTCAATTCGCAACACAAATTGGAATCCTTTTTCATATGGGACCTGAGAATATACATCATCTGGATCAACACCTTCTTGTTTGTTCCACAGTTTAGTGCACTCCAAGTTGTCCTTAAACCGTTCCATTTCATCAGTCAAACCCCTCCAGCCAATGCCAATGTTCAGAGTAGCTCTATCCGCCCCTTGAACAACTTCCACAATTCTCCTCTCTGCGTAAGTTGTAAATCCCTATTGCCATGAACATGAAATAAGTATCAACAAGGCAAACTCTAAAAACGGACACACAGTTAAACATCCTAATTTGTAGCTAAAAGAAGCAAAAGCACAGGACAATTCAAAGCTAACTCATCTTTTCCACCTTGAGCATAAACTGAGGTAGAGGGTACTTGGGAAATCAGAAGAGCTGATCAAGAAAATACCTCATTCAACCAGAAATGTTCGTTGTTGATGTTAGTGATCAAATTCCCAGTCCAGCTATGTGCGAGCTCGTGAGCTACAACTTGAGCTCCAGTGGCGTCTCCTTTGATTACAGTAGGCGTCAGGAAAACCATTCTTGGATTCTCCATCCCTCCATAAGGAAAACTCGGAGGCAGCACCAGTAAATCAAATCTCTCCCACTCGTAGTCTCCAAACAGCTTCTCTCCTTGCTTGATCATATCCTCCGTTCCTGCAAACTCCAGAGCCGCCGCATCTAGAACTTCAACGGCGGCAGATTCTGTGTATACCCGAGTCCTAGGTCCAACTTCCCGAAACCCTAACTCACCTACGGCGAACGCAAATAGATAAGGTGGTATAGGCTGTTCCATAGCAAACTCTTCCACAACTCTATCCTCACCACACCACAGTGACGAACCCAGCGACCCCGCCTCTAGATGTTTAGCCTCCTCAGGAACCGCAAGCCTACGACGGACGTGGCGAGCCGACATGACGGCAGAGAGCGAATTCGGTATGTTCATGACGACATCGTAGCGAATCCTCGCGGCAGGAGTGTCCTGGCATGGGAAAATGGATCTGGCGTGAATCGCTTGACACTGAGTGTAGACATAAGGATGCAATTTGGAGAAAGTTTGAAGCGGAGATAGCCACTGGAGAGCGGAAGCGGAAGGCGAAGTGGAGTAGACGATTAGCAGTGAAGATTGACCGGAGAGGACTACGACAACTTCGGTGCCTCGAATTCGATCCGGTGTGGTGGAGACACGGTAAGGGAGAGGCTCGAGAGTTAGAGGATCGAGGACCATATCAATGGAAATGCAGCGAGTATCAAGAGAGAGGTCGCCGGAGAAGGCGGAGGAGAGAGTGAGGAGAGCGGAGCCATGGATGATGGAGGTGTTGAAATCGAGGTAAAGGGAGAGAGAAACATGCGTGGTGAGAGGATGAGAGGAATCGGTGAAAGAGTGTGGATCAATGGGTGCCATTGCTGAGTGAGAAAAGCTTGGATTATGCTTAGGGTTTTGTTTGAGGAAAGGGGCAGTTAGAGAGGTGGAGAAGAAGGAAGAGAGTATAAAGCGGGAGAAAAAGAAAAATGAAAAGAATTGTTGCTTTATTATGTTCGATCGATGGTACAATTTATGAAGAAAAATTAAATATATTTTGGGAATCGTTTGGTTAATGGAGAATCATTAGTGCATAAAGTTGAAACAGTTAGATATTAAACGGCGATTGTTAAACCCAAGTTGGATGAACCAACAAAACCACTCAAACCCATCTTCCATTAAGCACTAACAACCTTGAGAGTTTAGCTAAATTTCATCTCAAGCAACGAGAACGACCATCTTTTTGGGCTTGAGCCTCTCTATTGAGCTTGAAGTTATAGGTCCATGAATGAATTATAGAAGAATTACGAGTTTATTACTACTTCTTAGTGTTCAAAACAATCAATTAAATCAAAACAACTTGCTAATAGAATCAGAGATCACTCTCTACCTAAGTAGTTTGTGGTTTTTTGTTTGTTTTGTTATTTGACATTTGGTATGCTACCAACACATAAATCTTTTTGTTCATTGTTATGCATATTTTATTTTTTCTTGGCCTAATGGCCATTAAAATTATTTTTCTCTTTGGTTAAGTAGACCTAAACATGCATATATTCATGGGTCAAGGCTACCTTTTAATTAACATCCTCTTAACAATTGAAATCAAAGGATGTGTACTCTTTCCGAGCATCCTCCAAGACGAAGAGCTTATTTCTCTAACTTGCATTTGGCTCAAAAGCTACTTGGTAAAAATTTCACTAAAAAATCTTCTTACTCAGTAAAAAATAACAATTATCTGTATTTGTTTTCCCTGATGGTTTAAGTTGGTGGTGACTAAGAAAAGGTGGTTCATACTGATGGTTGACGAATGACGATTACTTTTTGCCTTTTTGGGGAGATGAGGAAACGGGTTCGAGCTCAACCGCTGACGGCACCCACCCGTCAAAACCGACGAAACCAGAGCCTCGAGACTCACCCAAAATTAAAAAACAAAATTGGAAAATGAAAAAAATAAAATGATCCTATAAAACCCTGAAGAAGAACCTTTTTCACATTTTTCTTACAAAATAAATTCTTCTTGCTCGTGTCTGATTTTTCCCAGCCAATTTTTGATCTACCTTTCAAAATTCACCTTTTTTCTTCTCCATGGATCTGTTCTTCTCTCCTTGATCTGGATCGACTTTACAGAGTTTTCTTCCCCGATATGTTCTGCGGAACTCTCTCTACTGATTGATTGATTGGTCTTTCACTCCCTTCTTACTCTTTGATCTCGCGACCTAAATTTAGGGCTTTCTCTTTTGGAGCTCTCATGGTTGGGAGAGTTAAGGTCCCTTGTTGTTCCGTGTGCCACACGCGGTATAATGAAGATGAGAGAGTTCCTCTTTTGCTTCAATGCGGTCATGGCTTCTGCAAAGATTGCCTTTCCAAGATGTTCTCTACTTCTTCCGACACAACCCTCACTTGTCCCCGCTGTCGCCACGTGTCTGTGGTTGGGAACTCTGTCCAGGGTCTGAGAAAGAACTACGCTATGCTTGCTCTCATTCACGCCGCATCCGGCGGCGCTAACTTCGATTGCGATTACACGGATGATGAGGATGAAGACGACGAAGATGATGGTAGCGAGGATGATGGAGCTCGTGCCGCCCGTGGATTTCATGCCTCAAGCTCGATTAATAGCTTGTGTGGTCCAGTGATCGAGGTCGGAGCTCACCCGGAGATGAAGCTGGTGAGGCAGATTGGGGAAGAGAGCAGTGGTGGTTTCGGAGGTGTGGAGATGTGGGATGCCACTGTTGCAGGTGGTGGTGGACGGTGTAAGCACCGTGTGGCGGTAAAGAAGATGACTTTGACGGAGGATATGGATGTAGAGTGGATGCAGGGGCAGCTTGAGAGCTTGCGGAGAGCATCCATGTGGTGTCGGAATGTTTGTACTTTCCATGGGGTTGTGAAGATGGAGGGATCTCTTTGTCTTTTGATGGACAGGTGCTTTGGGTCTGTTCAGTCTGAGATGCAACGCAATGAAGGCAGGCTTACTTTGGAGCAGATTCTAAGGTTCCTCTTTTGCTTCTCTTATACTTTTATTTTGCCTAATCTCTGGCTTTTGCTGTGATCTTTTCTGTGCATAAAGTCTCAAACTTTGATAGTTTGTTCCCTAATTGGAAGTTACTGGACTTGGGTTTTGATGATCGCTGCTAGAAATATATATAGGAAGTGCACACTTTTTCAGATTGTAGTGAAAAACGCTACTAAAACCTGGTGTCATTTGCTAAAAGGCAACTTGTAAGATAATTTTGGTTTGGATGTTCTAAGATAGCTGAGCACAACTTGAAGTAGTTGTCATATCAGCTGCAGCTACTTTTCATCTGTCAATGGACAAACATTTTTTGACTAGTTTTAGTAGTGGAAGCCTTGAGTCTTGTTGTTGGAAGATATCTCCATGGTAGGATCACATGCAGATTATACCTGTGTTAGGTTTCATATAAATGGGTTGTTGTTGACATATATATTTAGCAATTGGAATGTTCCTACATGTGTTTAATATAGGTATTCATATGATTATAAATGTTTGCTATGGAAGGCCTACGTTTGCAAGTATCTTTGAGAAATACCTCTCATTATTATGCTTCCTTCTGAAGTATATGACCAGAAATCATTTTGAACGAACTGACATATCAAATCATGCAAAAAATTGTAGGAATTGTTATATATTGATTTATCAAAGGACGCATCATCTAAAGATGATCCTTATTTTGTTGTTCTGGTTCTAATATTACCTTCAATTCACTTATTTGTCTTTCCTCCTATTTTCAGTTTTTAATTGATTTGCGTCATTTGGGACTGTTAAATGAAAGCACTAATGCGTAAATGAGTGTTTTGTATTCTCCTTTCATATCGTGCTCATGTTTTTTAAGTTTTCAACTTAGAATATTCCTTCAGTGACCAACATATGTATTATTCCATTGCTCTTGTTGTGATATTAAATTTTTACCAACTGTAGATATGGGGCTGATGTTGCTCGAGGGGTTGCAGAACTCCATGCAGCAGGTGTTATATGTATGAATATAAAACCTTCCAATCTTCTTTTGGATGCAAGTGGCAATGCTGTGGTTTCTGATTATGGGCTCGCTCCCATCATAAAGAAGCCAACATGCCAGAAAACCCGACCAGAGTTTGATTCCTCAAAAATCACTCCATACACGGACTGTGTAACACTCAGTCCACACTACACTGCGCCAGAGGCTTGGGGACCGGTGAAAAAACTTTTTTGGGAGGATGCAAGTGGTGTATCTCCAGAATCGGATGCATGGAGTTTTGGCTGTACGTTAGTAGAGATGTGCACTGGATCCACTCCGTATGTGAAGCAGTTTCCTAGTTGATATTTCAGTTGTGTTTTGTGTCCGCCATTGTACTAACTATTAGTTAATTTTACAGGTGGGATGGTCTTAGTAGAGAAGAAATTTTTCAAGCTGTTGTGAAAGCCCGAAAAGTACCACCACAGTATGAACGCATAGTGGGTGTAGGAATTCCTCGGGAACTATGGAAAATGATTGGTGAATGTCTTCAGTTTAAACCGTCGAAAAGACCAACCTTTAATGCAATGCTTGCTACATTTCTTCGTCATCTACAAGAGATACCACGTAGCCCTTCAGCAAGCCCTGATAAGTAAGAGTTTTAAATCTCTAAGATTACTTTGTTTTATGGTTTCCCTGCTTTCATTGCTTCTCAGTAAAGAAGACCCTTCACTTGTGTTCAAAATTAATATTAGCATCAACAACTAAGATTGTTTGTGTCATCATGCCTATATTCTTCGCCTAACAATTTTATAAACCATGTGTGATGTAGTGGAATTGCCAAAATATGTGAAGTAAACATTGTTGAAGCACCTCGCGCGGCTAATAAAGGGGTCTTTCAGGATAACCCTAACAACCTACATCGGGTTGTGTTGGAGGGAGATTTTGAGGGTGTAAGGTTGGTATCTGTTAGGAATTTTAGTTAATCCTTCTGTTCGGACTAGCTATAAACAACCTGTTCACAACTACATTGGTTTGGTTTTTGTTTTGGAATAGAAATATACTAGCAAAGGCTGCAGCTGGAGGTGGTGGAAGCTCGGTGCGATCTTTATTAGAGGCGCAAAACGCTGATGGTCAATCGGCTCTTCACTTAGCTTGCAGACGCGGCAGTGCTGAACTTGTGGAGGCTATACTGGAGTATGGGGAGGCTAATGTTGATATTGTGGACAAAGATGGGGATCCTCCTCTTGTCTTTGCTTTAGCAGCTGGATCTCCACAATGTGTTCACGTTCTCATAAAAAAGGGGGCTAACGTTAGGTCCAGACTGCGGGAAGGATCTGGCCCATCTGTAGCTCATGTGTGTTCATACCATGGCCAACCTGATTGTATGCGTGTAAGTCTCTGCTCCAGAGGAAGCCATCAATCACTTTAAAGCTTACACTTCATGATCACAAATCTTTCACTATGTGAAGTTGATACATATTTATTATCAGAAGTGTATCAGATGTTAAGCTAGTCTTATATCTGTTATCATGTTAATAATTATTCTCTGCTTATTGGTACTATTCATAGGAATTGCTGGTAGCTGGAGCTGATCCAAATGCAGTGGATGATGAAGGTGAAACTGTGCTTCATCGAGCTATTTCCAAGAAATACACAGATTGTGCCATTGTTATATTGGAAAATGGAGGCTCTAGATCAATGGCTGTTTCAAATGCAAAGTGTCTGACGTAAGTACAGAACTGAACTCTTTCTATTGTAGGTAGACGGCACCATAAGATCTGGCATTGATAGGTTACTACTGGGCCATTTTAAAGCAAGTTCTATTTGGTTCTATTTGGTTTTATTTTATAGTTCTTATACTCCTATTTGCATCTACATTATAACGTATCCTGATTAGTAGCATTGTATGTGCTTAAACATGTCCATTACGTTAACCTGTTTGGATAAGTCACAGTGAGGTAGCTGATCCAATTAATAT